TTTATAATAAATTTTATATTAAGAAACTTAGCTATAAATTATAATTAATTTTTATATTTTATTTTTTAAAATTATGTTATATTAATAATACTAGTATAATACTAAAAAATATAAATTTTCTTAAAAATATTATAAATTTTTATTAATTTTAATTATAAATCTTTAAATTTCTTAATTTATAAAATTAATTAAATAGCTATTAGCCTTTCTAAGTAAGATAATATTATTATTTTTAAAATAATATTTAAAAATTAAGATAAAAAATTATTTTATTAAATTAATCTAAGTTATATTATATTTTAGTTATAATATAAGTACAAGACCTTTTAAAAAGGATTTACTTATTAATTTATAAGTAATAATTTTAACTTATAATTTAATTATTTCTTTTATTTAATTTTAATTTTATTAATAAATGTATATAATATTCTTATTTAAGCTATTTTCTTTATAAAAGCTAGCTAAATTTAAAGTTAATTAAAAATAAAAAATAAAATAAAATAATTAATTAAATTATATGCTAAAATTAGCCCTATAATTATTATAATTATTTTAAAATTAATATTTTTATTAAATATTTTTTATTAAATATTTTTTTAATTCACATATTTATTAATAAATATTATATATTAAAAGTTATTTATTTAATAAAATAATATAAAAATTACATTATTATCTAGGTATTTTAAAGTAAAACAAGATAAAAACTTTTTAATTTTATTAAATAAAGTATACTTAAGAAATATAAAATATTATAAATAATATATAATTAATTTATTATAATATAAAATAAAATTATCATATAAAATTATTAAAGATTATTTAGGGTATTATTTAATTATAAAAAATAAAAAGAAATTTTTATAAGTTTTAATATAATTAAATAAAATATAAAAATAGTTATATAGTAAATTTTAATTATATAATTTTTTTTATTTATTTTAATATTTAATTCATATACTTTTTAAGTTTTTTTTTTAAAAAATAATACTAAGAATATATTATTATATATAAATATCTATTTTAAAAGAACTCCTAATTATACTATTTAATTTAAGTTAATTAAGCTTTATACTAACGCTATTTTTAATAATTTAATTATTCTTATTTTTTTTATTTCCTTATTTCATTATTTCATTATTTTCTTATTTTCTTATTTTCTTATTTTCTTATTTTATTATTTTCTTATTTTATTATTTTATTATTTTATTATTTTATTATTTTATTATTTTATTATTTTATTATTTTATTATTTTATTATTTTATTATTTTATTTATTTTATTCTAAGGTATAGTAAGCGTTTAATCTTATATTTTAAAAATTTATATTAAAATTTTAAAACCTATTATTATTAATAATTTTATTTTATTTTTTATATATTTCTTTATTGGATTATATTGTTTAATCTTTTATATTAACCTAATTTTTATATTATATTATATACTAATATTATATAAGTATAAATATTTTTATAGATAATATATTTTTAAGCCTAAATATATTACTAGTATAATATTAAGAACCCCCTTTTAATATATAATATATTAAAAACTACAATATATATTAAACTACCTGATGTATATCTGGTGTATATCAGACCTGTAAAATATATATCAGACCTATAAAATATATATTTAGGTGCAATAAATATATATTTTTAATAAAAAATATATAATTTCTATTAGAAAATATATATTTATTATAATTATATATTAAAATTTTAATATATATTATTTCTAATATACATTATTATTTATTATATATTTTTAAATAATATATATTTTTATTAATAAAATATATTAAATTTAATGTATTATTAGTACTATATTAAATTTAAATTTCATATTAATATAATATTTATAATTAATTTACTATCAAGGCTATACCAGCACTATACTAAAAACACCCCCTCCGCCGGCATGGCTGGATCCATGACGTAAACACAGCAATTGGGGATTGCATACAATTAGGATAGATCGATCGAAACCATTTCGGTTCCGATTTTGAATTGTTCAGAGGCTCGGTAATCAACTACGTATCTCAGAAGATATTAGACCAACAAAGTCTGAGAAGTCGGAGCTCCATCCCCAACCTGCTCGCCAGTAGGATAATCACCAAAGCAAGCCTTCTGATACTGAGCCTTCTCCTTCAACGTCGGAACTCCTTCTAAGAATCTATCCAATGCACAGAACCCATTGACAGCATCCTCGCAGCCAAGCAGACCATCAAGCGGGAGAGGCGCACTGTTCAGCACAAAGCGGATATACTTCGATGTCCCGTTTGAACCCTCAAGCCGAGGGTTCGTATACAGAACAGGATTCAATGAAGCAAACGAAACATTCGCCGGACACGTCCAGACCTCCGAGATGAATCGAGCACCAAAGGGCGTCATCTCACTAAGCTTGAAAGTCCGATTTGCTGGTGCATGGTCAACATTCCCCGGAAGACCATTCGGACCGAAATTGAAGTACTCGAGTCCCAGCGCAGAGAGCACAGAGAGAATAATGTCGTCGTGGGACATATCCATGTAGAACGGCTGGTCGAGAGGGAAGGTATCAAGGTTGTTGTCAAGAGTAGCGTTGATGCTCGTGTCACTGGATGTAATCAGATGTCCTTGCAGCCTTGCAGCCAGCTCAAGGACATAGCCGATACCCTGAGCCCGACCGGTGGGTGAGCCATACGCGTAGTCGCCATAGTACTGGATATCGATATTATACGCGTAGTCCTTCCATTCTTGCTCGGTGAAGAGTGTGCAGAATGCTGACGCCCCGAAGCTGGTGTACTCATAGGCGCACAGGTTCTGCATCGCGAGGATGTCGTAGGCCGTTAGGTTGAAGTTGTTGGAAAAGTACGGCGATAGACGGGCGATGGTGTCCTTCGTATACCGCGGGATGAAAACTTCCGCAGAGTCATCTCTGCCAGCAGAACGTTAGCTTCTATATCCAGCACGCAATTGGTACATCTCTCACCCTTCCGTCATGTCGCCTGGGCACGAGTCATAGGAAGCGAGGGTGTTGTTGTACCCGGACGCCTCGGGGATGATGACAAGGTCGTACTGCTCGTAGGAGCTGTTGGCACCGCTGTTTCCGAAGAAGCCGCCTTGAAATTGTTAGTCACTGCACCAGGTAAATAGGGTGTTTCTGAAGACGTACTGAGCCACCACCGCGCACTCTCCAATATCCTCGCCTGAGAAGTCGTCCGGAAGACCGGCTTCGGGCGAGCAGTTCCATTGGGATACACATTCAACGACCCGTTCCAAGCAGCGACATGGTCACGATCGGGCCTGTACAGCAGGCGCCCGTACTTGATCCAGAAGTTGGCGCCAGAGGTGGCTTCCGTTGCCGCCCCAGTCTCCATCAGCGTATCTGAGCCAAGGAGATACTCCCAATCATTTAGGAAGCTCAATGGGCCAGATGCGACTTTACCCCCATGAGCCTCTGAGTGATTGACCAGCTTTGCGGCGAAATCTTCCATGCCCTCGCCGTCTAATGGGTAGTCGGTAGGATATCGCTCGGCATGGCGATGCAGAACATGGACCTGGGATAGCTCGCATCCTGTGGGCACACCTTTGGGGACACCGAAGCTATCTGCGCCTTTGTAGGGACTCAAGTTTGCCCAGCTCCTAGTCATGTCAAAGCCAGACGCATAGCTGCTTCCCGTTGGGGCGGATGGGGCAGATGATGATGGATGGGGAATCGCAGTAACAAAGCCCGCCGCGGCGAGCGCGACAGCAACATTGAGTCTCATCGCGTCTTCTGTTCTGTAGAGAGAAGGTAAACAATAGACAGGTAGGTGGAAGGGGTGTAAAGAAGTAAGACTTTACTTCCAAGTTGTAGTGAGCCAAGACAAAGCTTAGCACTTTCCTGTCGACAAACTTCGTTCCTGGCGGAGGACTACGCCCCGAAGCCAAACAAAACTCAAGTGTTTTGGAGTACAAATGCCGGTGGCTCTTGCGGCAGTCTGATTGGTTCTTTGGAAATACTCCAGAGGTGTGGGTCACGGGATCAGGGGTTGTTGCCTCACGAATAAGGCCAAATATCCGGAAGTACAGTACTCCGGATCCAGTCACATGATTAGCAACACAACCCCCGCATAACAAACAATCACCATCACTTGTCTAGAACTTACAACCAGATCCACAGTCTACTTATACACCTTTTACATCCTTCTCAAGCGTCAGCCTGTGATGCTGGAATATGGGCAATGCCGTGCGCCCAAGTGATGTCGCATACCAACAAGTCCTCCAAGAGAGCCTCCACACCTGGTCTTCCTACCGGGGTGACCTCTCACTTTCCCGCGAGGCCATAGACCTGAAACCCCTTGTTTCTCAGACCCCACGGTTTCTCGGCGATGGTCTTGTTCCCGACGGCGAGACTATCTCGTTCGCCTGCGAATATAGAAATTTAATTAATTCTAGCGGGCATGGCCTTGGCTACGGTAATCTCTCATTTTGTCAGTCGCTGGAGGTAAATGGTATCTGTTGTAGATGGAGTGAAAGGTCCATCCAGGAATCTATATTGAGGCCCAAGTAAATAAATCTTAGGGTTGACTTTATACTAGTTATCTGATTTAGTTAAGGTCTTGAAAAGTTCTAAAGCCATAGAAAAATACATATCCATGGAGAGATACGCACGGCACCATAATGTAAGTCGCAATGCAGCTAGCACGGTAAGAGTTTGCTGGGCGGACAGAAGCCAGTGCAGGGCATTGAAGGTGTATTTTCTATCGGCCTGGGATGGCCCTTGTTTGATTCTATCCAGAATCTTGCGGTATACATCCTCAATCTTTGAAGGAAGTTTCCCGATTCTCTCGTCAATGGCCTCATCCATCTTCAACTGGCAAAGTGCTTGCAGCTGTAAGCTTGCCTAGAGAAGCCTTCGAATATCAGCACGTTTGATTTCACAAGCTGTCAAAACTGGACTTACATTCCATTCGCGCCTTCACTGATCTTGCGTATGATGGTTTCTTTCATCTCGCCTTTACGATTGGAAAATCCCAGCAATCGCCGGCGACGTATAAGCTTGTCGGTCCCAGTCCTGACGAATTGTTCTCAGATGACAAATGGGCAGATGGGTAGCTTTCAAGATGGCAAACCAGGTCCTGATCATCTCTGCTCGATACAAGCATTCTGATCAAAGTGGACGACTCATTCAAGACGTCGTCGAGAACTTCTAGAAGTTCGTATCTTCGCTCCAAGTCGCATTCATCGAGCGCGTCAATGACTATGACGGCGGAATAAAAGGGAAGGATTTCGAGGATGAGGCGACGACAATCGTGTAGTTCAAGTTGACCTGCGGGAAATCCTTCTTTCTCTTCTTCTCGACATCGGGTAGTTACTGGCGCGAGTAGCTGGCCTACGCCGTTGGCGCGCGCGAGCTGTCGAGCAATGCTGGCGAGGATATTGTCTGGATTAGAGCGTCCTGGCTCAGCAGGGTTTCGCGAGCAGTAGAAGTAGGCCGGTGGGGGTGAGCGGCCATTCTTGCACTCTAGCAAGAAGTCCTTAATGTCAAGCGAACTGGAATATGTAAGAAGCAGACTCTCAAGTCGGCGCAGCAGCTTACACTAGCTTGCTCTTTCCAGACCCCGGGATTCCATGCAGCCAGAGAAGACTAGAAGCGCTACTATCTTTGCACTCTTTATACAAGGGGTGGGTGAGAAGCCAGGTCCCAGTACCAGCAAGGAAGTCCTTGCGCGTCTTGTTGTGGTGCTTCTTGTATGGTTCCGTCGATAACCACTACAAGATCTTCGCTCGCTTCGATTCTGCGTGCACAAGGTCAGCGGGTTGTGTCGGGCGAGGGACCAGTAGTATCACCATCGAGGCTGTCGTGTATCTCGTTCATTCTTTCGTCGAGGCGAGTCAATGGAGCATTCATGTCATCGAGTATCCTTTTCGACTTCGCATGCCGCTCAAGTTTCCCTTTCGCGGTCAGCTCAGTCGCGCCTTGCATGGCATTGAAACACATCATTCCTATCGACCAATCTAGCGCATTCGTCAACAGCCAGCTGGACGGTCGCAACCTCATCGATGATAGCCTGAAAGTCGGGTGTGACTTGGAACACGTTCTTGAATGAGCGGTCTATATCTGATCAGATCACAGCTTCCCAGTCAAACTTTGGTGGACGTACTTTCGATTCTGAAAGTGCCTCTTCGCCTCCGAAAGGTAAACCAGTACTCGACTGTACAGCCCTGTCAGCGCCGTGCTTAACTCCGATGCAGCGACCGAGACCAATTGGAGGTATAGCTCTTCCAAAACGGCGTAACAAGATATCAGCTCTGCAAGAGATGTTGTGTGTTCGAGAATCGTCTCGGTGACTTCAAAATCGCTAATCGCTATCTATTGGTTTCCAAGGGGTTAGAACCAAAATACCAGGACGCGCTGCGAACATCACCTTTAGAAGAAACTTAACGCCTGCCCGGGGCAGTGCCGCGTGGACAGGGTCGAATTGGACAGCGACATCTCCAAGCTCCTTAAATCGTGTAATCCACTTCGCAACCTTCGCGAACAGATCTCGAACAATGACCTTTTCGCCGGATTTTCGCTTGAAACTAAGGCGTTTCCCGTCTGATCACTGAACCTCCTTTTCAGTGACCCGATGTAAGTCAGTGAGAATCTGAAGCTTCTCGGGGCGTTGGAAATCGAGGCTCGCCCGTTCCTCCTCGCTAAGGAAGTCCGCGGCTTCTCGCCAGAGGTTGTCGCTACGTCGTGGGACTTCGGGCCAGTGCTAGAACCTCAAGAGACAGGTTGAATTGGAGCTGGACATACGCATTGGGCCTTGTTACCTCAACCTGGGTCATCTTGGTCGCTTTCGGACGAAAACAGAGGAATGTGGAGGGCTCTGCAGACAGATGGGAAGGAAGAGGAGTATAGGCAAGAGAAGGAAAGAGCGGGCTTCGCCAGCGGGTGATTCGTGTCCACGGACGGACGGGTCTCTCTTCAGCGTTCCGCATTAGGAAGGAGGGGGGTTGTTTAGGTTGACGGGTCGCGCGAATAACGACTTTCCGCCCGCCCTTGACCCTAACCTCTTACCTCACCACTAACATCACACATCACCTGTCTCAGGCTTATGTAGTAGTAGAATCACCCTTAAGGCAAATTTAAGCAACATTGTGACTCCCCTCATACAAATTATTGAAGATATTGGAACAGAAAACCTCCTCGCGCCCACGGATTTTGATTCAACGTGCGAAAGCTCGAACGTTCAATACGCCTGCCCAGATTGTCAACCCGCAATAGATCTCCCATTGTTAATTCAAGCGCCGAAATCCAGAGCCTAGGGTTAAATTAGCCGCATTGCAATTGTAGGAACCTTGAATTGTGATGCCTAGGGACTGCGGCCGCGGAGACAGATCAAAAAGCAGTTACAAAAAAGCACCTGTATCATGGTGCTTCTGATAGGGTTGGTTAATGATTTTCACTGGTCGTAAACAAGCATAAGGTTATGTAGGTTCGACACATTATGTGTTTTGGGATTATTAGTGGTCAGTGAGAACCTGGTGAACTGGTATAGCTTCAACATAATAACTACTATTAATATATTTCGTAAGCACAATTCATCTGGCCGCCTGGCTTGTGAAGAAACTTCATAGTCTATCATATATAAGTTGCTTCAGACCATGTAGGATATTCTACCATGGCTGTACGGACCTTAAAAGCCCATCATCTCTCACCCTCAGTATGTAACAAGGTTGTGGCAGGCATTATTGCAATCTTACATATCATCCTGAGTTTTGCCACTCTTTCTCAGAATATAGGGAAGCAAAGCTTATGAATCCAGCCCTGCCCTATCCAAATTTCCAGAAGTAAAAAAAAAAAGCTCTTATATTGATTCAAAGTTAACAGATAGTCTATCACACACTACCCATACTTACTCATCCTCATCAGAAGAAGCCACCAGCCTCTCAACCGCAAAACTAATCGGCTCGCCAACCGGATGCCACTTATTCTTCTTCGTCCTATCCAGCGGCTCATCAAGGTACTCCCAGTCCCTATCAAAGGGATACCCAGCGCCATCATAAGCGCGGAACGTCTCAAGAGCCGTCTTCGCCCGCTTGGCCTGCTCCTTGGTTAGGGGCACCTTGAGCTGGTCAAGCGCGGCATCAACAGCATCCTGCTTGACGACGCCCCTCGCTGCCAACTTGCACAAGAAGCTGAGGATGAATATCTCCTCGGGGTCCGTGCGCATTTCCTTCAATGTGTTGTAAAAGGTCTCGATGTGGTCGATCTCGATGCGGCCTAGGTCGATGTGGCGCAGGAAGTCCGACTCGCGGAATTCCTGGCCGTGGATACAGACGCGCGAGAAGCAGACGCACGTCCACCATTTGCTGTCGTTTGTGTTCATGTTGCGGATCACGACGACTTGGGCTGGGATGTACGGGCCTACATTCTGGCTGCAGGTGATCCCGACGGAGAGTCTGTAGTGGTGAATCATTGTTGGGGGATGAGCTCACCTGGAGTGGACTTGTGTTTTGTGATTTGGTTTAGGTTCTTCGATGCGAAGATTAGATGATGGTTCGAACTGGTAGTCGAGTTGGGATGGAATTCAGGGTGATATTTATACCTAGGTCAGTCTATTCATCCGATCAGATCTTTGATAAGCCAATCTTTAAAGCTGCCTTTGTTTCAAGCATTGTACAGACATTTTTCATTCATTCTGAAACAGCTTTATCTCAAATGCACAGTCAGGCAGGTCTTTTTGTAACCTTAGGCTTCTATGGCCTTTTCTTCATTTGGCAGTACCTAGGTACATGTACCGCTTTGCAGTATAAAGCTGCCTTTTTTCCGTCTTTGTGTAAACCTACTTTTTGTCTTCATGTATACCGACTTTATGTCAATCAGTATAAAGAACATGTTCTTTGTTCCGTTTCATGTGGCTGAGCATTGCGTGACCTTCATTATGATGTGGTTGATTGAGATGAAACGAATAAAGCAATAGCATCAAGGCGCCCATATCTTTACACAATATTTCCCGCGCGGTTGAGAAGATTTCTTTCATATTGTAGAACAATGAAAACCGCAGTCATTTTATAGATTGATGGAAAGAACAAGAGTTTGATTGAGATGAAACACATAATGTAATGCCATCGAAAGCTCCCATATCTTTACAAAGAATGGCCCATACAGTTGGTAAGATTACTTTAGATTGTTATTCTAGATCAACGCAAACCGTAGTCCCTTTGTGGATTGATCAAAAGAATAAGGGTTTCTTGCATCACATTCACGCTTAATCCCACATACCCGAGCTCAATCATCGCCCTAGCCAGGCAGGATGAATACCATTTTGTAGTCTCTAGACTACTCAACATCTTTGTTCCAGCCGTATAGTTGGAACCGCCCTAATTAATCAGGTTGATGCCGTCATACTGCAATAGCACTAGCTGTAGGTACCTGATAATGAAAATCCAAGTATACGTAGACATCTTTAAACACCAATTCGTTAGTAGTATATAACCTCACTGCTCTACAATAAGTGATGTCTTACTTTCTTTAAGAATATTAACTACTGCACTGTAGAAGTGCATTGTGCTTGATAACCACCACATTAAGCAAACAACTCTAATAGTCTTTCACAAACCAAAATATAATCTTTTCAATTATCAAAAACAAACAGTAACGACTCTAACGCACCAGGCAAAGAAACAAATCAGGACTTCCAATCCTCAGCCAACATCTCCATCCGCTTCCTCGCACGCTCCCGTCCCCCGGGAATCGGCTCATCAAGATACACCCAGTCCTCATCAAACGCAACCTCATCATCGGCATTGACCTCCCCAAGCGCATCCATCATCTCCGCCATATCAAACCCACCCTGACACTTCTCCACCGCAAGCGCAGCTTTCATCTCCGCCATATCAAATCCACCCTCATGCTCCTCGCCCGCAAGCGCAGCGCTCATCTCCGCCATATCATACGCCGACGACTGGCTCGCAGCCTCAGCAGGTGCCGGTGCCTCCTGCTTAAACATCTGAAGGTGCATCGCCTGACGGATACCCTCGCGCTCGGCTGCATCGAATTTCGCCGCAGTCCTCGACACAGCATCTTCAGCAACGCCATAGTCAACAAGACCCTTCTGAACAAGCCTTGTTAGAAAGTTAACCATGAAAGTATACTCTGGCGCCGCGGGCGTGGCGGAGAATTCATCATACAGTACAGCGGCCTGCTCTTCGTTCAGTCCGCACAGTTCAGTACACCGGAGAAAGTCTCGTTCTGAGACGTCCTCCCACTGTGGGATTATGGCGCGCCGGTATTTGGGGCAGACGAGCCAGACGGTGCCTTGCGTTGAGGATTCGCGGATCACGAAGACGAGGGCTGGGAGGTGCGGGCCGACCTTTGCGATGGTGACGCCGAGGAAGATGGTGTATTCGGCCATGGTTGGTTGATTTGGGTGAGTTGGTTGGTCGGTGTTGGTGTTGGTGATGGGATTCTCGGTACCAATGTCCAAGCAGATGCCTATGATTTTCATGGGAGTATGAAGGCTCATATATATAGGGCCATCTCGCTAGCTATAATGTCTTTGTCCCCTGAATGGCCCAAAGAGTCTTTGTTCGTACAAGTTCGCTTTATCATATTCTCATTGCAGCGATTAGTTCCGCACTAGTCACGCAGTTTTTCCCACTGACCTTTGTTCACGTAATAAAGGCCTTTCTGCCTGGTCGGGTGGATTACAAAGGAATGCTTTGCGGAAAACGGCACTGATAGTATCCTGTTGCATCAGTCCGGTCCCAATTACGACAAGGAGAGAGCCCAAGAGTTACAAAATCACGATTACTGTTCTGACCAAGACGCGCATAGACTTGAGGACATCTTCCCGAATGTGGCGGGCTGGCACGCTTTGTTATGATATATCGGGCTCATCCATAGACGTACAAGCCATTTCCTCGCTTTAGGCACCAGGGCTTTATAGCCCTCTCAGAGCATTGATCTCTGCAAGTATATTAGTATGGTACATCGCTACGACTGAGCCAGTGGTCCAATATCAACAGGTCTACCCCTATCCTACGGATTTCTAACAATGCACAAAGTATTCAAAACAAAAACTCCTCCAACTCCATTCTCCAAACGCCTAACGCCTAACACCTAAATAAACCCAACCCCAACATCCCCAATCAAGAAGCATAAAAGTCGACCGCCTTAAACGCAGGCTCCTCAACCAACAACCCCCTCGCAACAAGCACCTGCAGCAAATTACACACGAACACCTTGTTCTCCACAAAGTCAACTTTAGTCCGATAGAATGCGGTGCAGAATACACCAACCTGTTCGTCAGTGATCTCCCCAATCCTGGTCCAGTGCGAGAAATCTTCAGTGGAGAGTGTCTTAGGGGTACCTATAGACAATCCGTTTCCCGTCGATGCAGGAGTGCGCGCTGACGGCTGGGCCAGAGCCTTTGGGGTCGGCCATTGGGTGCTTGAGAATAACCACCAGGCAGGTGGGGTCCCGCTCGCTGGGGTTTTCGAGCAGGGTGCCTAGGTAGACGGTGACCTTTTGGGTTCCCATGGCTGTGTTTGTTGTTGTTAGTGTGGTTTGGGTGGTTTGGGGGATTACCTGTTGGTTGATGGGCACGAAGTGTACCCTAGGTAGATGGTGCGTTGGTGGTGCAGCTGTGGCTTGCAAATCTTGTTCTTCCAGAGGGGAGGAATGGTTTATTTATGCTCGAGGACTTTCGTATAAGACAAGGACCTCGAGTAAAGGTCGATTTTAGTTCTTGTCGGTTGTTATGTGTGTCTTTGTTTTAGGCCTTTGTTTGGACAAGACACAGTCCTCGAAGACTACAAGTCGTTTGTCAAACCAGAAAGAAACGAAGAAAGAAAGAAAGCCCTCTGTCACTGGATAATCTCTATGGCTCTAGTCTGTCTAAGTACACAACAACATATGAAAAAATAAAAGAATGTATAGGGCCAGTCCGTCAATGAATGTTGCGTCGGGCGTCTCTCCTCTCCCCTCGCCATAGTCCGCTGAATCCAAAAGCGCCTGTTCCATGCAGGCGCTGGCATCCCAACGCAATTCCAAAGTTATCCCTCGCCTAGTCCAAGTGTGCGATGCTGGAGTTTGAGTGTCTTGACCGATCATCTTCACAGGGTAAATCTCCTGCTTAGGTAGCGCACCAAGGTTGTGCTTTGGATTGACCTTCGGGGGATCCTAAAAGCTCCCGCTTTCCCTAGAAGACGGAGAATCTCCGATCCTCTCTGAGGGGCATTGTTGATTCAGGGGCTTGGATGTCCCATAACCCCTCCTCCTGTCTTCGAGCTCCAGCCGCATAGCAGCCCGTGCGTTATCGCGCGTCTCAAATCGCGACTTAGCCCCTTGATGGTCGATAGACTGGTGTGTAAACAGAGGCAGCAGCTCAGATCACCACTTGCAACTCATCCCTGATCGGTCGCAGCGGCACTGGAATCTGAGAATCTGAGACAACGACCCCTGCCCTCAGAACATCCAGCCAGGTACCCCCACCACAACAACCGACACAAAGAACACAAAGAGCAAACAAATGAAAAGTCGCATTCAACCCAAACTCTTCATCCTCATCAAATTCATAGAAAGCCCATAATACCTCTCCTTCTCCGGATCCGCACCCGCAGTAACAGGCCTCGCCATAGCGGGCGACGTATCAGCGAGCTCAGGGATATCGAAGCACGGCGCGACGGCGGTTGCGGGCGGCTGGCCCAGGGGTACAGGGTCACTTTTCGCCCTTGCGCATCTCGTCTTGCGTCGTGAGCAGATGCCGATGGAGGGGTATGCGATTGGGTCGTCGAAGTGCAGGTAGTGGTATTCGCGTGACCGGAGGCCGCCGCAGCGGATGCAGCGGAGTTGTGCGACGGCGAGGAGATTGGGGTTGTGGTTTGGGTTGGCGTCGTAGTTGTAGGTGTGGGTGTGGGTGTGGGCATGGGCATGGCTGTGTCTGCGGCTGCTGTAATGTTGGCTGTGGGCGTGGGTGCTGCCGTGGCTGGTACTGCTGCCGCGACTGCGTGAGCCGGTTGACGCGGAGGAGTTTGAGGAGTCGTCTGGGGGGTTGGTGGGCAGGGACCAGGTGCGCCGGCGGTTGCGGCGGTCGTCGGTGCTGGGGGTGCGCTCGAGGTAGATTGGTGTTCCGGAGGATGTTGAGCGGGCTCTGAGAGTGATTGTTAGTGGGCGTACAGGCGGAAGAGAAGGAATTGCTGGACGTACCTGTGCTTAGCCCAAAGCCATGTTCCGGAGACCCAATGCATCTTGCTGTAGAGTGATGACTGGCCGGCAGTCGGGTCGAGATTGACTGTACGAAGAGGGTATACAACAAAGAGGTTGAGAACGTAAGTAACCGAGTTCAACTCAAGGTCTGTCGTCAAAGAAAGACTTGACTGTTTATTCTTGGAAGCCAGCAAAGGCAAAGAAGACCCCGCGAGTTATATAGCCTGGTGTATGATGCTTTTTGATGCTTGCCAAGAAGCCTCACAGACCATCAAAGAGGGTCTGGCAAATGAGAGATGAGGATCATGCTTATGAAACCAGAAGAAAAAAATACCGCAGTTCTGGAACAGGCACATTCAAACCTCTGTCTGGAAGAGGTTCCCCGCAGGACATGATGAAGCAATGTAAGGGGACTTCAGAGTGCTGCGGAGCACAGTCGAGGTAGCTGAGGCAGGTATTCGGGCACAAAAGTCCGATGCCTATGATGCTCAATGATGTTTGGCCTCTGGTCTCAGAACAAGGCCCCTCTTCCCGTTCACTTGTAGCCTGGGTACGGGCTGTGGAGGGCTATGGTCATGGCTCCGGCCGAAATCCGTAGCTGGAGCCTGGGTAGGGCCAGAGAGGGCTGGTTGGTGAGTAAAATGCATAATTCCTGATGAAATAAGCTGGTTCTTTCCCAGTAAAGTCTAATAGTGCACAGAATAGGACTGCGCCAGCCTCGTTTCATTGCGACCTGCACTCGCTTAGCCGCACTGTACAGCACTGACCAGGTGCGGTATTACAAGAGCCCGTCATGATGTTCAGTAAATGTGGAACTGCGAGCAGAATCCTCGGGATAGCAAGACCGGCATTTGTTCGAACCTCTTAAGACGGTGTTTGAAAACATTTCTATAGCTCTTCTCTTCTCCCTGGTTCATGAAGATAGACGTTATATGTGGCGCTCTTTAACTTTTCCAACTGCTTGGGTACCTAAGATCTGGCTGCACCGGAGATCTACCCGATGCCAGATCTCCTGCAGGGTCGATCCCTCCGCCAAAGACGTTGGGCTAACGCAGCCGGCTTGATTCCGTACCAGTTTCGTGGTATTGGATACAGAGCCTAGAGGCCCTGGGAACACATTTCTCTGACGTAAAAACCGAATCCTACAATCCTGCTTTCTCGTCGTCTATACAACCATTCCAGGCGTCGACCCCACAGCTATGTCCGAGAATCCCCCGACATATACAAAAGTACAGAGTGCAGATGTAACCGTTCCAACGGACAGGCTCCTTTCACATGTACCAGGTTTAACTTAGTGGGGTCTCTGGTCTAAAATTGAATGCGAGTGCTACTTTGCAGCGTGCTGGTATCACCGGCAGGCCAAAGCAAAAAAGCATGGAGTTTGGACTTGCGACACACGAGTGTTCCCGGTGAGTTGCATCTTGTCAAGAAATCCTGCTTGGCTTCCGAAGAATTATCGCAAGTGGAGTGCTTGGTGAAGCTTAGTTCCCACAATTGTAGGACTTCATGTTTCAGAGTTAGCCCTAGCCCTGTACATCGAGCGTTGAGAGTCAAGGCAACCAGTAGCAGAAGGACGGGAGCCCTGCTGACGTTTTTGACAGTTGACGTCGACTTTGACGTTTCTATGACTTATTTTAGGGTCTGTTTTCAGTACTTCAACATCCCTCCTACATTTCTACGAAATGCACTGCTATATTGGGCTCAAGTAGTGCAATGCAGTCAATATCCTCCCTTCCGCGGAGATATAGCCAGAAATGCCCCAAAAATCCAAAACGCACTTGGCAATAAACTTTGCACTACTGCAAGAAAGCTTCTAGTGGCCTTCGATATCGCAGCGAGCGACGGGTCGTCCCGACCGTGGTGCATCGGACCATCGGTTGCATTTAGGTCCGCAATGCATGATCGTCGTTGCAGCCTACCCCTAGTCTAACACTCTGCCAGGTCTAGGAAGCCACCAGCGCTATGGAATCGGGACTCCCTCGAATATCCGATTGGGAGATCCAGCGTAACGGAGACAATTCGATACATTCGAAGGGAACGGAAGGAAACCCGGTGCCCCGGGCCGTCTTCTTAACAGACTATACTCACATCCTACCCACTGTTGAGGAGCAAAGTACCATAGTAAGATCTAAGAAGAGTCTCAGTGTCCAGGGGCCAAAGGATCGGCACTTGAGGGGTCGAAAGCACATACACCCCGGAGTTGTTTTCTGCATGGCTAAAGCGCTCCGTTTGTTTTGGCTCATGGATTATCACCATCATCCCTAGTGATTAACCATTTACATGAACTCGGACTGGACAATTGACTATACGAGATACGACACTAGGAAGTACAACTAAAAGGCTCACCGGGCTCGGTATATAGTGAAGTCATCTTGGCCAGTGCACGCCAGCCATGTGCTCTCGGTGCTTTGAGACAGCCTCATTCTCGTGGTCTTTACGCAAAACAATGCTCGTCCTCTCCTGGGCTTTCTTCCTCAGGTTAGACCTATTAAGTAAAAAAGAACCAATAACAATCAAGTCAATATAAGCAAGTTCCGTGATGGTACGCAATTCAGCCCAGGCGTGTTCAGGGCATCCGACAGGCAGCCTCGCCGCGTCTTCGGGATACAGCCTCCACTTCGGATACCAGGTAATGCAGGCGCTTTCGCTCCGAGTACAAGGGACCATCTGCAATTCCAGAATGCAGTACCGACAAATGCACCTCTATGCAGGGTCGCATCTTGGACCCCGCGAGGGGTGCCATCCCACTTCGTGCGACACGGTTGGTCCCTGCGTTGTTAGGGCTGTTTCAGGAGACGACCTGGGTGAGTCGCGCTCTCGCAGCCCTGAGATGCGCTCAAACCAAGTGTGCTGTCAAATTATCAAGGTAAGGGAACCTAAGGCAACACCACGCTTGGGCCTGGACCTGTAAGCCTCATAGCCTGCCTCGCTCCTTTGTCTTGTTACCGCCCGAGTCCAGCCCTGACCCGGTCCAGAGTGGCAAAGACAATGACACATCACGGGAAGAATTACCGGTCCAGCTCGTCCGCTAGGATCATACTCAACCCGACGTCATTCTATGCTCACCAAGCGGCGGATTTGCTCTTCAGGGCGATAGCCGCGCGGCAACCCGAAGGCTGGTGCCTGGTGAGGCTCGGTAGGGTTGCTTCGCGGCTTCGCGGCTTCGCCTTGCCGACTACTACTATGCGGCTTACACTCAATGGAGCCTTACCGGGATGGCACGGAGCATGCAGTGGCAAAAGTGACACATACAGACGGGATGCCGTACGGTCTCGGCACCAGCCACCAGCCCTATACGCAGATACAACGTCATTCTGTGAATCTCTGAGTATCGGGTCTTCAGAGTACCCAAAATAATAGTCTGGGTTCCATTGACTGATCAGGTTTGCCACAGTTGTCAACTTCGTCTATGAGCCGGCGCTCCAGCTGGGAGGCCTAGCCATGCTGCCTGATCTAGGGCATCAAGTACCATAGGCCCACAGCCTTGGAAATACTCAAGCGGTCATGTTGATAAACGCTAAATGAGAGATTGCATGGCAACTAGACTCCTATTATCGCTGTGTGTCTACGCCAACTGATTCGACCGTACCACGAGTATCTTCAATACCACTCAAAGACATTCAGTCTAACGAGCAGTATATCCCCCATCAACCGGCAAGCAAACCCCAGTAACCCAGCTCGCATCCTCGCTCGCCAAGACGACCGCCATCCGCGCAATATCATCCGGCTGTCCAGGTCCCTTCAACGGATGACGCCTGTTCAGCTCTTCCCACGGCGTCATGTACGTGATTGTTTCTTTGAAAATCGCAGTCTGGGTGTCTACCAGCAGTTTCTTGGTCAACTTCACCCTCCGGGAATACAGAAAGGGAGAACTTACACCCAGGACACAGCGCATTTGCATGGATCCTATGGGGCGCGTAATCGAGCGCGATTTGCCGAGTCAGCTGGCTCACTGCGCCTTTCGACGCGCAGTACGATGCTGGTCGATCTTAGCCCTCGTCCATTTATTTAGTTGGGACTAAGGTGATCAACTCACGGTTCTCCGGCCCAGCAATCATCCCCATGATCGATGAGATGTTGACGATCCACCCGCGATCACCAGAAGAATGCGGTTCCTGGCGCAGCATCTGTGCCAGTGCATATTTGCATCCCAGGAACACGGACTTCGCGTTGACGCGCATGGTTGTGTCCCACGTTTCCTCGTCAGTCAGATGCAGCACTGCGGGAGTGCGCGCCTCGAGCGCTACACCGGCGTTGTTGACCAGGCTGGCTGGTAATTAGCCAGGTTCATCGATATCTGCTGGGTCAGTGGCATACATATCCAAGCGACCATACTTCTCGACAGTAACGTCAATGAGGTTCTCCATCTGAGCGGCATCCCCGACGTCTGTCTGCACGAAGAGCGCCGCTCCGCCCTTCTCGACGATCAAATTACACGTCGTGATTTCCGTTTCCTCCTGCGACCGTGCAGTTGGCGATAGATCGGCGCAGACGACTTTCGCGCCTTCTTGCGCATACCGGATGGCAATCGCTCGACCGAGGCCAGACGAGGCGCCGGTCACAATAGCGATCTTGTTGTGTAGGCGAGGGGTCTGGGACATGTTAGTTTTGGGATCGTCGCTCTCGACTATGGCGGTTTCTCGATATGGAGCTTGGGGGTGGAAGACTAAGGGGGGGGAACCTTGGGCTGTTTACCTCGGGTTATTGATATTCACCCCGCACGACCAGAGGGGTGTGCTCGGGCCTCCTTTAGAAGTTCGGAGTGCAGTGATTCTGATGCGGCCTGTTGGAGGACGGGGCAAAGATGAGTTAGCATTGCAGTGCAGTCCTTTGTCCGGTTGGGTGGATAGGAAAATGATTCCCATGAGAGCGCTAAACAATGGATCTGTCTTAATCCTTTCTTTATTGCCCTTGGCCGTTCTACATCACAAGGTGACAAGGGCTACTCTGAGACGACTATTACTCAGGGTATATTGTTATCCTCAGGTGCCTAGCTATTGCTTCCCCAAGCCTGGCTTTGCCCGTCACGCGAGTCATTCAACAGCTCTTTAGGTCCTTGCTGACACTGAAGAAAGACAAAAGACAAAGCATGTACCTGATTGTTGATCGAACCAGGGTGAACATAGACCCTACTTCTGTTTCAACTTCTGTACTCTTAATCCGCGAAAAAAAAAAAAAAAAAAAAGTCCATTCCAACAATCTTAACTTCCCTCCTGAAATACCATACACTAGCACAGGTACGCAGATGAGCCCTAATTACGCCAACCCATACTGTTAGGTACTAATCCTCCCTCTCCCCATCAGGCCTCCCAGCCGACCTAACAACTCTCGCCGGACACCCAACAGCAATGCTAAACGCCGGAATATCCCTCTTAACCACGGATCCCGCACCAACCGTGCACCCCTCACCAATCACCACCCCAGCGAGGATCGTAACACCCGCCCCAATCCAGCAGTCATTGCCAATGACAACCTCCCTCGTAAACTCCTTCCCGCGGTTCGCTCGCCGCGCATTGATCTCAGTATAGTGCTCGCCGGTAATGATGTTAACGTTCGGTCCGATCTCGACGTGGTCGCCGATTGTAACGAGGCCGCAGTCGAGGATAGTGAGGCTGGTCACATTAATCTCAGCATCCAAGGCGAAAAGAGGACGGGACGGGGGCATACTTGAAGTTGGCGTAGAACGCCTTTCCAACGCTGATATTGCACCCGTAGTCGACGAATAGCGGGGCCTCAACGTAGATTCCTTCACCCGCGTGACCGAAGAGTTTTCGCAGGGCAGCTTCTCTGCGCGCGATGGTATCGGCGAAGGGGATGGTGGGATCAGGCGGCGCGTTGAATTCGGCGATGAGACGGCGTGCTTTTTCGCGGCCTGCGATGAGTTCGGGGGCGAGGGGGTTGTATCTACATCCACTTAGTACAGGCGTACAATAATCCTCAGTTAGGTATAGGCGTACAGCATCCCCGATATCATTATCTCGTACTCATCGCCCCAGCAGACGCCTTGTAGGGCTGTTGCGTTCTCGATCGCTTGGGTGTTTTTCTCGGTCGCTGGGAGCATTTTATTTTGATGTTGGGTGTGGTGTCATACGAGCTGGAGAAGTCGGGAGAGAGGGAATACCTCGCTTTTAAGCTCGACGCCCAGATATGAATACGAGGCACGCGGCTTGTGCTCTGGGGAATCGGGCCTGCCTTCCGTGATTGGAGTTTTGGTTTGAGCGTCTGCGGGTTGCTGACACTTGACGGTTTTGGGACTTGGAAGCAATAATGTCACTAAGCGGTCCCATACAAGCTTCATCAAATGCATATATTATGAGAGCAAGATCAATCCTTGCGCTGTCTTTACTCTGGTAAACTGTCATTTCTACAGCCCTGGATGTACCTATCTCGCTTCCGTCTCTTTACCCAGACAGATGGGGTGCTGGTCCGTGTCTTGACAGCTGCGGCCTCTGTCTGCAGTGTTAGACAATGACGGAAATTGCCGTTAGCAGAGCGGGTGAAAGGAGAAATCTTGGACACCAAGAGCAATGAAATAAGGAAAAAAGACCGCTGCTACTTCTTAGTAGATAAATAAAGGCCCAAGGTACGCTCTACAGCTCAGCAAGCGAAGAAATGTGAATGGAATCTTCACAACAGCCTTGTCACTGAAAGACAGGGTGCTGGAAACCTCCAAGCTCTTTGCTCTTCACTCAAAGCCCGCATAAAGCTCTTTCACCACATAAAGAGTAAACAATAAAACACCCACCAAGATGAAGTCCATTTATAGCAGCTCGTCCCTGCCCCAGCCATCTCTCTCCAGAGCTCTGCAAGGACAATTCTGTTCAATCGATCCCCTCAAGCAAGCGGCACTCTCCGTTCTGAACCTGACGCTGAAGCCCACAGGCAAGCCTCGACGCAGATTATCTACGGAAGAGCAGTTCGACTTGGGTACACAATCCTCCATTATATCCTATGAACCTCTCGCAAGCTTCTTCCTACCCGGTTAACCACTCTCCAAACCAACAGTCCCTTCTCTCCATGGCGTCCACAGCCTCATCAACCTCAATCAGCAGAACCCATCTCAACCATCCCAACCCCACAATGTCCACAACCGAGCCCATCCACCGCCGCCCAGAAGGCGACACCTGCGGCATTTATCTCGGCATCAGCAAGCCCGAATCACGCTACGGCGGCCGCTGGGTCCTAACCCTCGAATGGTCGATCCCCGAGCTCACAACCACAACCTACAGCGCCTACTACGCCGTCGGCAGCCCGTTCCGCGAGAACCCATATGCCCACGAGCAGATCAACGACGGGGCGTGCGCCGAGACCCAGGAGACATTTTCCGAGTTCTACCTGCTCGCCATGCTGCAGGGGGAGCGGATTCAGACGTTTCTGGATGCGTTTTTTGAGACGCGCGCCGGGCCGAGCAAGTACTTTATCCTGCGGGTTGTGTTTGGGCTTTGGGAGAGGGGGATTGTGGAGAGTGCGGTTGTTGATGTCTTGCTTGGGATGGTGGATGAGATGGGGTATGAGGGTGGAGAGGCGGAGTATTATTATTATAATCTTGCTGCTGTGGATTATTTTTTTTTGAGGGAGGATGTGCGCGGGAGTGGGTTTCGGGTTGGGAGGGGGGTTGATGATGATGATGATCTTAGGGGTGAATTTGGGCATGGACGCTCCGAGAGGAATGAGGAGAATCAGGACGATGAGTTGGAGGAGGACATTGATGAGCTGGATGTGGCAGCCGATCGGTTGGCTTTGAGTGAGTTGGATTGATATGATAGGATCCGCGTTTTTGTACAATGTCTGTTTGATACTGGATATATGGATATCTGTTCGTTGCGTCAATAGAAGGAATTGTGATATCAAATGATGGACTGCCCAGGCCCTTATTGAGACTTTAAAACTAAGGTAACGTAGCAGAAAAACACATGATTCATGCTAAACATGTAGTATCAATTGTTGTCTGATGAAGAACAAAGTGGAGATGAAATATTCCTTGCGAGGCCTTGCAGAATGGACAGTAAGTTAGATCACAAATCTTGGAATATATATTTGAACTGTATCTGATGCTACCCAACTATATAGGTACACTTGGGCTGCCCAAAGCTCCATCACAGAGATCCACTAGTTCAGGATTCGCTGAAGGACTGCCTATGTGACAGTCCAGATTGTATCTGCTGTAGTTTCCAGACTGTTCAATGGTGTAAGGAGTTCAAATGTTGATAAGGATTCTCATGAAAGAAACGCATTTTAGTATATGGAGCTTCACATTAAACACAGTACAAAGGCCATTCCCGTTGTGAGTCTGAACCTCAGGTCTGAAGCCTTTGTGTATCTCGCAAAAGGCTTCAGCGCCATGAATGCGTAACAAAGAAGAGAGCCCTATTTGCCTCTCAAACACGTACAATGGAGATATTTCATAGTATTTGATATGGCATAAAAGCAACCGTCCCCAGCCTAACTACTCATGATAGAACAGACAACAATTCAAACCACAGCCACAACAACATTCGACCAAGCCATCCCCAACGATGTTCGGCTTCGGCACTTACACCCTCGCGCTCGGCCGCAACCAACACAACTGGTTCCTAGTCCTCATATACCCCAGCGAGAGCAAAGTCGTCGAGATCGCCGTAAACGCAAGCCCGACCGGCGAGTACCAGATGAACATGGTCGAAGTCCCCAGCCATGACTGGCATCTGCTGCGCCGGAACATCCGATTCCAGACCGTCGCGAGACTCAGTCCCAACGAGCTCGCCACCTGTCTTGTACCCTGCTTCGATCAGACCGAGCCCGGACCCCAACGGTTTTACATTATCCGCTTACTGCGCCGTCTCGCGAGCGCGCCGTATGGGATTGGGAGCTTGAGGCTTGTTGATGAGATTCAGAGGGCTGTGGGGGGTGCGGCCGGGTAGCTTGAAGGGGTTGATTGTTCATTATAGGATTCAAGGAGGATGGTTCTGGTGCGGCGTAACAGGGCTGCGTGTATACCTACCGGGTAATGTAACTCGTTTGTTGTTGAGAAATCATTTCATCGGTTAGGTAACTATACCAGGACGGTAAAAGAAGTGCTTTGTGAGGCCAAAATTATTTTGAATCGCGAAAGGGTGGTGATATATATTGTTTCCAGCGTACTTCTTGATCCACAGGGAAAGCTCAACTACATTAGACCGTTGCATTTCCGGCCCGGTATAACAATTCCCTCGATAAGTTGTCTATCGTTCCGAGTTAGGACGCGTTGCAGGGCTAAACTGTAAGTGTTGTGAGACCCCAATAACGACAACGATAGCTGGTGCTACAAAAAATCTCCTAACAAGGACACAAGGCGTGTGCCGTAGGATTTTGAGTAGAGACCAAAAAGAAACTGGAGATCCAGATCAGTCTGACCAGTGCCGGGCTCGATCCGGCGACCTTATCGGTGTTAACGATACGTGATAACCAACTACACCAACCGGCCAGTGGATGTTTAGTATCGTGCTTATTTAATTTAATAAGCCAATGCATACCCATAAACACTGTTGTTCCTCTTGGTGAGTGAACAGAGCTTGAAGACACTGGGTATAGCTGGGCCAGGCTGAGGATATGAGCGGACCACTGCGGAAGAAATGTATCAGTTCGGGTGGGTCGACACTCTGTATGCTTCATCAGTCCGGTTAGTCCGTAGTGAGCGGATTTTCCTTAAGCGGACGTTTATGGCCTCAAGAAAAAGATGCCTTGGGAAGGGTGTTGAAGGCTGTTCAAAGAATAACGTAGACGTCCGTTTACTTGGGTTGACTCAGGCTTCCCCCTGGAGATTGAGTGACTGGCGAGGATTGAAGCGATGTCTTCGAATGCCCATTGACTCTCGAATCTTTCACCCATCTGCGGTGAAAGACAATGGAATTGAATGAACCTATTCCAAAAATGGTCTTTGCGAAGCTTAGGTATACACAAGCAAAGATCTTGTTTTTATTACAAAGGACGCGCAGGTGAATGGAATCGGTTGCAAACAACGGCCCAGAGCAGCTCACAGGCAGTGAATGAAGGCCACAATGCCAACAACAGAAACTGAATAAAGCAGAGTCCATTCACTCAAAGGTAGACTTTAGGACTTAGACATAGGGTATATAAATAAGGCCTACCAGCGCCCTTGCGATAATCGTCCACACCACACTGCATTGCATCCTCCCTCCAGAGATAGAACGCTCGACACGACACCACACCACAAACACCACCATCACCACCCCACGAACCCAAGTCATCCAACATGGGAAACACAAACACCCCCCAGGCCCGCGACATCCCCGAGCTCCCATGCTACAAGCCCTACAACCCCGAGCTGGTCGACGGCCAAATCCCCACACCCTACAAAGCCTACCAGCCCGACATCCACACCAACGAAGAAACCCCCAACGACGACGAGACACCCATCCCCCCACTGATAATCGACGAAGAAGCCGTCCGCGACTTCCGCGCGATCTGGGCCCGTCCACCCCGACCCGCCAATCCCACCGACTACATGTACAAGCGCCACCGCGTCCACCCCGCCAGGGCGCTACGGAGCAACGACCGAGCCTACGAGCTCTTGATCGGCGTGGGGCCGGCCTCCGTACCTACGAAGCAGAAGCACAAGCAAACCGCATTCAAGGACAAACAAGGCGAGATTCGTTCCCGGTGGAGCTCATCCTCCTCGTCGTCCGAAAGCGGCGGCGACATCGTCCACGCAGCAAATACATGGGCACTGATCCTCCGCCCCGTCAACACCCACAACGCAACCTGGTACCTGACCGCGCCGGACGGGAACGACGGGTATGAACGACTGGTGTTGGAGCGTCCGTTCCCAAACACGCACTTCGGCGAGGCGAAGGCGCTGAAGCTGGGCATCATCAATGCGAAGGATAAACGGGTCTTTGTGGAAGCTTGCGCGAAGGAGCAGAGCAAGGAGTGCCGGGCGTTTATCCTGGGGATTGTGAATAAGCTGGCGGATTGCTGTCTTGTTGAGCAGTTGGCTCGTGGGGCGGTAGGACGGCTTGATCGATTGACGGCGGGGGAGGGGGCGTATGATGCAGCAGATGAGGATGAGGATGAGCATTTGGATGTTGGGGAGGATGTGATTATCGGGTTGGAGAAGAGGTTTGCGACGCTCTGTCAACAGGAGCCGTAAGGGTTAAGGGAGGGTCAGAAGAAGTTGAGGCGGTTTGTTTGGCTTTGGGTTCCAGTAAGGCATGCAGTTCTTGTATGGTAGCTTTTATTTGAAAATCGATATTGGTGGAAATGTAGAAAGAAAGGGCGAATTGCATGCATTGTCCACTTGACGAAACCCTAACTCAACTAGGCTCATATTCATGGATGGAAGAACGATGGATATACATAGGTTGTCCAGGTAATACCATGATGATTCCAGGATACATCCAGCGAGCTCCAGCCTCCAGCTCTTTCTTTGCATCCGCTTTTTCCCTGCGTACCCCGGCACTCACCTCTAGGGCTCTCTTCGCTCTTGTAGAAACTAGAAACCAGCCGTGATACTACGACCTTACCTATTTAACTATAATAAGCCGCCCAGCACTAATTACAGCTGAGGTGCTGTAAAGCCAAAGGTTGACTCAACACCATGTCGTTCGTCGACGGCGCCAGCAGATCCCTAAGTGTGTGATCCAGCAGCACTATATACTGCTCGGCGTGGTGACTTCCTGCCTCGGATTCCATACAGCTGCTTCCCCATAGACTACTACATAACATAACAGTAACGGTTCCCAGGCATGGCCACCGTGTAAAGAGCACCGACGCTCCTGAAACAAAAATCAATGGATCTTCATTGCATGATCTCTTCAGCGAGATGTTTCCTTCAGTAGTCCCCTTATGAAGGTTAAGTTCCGGTGTTTCCGGGGTTGGCGGCTCATGATCTTCTGACCCATGTCGAACCTTTAAGCGGAAAGCTTCTTCAACGAACAGAGTTCGGTCAGGTCTGTGCTCTTATGGTCATGGGGAGTAGAGTGACGAACTACGTCAAGTATATGGGATAGTAGATACCTGCTAGCTCTCCACGAACCCGTTTAAGAGGTGCGGTATAAGTAAGTTTGAGACAAGGGACTGCGTCGAGGCCATGTACTATATATAGTCTACCATCGTAGCTCCACGCGGCACAAGTGCTATAGCAACTAGAGATACAAATATAGCCGGCCGTGCATCCTGATTCATGGAGCCATTAGCCGACGGGGGTACCATAACCTGTTTCCATGGCATCCACCGCGCCACTGCAGGGGTACAGACTCGAATCTTCGATCGCCATTGGAACTGCCGGCTTGGCTTTCTGGACAGAATAGACTGTGGAACCCGTGAATAAGTGTCTGTGATTGCAGATATTAGTCACAGAGTCCTAGTATGGAGGCTATACCCAGAATCATTGATCATGCGACAGGGCCATTGAAGGCACTTCCCTATCCATGGGGCGATGCAATGAGATTACACCCGTAAGGTTATCCATCTCTTATCCATTAAGGCGTGACACGAGATCGAGTTCGCAGGCCCGATGCCAATGTATTCCGTACCGCGATTTCGCTTATCACTACCAAGAGCATGGCTTCAATCATATCGCATGTAACACAGACGGGCAAGGTTCCAGGGTTGGGGAAGGTTACCACCGGAGACCCTGGATAAAGTTCCGGGTTCGATCGACTCGGGAGGCCGTGGTGAGACTTTATACGAGCGTCAAGAGTCAAGACTATGGTAAGAGCGCCGCTCGTAGCCGTCGTCGATCGCCGATCCCGGTAAATAAATGGGGGCTCGACGCAGCCTTAAGGTTACCTGCTCTCGGCCGGAACTTTTCCAGTGTAACGAGGAGGGCTTTTGAGACGACTCGGGGATGAGATAAGAGTGTGAGGACGTCGATAGGTAGTGGGGAGCTATGCCACGCACTGACAAGGGAGCTGACTGGCGCAGTATGGCCACCTAACATGGCCGCCACACAGCCTCAAAGTGTGTCGACATAGCCCATGGCCCAGTTGGAAACTGGGGTCAACCAGGTCGCTGGGCCGTGTAACAACGGAGGCAAACTGTGCGAGTCTGGACCCCCAATGCGGGTGAGATTATCAGTCCCAGATATGGTTCAAAGGTGGTTCATCAAGTGCTACCTTGGATGAGTCGTATGTTTCTCGAGGCCAATAGAGTGAAACAGGTTACTCTCCGCGTGAGACCTTTACGAGTTGCAGTGCTCGCAAATGATGCAGACGCTGGAGTCCCGTCCAGTCTGTTGCTCTGAGCATCTTACAGGGCGATCAGGCTGGCTACACGGCGGGATGCACCGGATTACTCCGTCCATGCAGTCAGATCGGGGCCCATGCAACTCGCTTGGCTGTTGCTAACTTGCTGCTGAGTCGCTGACGGGCAACGTGCGTGGGATTACGAACTGGACTGGGATCGCGTGTTGGCATCGGGTGCGCTGGCCACCCGCCCGGTCGCAGAGCAGAAATACCAATCATGAGAGACTTAACATGGTCGATACAGTTGTAAAGTTTGCGATGGAGTCGGCACAGATGGAGAGGCCGGACCGATCTGGTCGGCTGGCGCCATGGCCGTGTCGAGATGAAACGGCTAGCTTCGACAGGACTTCGGACACTATCAGCCCCGAAGAGACAATTCCCGGAAAGGCAAAAGAGGGTGCCTCGGATTGTTGCTGGCAGGGGAATGCGAAGCGAGAACGACTGTCGCCGGTTGGCTGGTGGCACGCCGCGCCTGCATGGCCTCGGATTGCGTTACCCAAGCAGAAGAGGGTCCAATCTTCCAGCGAGTCAGGCCCGCCGCTGCGAGACAGAGCGCAGGCTAACTGAGAATGAGGGTCTTGTTCCATTTCGTCAACGATAAGATCACCCACTACTGGTCGATCGGTGGCCTGAAGAGGTCCGGTCTGGATCCCGCCCAGGCGATCAAGCAGATCTGGCCTGGGTGCAGTCTGAGGGTGTATAAGACCCCCACTACTGCGAGGGCAATGCGATGCGGTTTAAACCTATGCACGGGACAGTGACCCCGATATGATAGCCCCGAACGCCGACGAAGGAAGCCTCATGATGATCCGGCCTCGAAGAAACTGGACCCCCGAAGAGGATGTGATCTTGAAGCGAGAGGTTAGACGAGGTTGGTTGCACCCAAGTTCTAGGCCTGCCACGACTCAGGTACTTACGGTGACCTGTAGTACAAGCAGAGGGTGACAACATCAGTTGGCATGATATTGCTGCATTCCTTCCCGGGCGAACGAACAAAGACTGCCGGAAGCGGTGGTATGGCACAGCAGCTGCAAAGGTCAAGAAGGGGCCATGGACCGAGTCCGAGGACGAACGCCTGCGACGGGCGATTGAGCGACATGGCACAAAGTGGGCTGTCGTGGCTTCGGTGGTTGGGACGAGGCTGCCAGATCAGTGCTCAAAACGATGGAGCCATGCCATCAATCCGGATATCAATCACAGCCCATGGACTCCTCAGGAGGTACGCCTGTCTTCCCTTCTCCGGAGATGTGCTGACGTTCTAGGACGAGCTGTTGATGCAATATGTCAACAAGCACGGCCACTACTGGCAGCAGATCGTCTCGCTCTACTTCCCCGGACGGACGAGTCTCGCCGCGAAGAACAGATACCACATACTGCAGCGGAGGCTGAAGAGTGAAGAATCCGCTGTTGCCGATGGAGTCTGCGATTGGGAAAGATCGAACGATGGCAGTTTGTGGCAGGAGATTCTCTGGTCTGATCCATCGCAGCGACAGGACTCTCCGCCATGGACAGGGAGGAGCGACCACGGTTTGCCTTTCACAACACGATCACCCACGGAGCCAGTCGCACCTGCCAGGAATTTCTTCACGCCCGATAAAGGCCCGTCCTGGCTCCCGTTGACGCCTTGCTCTCCGCTCTACGATGCCCCAGCTGATTTCCTAAACGATCCGCCGCCGTTCCAGTTCCCTGGACTACCTACACGTACGTATCGACTCCCTAGGTACCTCTCTTGGTCTAACGCAATGCAGAAAACGGAGACAGTGGAATCCCAGCTCTCGAATATCCATTCCCATCCACAGTTACCGTCGACGAGCTCCTGCTCCAAAGTCTCTCCAGCACTCATTCCACCGCTATACCCACGACTACATCCCCCTCGCCCCCCGTCTCTTCAAGCACAAACACAACCCCAACCACCGAGTCAGATCAGCGCCGATTATGCATCGAGGCAGTCTGCTCAACCGACAAGCTCAGCGCTCTCTTCGAAGCCGTAACGAGGTACTCTGTGTCAGCCGTGATCAAAACCGACGACTAGCGAGGAATACGAGGCTCGGGCAAACGGCGTTTGACAAAAGACGCACGGCGTTGGGGGCGAAAATCGGCTGTCGGTGTCCGGACGGGCGTTGATGGGTACACCTGGCGTCGATGCTGGTAGTTCGTATAGTATAGGTAATCTGTTATATCCAAAATTGTACAGTTGGGGGCATGCAAGCCACCTTTTCCAAGGCCTACCATTACCCGAGTGGTTTTGTTACGGAGTATAGCAATGGATATAGGTGGGCTGCATCTGCAACGTGTCGAGCTATCTGCAGTCCTCGGCAAAGCAAGGGGTGTAGTACTACATATGTAAGACCTCAAGCTACTCAGTGGCCATTCTAGCTGTTGAGCAACTTTCGCCTTGTACACTCATGTAGGTAAGATGTACATCGGTGTTTGACATAAATCATTCCTGCCAAAGCCCATCTCTCTCGGGCCGCATTTGGATGGGATTCATTAGCCTACCTGATTATTACCCTCTCTTCTGATCACAATGTTACTTACCTGCCGCAATAGACCGTCCCATTCTAATGGATGGATACACATCCAGATTTCCGACAACCTACCTCCTGATCTGCAAGGGCAATAGGCATTAACCAACGAGCCCCAAACGGTTCTCACGAGCACCGAAGCAAGATAACGACGCTTGCCCTTCCACACTCTTGCCCGTGCTGCCCCTATCGAAATGGGCAATCATGACGATATTCCAGTACGCCTTCCAACATGAATAGGTATATCTAGGTAGAATGACATGTTTGTAGACGAATCCCGTCACATAACGTTATCCTGATCCATCCACTAGTACCTTCCACCTAAGTATATGGCCCTATCAGGGCGTTGCCATATCTCTGCCAAGCGGTATAGCGCTATCTGTATCGATTGGTACCTTCTACCATAATATAGACAGCCATATCACGCCGATCCCGTATCTCGGCCAAGGTTATGTGGTGTCAGCGCATCCATCCATACCGTATTGTGGTCTTCTTGTCACCTACAGTGGAAAGCGAGCTCCAATTCCATTGGAATGGATGCGGGATCCAGGCCGAATCATTGTAGTCTACTATGTCATACCATATGGTATAGCCCACAGTTCTCCAACCGGCCTGGCACGAGTCCATTATCAAGCAGCACAACACAACCACCATCGTCACTGTGACGTCTTCAGCCTAGCACATTATTCCAGTCAACAAGGTCCCGGTCCCTAGGGTCCTTGTAGAGTGCCTTTTGGCCGTGTGGTATCCAGAAGACTGCCGGATCCTTACAGTACAGTCACAACTACGCAAGAACGATGGGCTAATGGAAGCCAAGCCGGGCTTTGATGAAGTCATCAAGCGTGCGTTCCCTCTCTCCAGCCCGGCTCTGTTAGTGGAAGGCAGGGGTCTATTCCAATATTTAGAATGTCGACCTAAGCCTATCGTAAGCAGTTGCATCCTCGGCAAACCCGCAAACCTCAAGCTGTCCAACACGACATCCCCAACAGCCAACAGTGTCCATTGTACAGCAGACAACCAACAGCCAAGGCACGGCTCAGCGATACCATACCTACCTACTCCCACCTCCAGCTGCAATCCAACCACACCCGTCCGGGCCAGCTCTAGCTCCAGCTCCAGTCCATCTGCTCGCGCCCTGCATGCACGCCCTACAAGGATGCAATCCACGGACCCCGATTGGCGGGCCTCGTCTATCTCGCATCTCCATGCCCAGCCCAGACCATACGAGCGCCGCCGTGCAACAACCTCGGTCTCAACCTTCGCTCGGAGGGTACGCTGGCTGGCTGGCGCTGCAGGGCACGCACCTCGTGTCGTGTCATGTCGTGTCGAAATTTCCCCGAGTGGCCACGTTGGCGGCGGGTTTGAGATTTGGCGGGCGCGGGCCGGGCTTTGTGTGACAGCTTCCAAGGTTACGAGCGGTGCTTCAGGTGCGTGGGTGAGTGAGTGGGTAGGCAGCTAGCTAAACGCTAAATGGAGGGACGGGATGGGTGCATTTACTGCGTTCAGACTGCATGGTGTTGTGGGACATATTTACATTATTTCAAGGAATGGGCGAATTGGACGGGGAGTCGTTCGACTGGGTCGGGGTCAAGGCCATGTTCATTCTCATTCTATTACCCATCCACTGAGTAAACAGCATATCTCTATATGTCCCTGTCTTGATTAGCAGAAGCAGCTACTACATAGCCAACAACCCCGTAAACCATGACCGCAGCGATCTCTTCGGCCGATGCATAGCACTACCATTACCGGCAGCGGCAGCGGCAGCCCTTGATTTCTCCTCGACAATAACTTCATCAGTGAGTGACTGAACTCCACGCGATCTCGCCATCCCGCCCTCAGCACCTGCACGTGCGAGACTTTGCTTCACAAGAAACCCCCCGAAGTAAGCGTCCAGCCTCTCGACTTCCTCCGGCCAGACGCTGACGCCAATACTGAGGTCCGGCCGGACCACGGCAACGGCCCCACGGGCATGGTTCACGCCGTACCAGTAGTGTGCGTCGGCGTCAGGCGGCCGGTCATCGTAGATCAGCGTTGCGTGGTCGCGGATGTTTTTGAGGGCGTCGTCTTGTCCGAGTTGTGGAGCGAGGAGGTCGGTGGCTTGGAAGGGCAGGGCTTTGGTGACGAGGAGGACGTTGAACCTGTCCGGTCCACCGTACGCATTGAAGAAGCCATCTGACCTAAAAGCCTTGCGCGAGAAGGCGGCCAGTCGCTCGCGCACCGGTCCCTGGAGGTCTGAGGCAAAGATCAAGATGTGGAAGCGCGTGACGCCAGTCATCTTGTCGTAGAGATACCCGGTGCGCTCTACATCGAAGCAGACACGCGGATTCGGGGCACGCGCGCCATTGCGGACGTTCAGGGGCCGCGTCTCAGGGTCCGGACGCGTGATCGCAGACTCGACGACGGGGAAGTCAAGTCCCATTAGAAATCCCACGTTCTGTTTATAAAACGCCGCCATGAACTGCTTCTCTGCTTCGATGCTCCCGTCGAGCGGGGGCAGCCGGTCATCGTGCGACTCGAGCTCATCGTGCAGGCCGCGCAGGGAAGCAAGGGGTAGATGTGAGTTACATAGGAAGCGGAGGTGCGCGCCTGAACAGCGGATGACGCGGTTGGCTGCGAGGCGCCGTTCGCTGTCGTAGGTGGGCAGGAGCACGGATGGTGTAGCTTGCTTTTTGATACAGAAGCCCAGCTTCCAGCCTAGATTGGCGGCGTCGTAGATGGACGAGTTGAGGCCGAAGGCGCCGAGCACGCTGTGGACGTGTGCTGCGTCGCCTCCGAGGTGGACGCGAAGGTCGGGGGACGAGAAGTGCCGTGCGACGCGCTCGTTGACTTTCCAGACTGAGAACCAGCTGATCGGGGACGCGAAGTCGATTTTCCAAGGGGCGATGATGTTTCGCAGTTGGTCGAGGGCTTCGTCGGGCGTGATGCCGTGGTCGTCGATCCGCATTGTCCCGACGGAGGAGGCATTGTTTCGTCGCGAGTCGCGCCTTTGGTGCAGCCGGCGTGCGGTCTCTCCGTTGACCTGGATGTAGAATCTGGATTTCTCAGTATAACTATATCGGCAGTAGAACTGTATCGGGTGTCGAGTGATGTGCTCACCTGGTAAAGCCCTCCTCGCGCGGAATTACTACGCACCCCCCATGCTCGCTGCTGATCATGCTCATGCCGTACATGTGCGGATAGTCTGTGTTGAACTGGCAGTCGATGATGGCCCAGTAGATGTCCGTTGCCAGCCCATCAAACTCCACCTTCATCTGCTCGCGGATACTGCTCGCAGCCCCATCGGCCCCGATCAAGTACTGCGCCCGCACCGTCTCCTCCTTGCCCGTTGCAATGTTCGTCAGCGTCGCCCGCACCGGGTGCGCCTCTTTCCCGTCGAGCACCTGGTATTCCCTCACGAGCGTCTGCCTCTCCACGAGAACCCGATGCCGCAGCAGATCCCGAATGTAGATCCTCTCGAGCTGACTCTGGGTGACGACACTGGATCCTCTGTACCTCGAGTCACTAATGGGGTGGTTGTTGTGCCGCAGTTTGACGCCCTTGCTGTAGACGGCTGTCGAGTTGATGAGGGGACCTTCATTAGTCGATTCATGGGCGATGCCCCAGGCATGGAGATGCTCGTTCGCCCGGGGATGGACGGCATCCGCTCGCCCGGAGATGCACGGTGTTCTGGCCTTGTCTTTGGTCGTTAGGTCTGATCAGGCTCGAATGCTGAATCTGATACATACCGAGTATGCGGAAGCTGACACCTTGCCGCGCCAGTACCATTCCCAGTTCAAGGCCGAATGGGCCAGCTGATCGGTTAGTTTGTCTCAATCAATGTGGATGCCAATGCAAGGGGACTTACCACCGCAGATCAAAACATCGACCTCCTCCGCTGGCTTGAACCATGCCGGCCTCCCATACGCAGTTCCATCGTAAAGGCTGGGCCAGGTCCGGTAGTGCGTCAAGCCCAGTGCATTCCCGATCGTTGAAGTCGGAGCATCCGTATGCTCGGGGAGTTTATAATGCGCCTGTTCGCCGGTCTCGGTGACATAGTTGTTCTCGTCCGCCCATAACTTCGTCTCTGAAGGACGGGCAAAGCCGCCTTCCCAAGATTTCGGTGGGACTGTGCAGGCCATATGGACGAGGAATTGGGGGCTGAAGCGGGTGTGATGAACGACCGGGCAGCAGCACCTTATACGGTTATAACCCAGTCATGGTGGTGTTAGACTTTGGTCGCGGCCCAGGATGGCCGGCACTCTCATTGTCACCACTTCTCATGTCGGCATTGAGGGCTTGAGCTGATTGGACATTGGACTCTGCTTGTGCGATGTGAGCAACCCTTTGTGTCTGGATGTAACCCTGGAATGCACCGGAGCGTATCAGCTGATTCTTGGCCACGCTGGGCAGGGCGGAACTGCAGGTCTTCGGGTCATTTCATCTTCTTGACCGAGACTTGCTCGTGCTAATGTCGAGGCCAGACTGTCGCTTTCAAGGTGGGCGGGTCTGCGGGAGGAGGGCGATCCGGAGCCTCCAGCTTCAAGTACCAGATTAACCCTAAGCAGCCCTCAATGAGCCTGATAAGAGCGAAACAGTTGGCTGCGTGTCAATTGCCATGACAGTGATGTCATGTACCTGCAAGGGGTCAGTTTCATGGAAATCATAACCCCTCGAGATGACTCTAGGTACCGAAGCAACCCCGCCATTCCAATAGCCCGCGAACAATTCAAAGTTCCGGTAAGCAGACGATAAGATTCAACCAAGAATGCTCGGCACTTGGCACTGTTGCCTCATACAGCGCAGAAGACTGTTGAATTAGTCTAGACGGCACAAAAAGGCATGAGGTGATCTAAAGACTCCACTGGTCAGCGTTACTTACGTAGGTACATCATGACGAAACCGCGCCTCGCAGAGAATATATATCGCCCAGTAATGCCTTACGTCACCATATCTCCCACCCATTTGCTATTTTTAAACGCCAAGCTGAGATCAGGACTTAATGTACGCATCAAGCAAATCACATCACAGCCGAGGGGCCCATCGCAAGGGGTGGACTGGCGTTGCACCGAACACCTGCAAACCCCTCAGTAACCATCCACTGCTTTCTGACTTTGTTGTGGATTATAATGTTAATACTTCTTCAAAATTCTCCATCAAGGCCGGCTGGCCCAATTGGCAAGGCGTCTGACTACGAATCAGGAGATTGCAGGTTCGAGCCCTGCGTCGGTCATTCTTCTTTTTTTTTTTTTAATTTACTCCCGCTCTCCTCCGCCCTTTCTCGCATCACAAATGGGGACCCAATCGCGCATTGGTTGGCAGGCCTAACTAAGTCAAGACAGGGAGTGAGTGAGTGATTCTGCTCTATTCTGCAATTGAAGAAGCGGACCTCATGTCGGCCGGATATATATATTTTTGCGCGGGAGATTCCCTCAGCACTTGGATTGGAACGATCTCCGTCTTCCCTCTTTGATCAAATTACCGGTTCGATGAGAAGATCATAAGGGTTAATGGATTAAGAAGAGGAGGATAGGCCTGCTAAATCAATTATAAACAAGAGGCAAGCAAACGGCCATACAATCTACTACTATAGCAAGGCGCGGTCGTCAAACGGACACGCGAGGGGATGTCTTCCGGTATTCGACAAAGCAAAGTACGAAAGACAACTAGACGAAACAACAAACCAGGCCTATAGGTATCTACCCAAGTGTCATTGCCGCATACCATATCATGCAATGCACACCGTAGCCCGAGTGAGGACCAGTCTCCTACACCTTCGAAAGGGCGAAATAGCCAATTAAGCATTCCAGCACCGTCTGAAAGAATAGTGCGGTGCAAACACACTCTGAATTAGGGTTGTAAGGTGACTGTAGTAGACATTACTCTAATCTAATACTGTAGGTACGAGTCCGCAAGCACAATCCACATGTACAAAAAACCGGAATAGACCCTATGTACGGAGTACCCAACCCAACCACGCCATGGATGCCACAAACGGAACAGCAAACGAAAGAAACACCCCTACGCAAACCCCCCCCCCTCTTCTCCCTTCCTCCTTCACCATCCTAGAATAGGAGTGGTCAAACAGGCGTCCTCGTCCCACTCGAACTCGCATTCCTTGAATCCCTCCACGCCCTCCACGGCCGTCCCCCACCAACCTGATACTGGTACTGGTACTGGTAAGCCGAATCCGGCGTGCGCGTCCCACTCCCGCCCGTGAGACCAGGACTCGGCAGCGGCAGGGGCACATTGCCGACATAAAGCCTCATCGCGGCCTTGACTTCCTTCTCGCTGACGCCCAAGCCCAGCCCCAAGCCCTCCTCGCTCGAGTTGACGGTACTGCTAACCGCAGACCGCGCAACGAAGCTCTGGCTCTGGTACTTCCCGATCCAAAGGAGTTGTTCGTGTTCTCTTAGATACCGATGGCTGGAGAACGAGTTCAGGACGTTCGCGCGGCCCAGCATGCCGAATTTCCGGCGCTGCTCGACTTTCTGATACATCCGTGCCGAAATGGCGGATATGTCGTCGGGGGTTGGGTGGAAGGGGAGTTCAGGGACGACAGCGCCGTTTTCGTCCTCAGCGAAAGGCGCCCATTTGTCCAATAAGGCAAGAACGCGGATCTGCGCGCGCGCAAGCGAATCATAGTCATTTGGCGCGACGACTTCGCTGAAGCGCTTTCCCGTGCTGCGGTCCGTCACGACGCAGAAGGAGGCGCCGACGTCGGTGCAGACCACGGGGGCGCCGGTTAGGGCTGCTTCGCCCATTGCGAGGGGGAGGCCTTCGCTTGTGGAGGAGTTCATGAAGAGCCAGGCGTCCTGCAGGACGATGGAGGGGTTTCCGAGGCCCTTGAGGACGACGTGCTCGCGCAGGCCCTTGGAGGCGATGACCTCCTGGCATTCGGAGGCGTAGGCGGGGGCGCGCTCCATGTCGCCGTAGATGTGCAGGCGGTAGTCGCGGAACCCCCATTTGTTGACGATGAGGTCGGTGGCCATGATTGCTGTTTTGATATCCTTCACATACCTGTTTTCGTTAGCTTCCAATGGTTCACAAGGGGCATAGGAGATTGGGAGTCCTACCGAATATGCGACAGCATCACAACGGTCGGCGTCTCCGTCTTGATCGTCTCAATGGGCTTGTACCGCTCCATGTTCGTGATGCCATTGACAACGGGGTCGATCTTGCGAGCAAAAGCACGACGATGCTGGAGTGCACCCTCGGCTGTTCCCAGTTCAATCTCCCACCCAGGGTTAAAGTACTCAGCGCAGGGTAAGACCACGTCGGCATGATGCTCAATGAGCACACAAGCAAGATGGCCGAGCGAGATGAGCGTGGTATTGACAAAAGAGGAGTCAAAGGATACAGCTGCGGACAGGAAAGTGGTCATTTCGCGGAACGAAACGCAATGGTCCCAGACGTGCAGGGCGCACTTGCGCTTCGCTTTGCAGAGGACGCCGTAGGTTGCGCCGGTGAAGTGGTGGCTTGCCTGGAAGACGTCGGGGATGCGCTCGGGGACGGGGATCGAGAAGATGAAGAGGTCTGGACCGTTAGCTCAGAGATCACAAAAAAGGGGATGGACGTACAGCGATGCCACATATCCAACGCGGTATCCAGCTGCTGCAGAGAAGGATGCTCGGCATCCCACCACTTCTCAACAGGCGTCGCATCGTCGACATCGTCCGACAGCCAGAGCTCGCGCCAGGCAGTCTTGACCGTATCGCTCATCCAGACATCATTCCACGAGCGACCGGCCTCAAAGTACGCATTCAGGTCAACCAGGGCGTTGGTCGCCTCCTCGATATGGTACCGTTTGAGATTCCTCGTCCTTGCACACCGCACGAGCTTCGCTAGTATCGGGACAAAGTGCTTCCTGATATCTTCCTTCCTCGTATCCTGACTCCGTTCAACAACGGCAGAGTCCAGCGTATTCTGGAACACGCCGTGGGTGGGATTCAGGAAGTCCAGACCCCACTGCGGCAGGACAGTCAGGGACTGCACGTTCCGCTCGATCTGGAACTTGGGGACGCCGTAGTCATTTGCGTTCTCGGAGATGATGTGCCATCTTATGCCCTTCAGGTCGTTGACCATGTCCCGTCGGCACGCAGACACACCACCGGGCTCGTTCGGCCATGTCGCGGTGTCCATTGCGAGAACATGGAGCTGTGTAGAGGTATCCTGCAACTGAGTAGACAGTGTACGCGTGTTGATGCGTGCATCTCCGCCAATACCAAAGCTGTACAGGTCGCTGATCTTAAACGCCATTTGCGTCCAGGACGAGATATCAGGGTCGATGTCGACGCGGGCCAAGATCGTATCAACCTGCGCATCAAGATAATCACCCGCGGCATCAAGGCGTCCAAAGTCGCGATTCCGCCAGTACGGCCGCAGAACGCTGTCCGATCGCAACAGCAACTCATCAAGCCAGGTGGTGGTCACAGCATCGAAGTCCTTGCCTGCCTTCCACGCCTTCCACAGATGCGTTCGTGCTCGAGACGTCGGAATCGGTCTTGTCTTGACATTCAACCCTAGCATCCGACTAAACACATTTGCCCTCGTGCTCCTGAAGAAGAACAGCGGGTTATCATGCAAGAAAGAACTCCGACTCGGCTTGTCCAGGACATGGAACCAGTCTTTGCTGATCATGTCCGGCGTCTCCACAGGCTCCCCGTTCAGCGTTGTCGAAATGACAGGGTGGAACTTGTGGTCGTATGTCCATTTTGCTTGATGCACGCTGTTCGGCTCGATGAAGGTTGCTTGACTGACACGCGGGTACGGAATCCATTTCTCCTCGCGCTCTGGTCGGTTCGGTGGCGGCATGCACCAGGCCACTCTGATAGTGATATGAGGGAAAACGTACTCAGCACGGAGCAGCTCGTCGTCGAACCTGGCGTTTTTGCGGAAACTGTAGGTGAATCGCACTGGGTTGACGTCTTGCATGAAGGATCCCGAGACGATATACCCGCTTTCGTTGTAGACGACGGTTTGACCGTCCGACTCGCCAGCTGTGCAGACCCGCTGGATAGGAAGGACACGGCCACGGCGGCTCTTTTTGACGTTCTCAGCGTACTCGTATGTAAAGTCGTTGACCACCTGACCGGCCTTGTACTCCTCTCGCCGCTTCAGGATGAGTTTGTCGACATACGTATTGATAGCCAGCAATGTCTTGTTGTCCTTCGGCTCGTGGGTATGGTTTCCAGCGTACTGGTAGAGCAATGTCGTCCCGTCGGCCTGGGCTCGAGTAAAGCAAGTCGTCAAGCCTTCGAGGCTTTCAATCACAATCCTGTCTTTGTGAAGAACGGTCTTCCAACCGCGCGTACTCTTGTAGACATCGCTAATCTTCTCTCTCCCATGAAGTAGTACCAACGGGATAAGAATGCGCTGCAGCAGTTTGACGATATTCCAGACACTATTCAACAGGAACTGCAATGGGACCGCGAGGAACAAAGGCTGCCCGCGCAGCATGTACTCAAGTTCACGCTGGTACTGCGGGTCCGCAACAAGAGAGATGGCCAGGAACTTGAGACAGGTCTTGATGGAGTGGCAAGTCTGCTTGAAAGAGAGCTTGAGTGCGTCCGTGAAGCGCAGATGCGAGCCGATGGGCGGAGGCAGGAGGGCCTGGATTGGCTTTTCGTAGGTCGTGTCCAGGAAGACCGGGTAGGTAGGGTATGTCTCGTGCTCCATCCAGCGCTGGGCGTAGTGGCGAACGGATAGAGACATCGCAACGCCGAGGTTATATCTCGCAACGTAGGCACCGAGCTCCTCGAGGTCGTCGCTTCCAACCCGGCCTTGAAGCCACACGAGTTCGTCGGATGAGAGTCGACCTGGCTTTCCAGAACACCGACGCAGAAGGAATGAGCGTGCTGACCGTGGTAGACCATCCCATTCCAGATCACAGTCGATGCCGAGCAGGAGGTGGCGTAGGAACGTGCGCTGCCCGTGGTTCGCAACGCGAGCACACTCCGCAGGACTCCGTTCAAGCTGATACTTGACACCTTCCGGGACAGAGAGATCATAATCATCCCGATGGTCCCCAACCAGCAGTTCCGCCATCATCGACGCATCATGGCTGAAGCCAAACTTCGCCTCGGCCGTGGCCTGCACAACGGCCTCTGCAATGGCCCGGCAGTTGCGTCGGATATTCGTCGTCCAGTCTTGGCCAACGAGACCCGGGCCGATGACGATGAAGATGTGTAGCTTCTCACCAACTAACCGGCTAATAGCTCGGATACGCTGTTCGGTTTGCAAAAGGTGCTCGGCGGATACGAATTCGATGGTTGTCTGGCCGGAGACCCATTGGCGGACAACATCGCGTAGGAGTTGCTCTGCATGAGGGAAGGCAACTTGAACAAGGGCCGATTTATGAAAGCCCGAGTTTGACAGGATGACCTCCTTGACTTCGATACCTGGATGAGACTCGGGGTCCAGTTTGTGACGGAAGTCATCAGCAAGGGCATTGATGTTGTCGAATGTCTGCGTCACGGTTGTCGGGGAGAGATCCAGATAGGGCTCCAGAGAGCTGGTCGTGTATGACGGCGCAGGGCCATCGCTGTTCTTTGCGATGACAGGCGTATCTTTCCGTCCAAACTTGGGCATGCCCACGTCGCCCAGCCAGAGAGAGTAGATGGCAGCCGTCCAAGTGCCACTCCCCAAGCAAATCACACTGCTCCAGGTAAAGCTCGCAATAACGCTATGCATGGTGATTCCAATAACGAAACCAACGACCGATCCGAGCGCAAGACACCGTGCTGCTTCCGGTCCAGTGAAGATACGGTTGTACTGGTAAAACAACAATCCGGAGTACGCGCCAATGTAGGCCAGATACATAATGGTCGCCTTCGGGGAGGACTCAAACGCCCACATGAGGGCCAGTGTAACTGCCGTGCCCCAGATATGCAGGAAGAAGAACTTCGTCAGGTTGCTCCAGTACAGCGTTTTCCTGTCGCCGAAGTTGCTGGCGAGGACGGAGCGCAGGCTGCTGAGGTTCTTGACGGGGATGGGCGTGCGCTGCGTGACGGCCGTCCAGAGCGGCTGGGACACTGCATCCAGGATGAGGGCACCGGCGAGGTAGTAGCCCAGGCCAAAGCCAACCGAAAGTCTGTACTCGGAGGAGCTTGCGGTCGACAGACCAACAAGTGCTTCGCCCGTGAAGAGCGCAGTCCACTTGTCCATGAGCGCGATAATAAAGTACAGGATGCCGCACCACACATCTGCCCCCGTGTGTCGCCAGTGCAAGAATGCCGAGTGCATGTTCAGACCCTTTTGCATATCGCCGAGGGTGTCGATGGCTGCCTTAAGCTGCAGGTTCCAGGTCGGACTGTAGGGGAGAGGAATCTTCGTGCGCGAGTACCGACAGTACCAGACGAGCAGGAACATGGTCGCATCGTAGCCGTCTGCCATTGTCTTGACAAACTCGTCGTTCGTGGCCTTGGTCCAGAAATGCCTCTTCCGTTCCTTCTGCATCGCTTCAAAGAGCGCTTTGCGGGGAGTCGTCGACGAAGTCATGTCTTTGATATCGACGCCCGGATGCGCCTTGACGTACCAGCTCACGACCTCGCCGTCTGTCACGCGCGGGATGTTCAGGTACCAGCTGTTCCACTGGGCGATGACGCGCCTGGCACCGAGGAGGAGCGAAAGAAGGAACAGCCCCAGCAGGCAGAGGTAAATAACACTGTCATGTCCAACCCACAGCGTGACAATCGGCCCGACAAATAAGATCGGGATGCAGGACATGATAACTGTTCGACCGGACTGAAAGTGGAAGCCCGGCATCTGGTAGATTGCAAGCACTGAAAGGAGCATGAGATAGGTACTCAGGAAGAAGAAGTAGAGGAAGAACAGCACGCCAGCTGCAAAGCCCTTGACGCAGCCGATGGCAATCATGGCAATGAGACCACCAACAAGCGCTACGGCAAGACCAGCGATAAAGCGCGTCATGACGAACATGCTCATTGCCGGGAAAGCCATGGCGTAGAGATAGTAGCTTCCGCCAGACGAGATCCAAGAGCCGAATCCACCGCAGACAAGCAGCGCAACCATGAGCGCCGTCGTAGCGAGCGTTTTGTCAGTGTTGCTCATGAAGGTCGTCAGGTACAGACCACGTCCGACCGTTGTAAGCATCGTGATATCAATGAGCGCTGGCAGAGCGAAGATACCGAGGAAGGTGATGCGATAGTACCACGGCGTCTCGCGCTCGTCGCCCTTCGGATCGAGATCAATATCCATGGACGCATACGCAGTAGGTAGCTCAGTGAATCCGTCTTCTCGGCGCGTTGGCTGGTGCTCGTCATAGTATGCCCGGAACTTAGCGGAGATGATCTTCCCCAGAAGTTTCGGCGTCATGTCGAAGAAGAGATCGCAGCGGGCGCCGAGTGCGTACATTTCAGCGAAACAGGCGGCTTGCACGGTGTGTCCATTGGGAAGGGGATTCCGGTCGAGGACCTCAAGGTACATCTCGTTGAAGGACAGCCGTCGGAAGGCGCAGAAGACAGAGAGGGCAAAGATGTCCGCCGCTGCATCGATTTGGTCTGCTTGGAGGGTCTGCTGGACGACGGACGCCAGGTCAGCTAGAGTCTTCGCATCTGACGACATGAGGATATGGGGCAGCCGGGCGTCGACGTCTTTGAAGAGGGCTGTTGCAGACGCTGCATCTGGAGCCCAGCAGCCTTGTTCGCGGTACCAGGCTAGTCGAGCAGCGATCAGTTGCTCGGGGGTGATTTTGCCGCTGAGGTATTCACTGGAGCTCAAGGCTCGGAGTTGAGAGAGCGACGGAACATCCATGAGGAAGTGTTCGCAGCAGGCGCGGACTTTAGCCGTGAGATCGGCACAGTCTTGGTCGAGGGTCAATGACAGACGACGCAGGAAGAGCATGGCTTCAGTGGGCGTGAGCTGCTCAATATCGCCGACAATGCGAGGAGGAAGCTGCCATTGCCGCGAGAGGGTGCCGTTCGCAGTGGACAGAGCGACCTCGGCCATGAAGCATTGATACCGGTCGTATCCTCGACTCGACATGAACGTGTGCAGGATTGCCCCAGCGCGATCTTTCTCCGTCTTGTTGGAAAGATAGATGTTCAATGCACCAGAAGTATCATGCTGGTACATCCCCCAGACCTGCGTCTCCAGTCGCGTCCGGAATCCAGAGTGCAGGCCAGAGTAGACACACAGCTGGTCGCTGTCATCGCCCTCGCACGAGATCAGAAGATCGTGGAGCTCTCTTGCGGCCCTGGCTCCCTCAGCGTCCGAGTTGAACAGTCCGCGTAGTTCGCTTGCGATTCGCTTTAGCTCCTCTGGCTTGAACGGAGCAAGCAGATTCAAATCCCGGGTATGCTGCTGGGCCTGTAGCAGATCCTCGATATCTTTGACTGTACAGTCAAGCCCAAGCTGGAAGCATCCAAGGCCCGAGTAATCGTGTCCATCGGGCGAAAAAGCAAATGGATTGGTGAGAAGGGGCTCATTCAGCGTAGGCCAGGTCAGCTCATCAATCACAAAGACCTGCCTCTCAACCTGTTTCGCCTGAGGCGGATACAGTTGCAGTTTTCGCTTCAGGTCAGGGATGAAATGCTGCAGGCTCTGATAGAGCGCCGTATTCTCGTTGCCTCGGGGCAGCTGTTGTATCGAGCCATTCTGCCTCCAGACATCATGCGCGGCCAGCGTCCTCTCATCCTTCATCCACATGAGCGCACCGATCGGCTCATGCACGACGGTGCGTTGTTTTGCGGCATTCGCATCCGTAAGCGCAGACTGGGGTCCGATCCAGCTCATGGCGCTGTTATAGTTGCACCACTTGGAGCTGCGATAGAGAACATCGTGCGTCAAATCGACGTCATCGTCGACCGTCTCCCACATCGCCAGGGTTGATTCCCCGATCGGCTTCTGGGCCGCGACGACGCGCATCACGGTGCGCATCTCGGCCATCTGGAAGTAATTCCGGCGATCGCCATTTGAGAGGATTGTGCCGTTGCGGTAGACGACGCCGCGGATGCGCGCCATGTCGATGGCCCGGCATGTTTTCTCAGGAAGGTACGCTGGGGGCGCGACTTCGAGCCAGACGGTCAGGCCCAGGTGGTTGAGGAGGGCGACGACGGAGTTGAGAACGACAGGTTGGAGGCACTCCGCAAAATCAGCAAGTAGGACGCCATTAAAGCGCGATTGGGCGTCGGTAGGTCGCTTAAGATGTGTCTTCAGAACAGTCGCAACAACCGAAACAGCGCGCTCGGCGTCATCGCCATCTTTATTACTCGATGCGACAAGGTTCGTCACATCCAGCCGAGCAAGAACATGCGTTGCCGTGAGATCGGCGCTGACGAGAGCATCGAGCACACCATCCTGCAAGGGGTCGAGAACGAGGGCATCCCATTGGGTCAGAAGGCGCCCCTGGGCTGCGGTGGGAGGGCGGGCAAATTCGCCGAGATATACTCCGAACGATCTCGGTTCCGGGAGTGCAGCGGCGGTATACAAGCGTGGTGTTTCGTGCTGTATGCGCTCGAGCTGGCGCGCTATGTGTGAGGGGATCTCGGAGAGTTCATGTCGTGTCTGGACTGTTAGTTACGGGTTCATGGGATCAATGCAGGGGACGTGGACGTACCCGCCACCAGCGTCGCACCTTCCGTCCGACCAGGTACAAGATGTATAGACTGCCGAGGACGATTGTTGCAAGGAGGCACGCGGCCAGTGTCTACACCCGAGGTCGTTAGCTAGGTCATTGGGAACTGGGCCAGACTAACCCGCTGCCACCACGTCTCCGTCATGCGCTCCCACCCCGTCGCATGGAGGCCCAGGTACTCGATACCCATGGCTATAGCGGCAGGGTCTCGATTGAGACTTGCGAACGAATGACAACAACAAACAAAAAGAATTAAAACGAAAAGGGGGGCCAGATGTAAGAGAGCGAGCGGCAAGCGGGAGCGAGAGAGTTATGTAGATACGAACTCGCACAGCAGCCAGCACCAGACCAGCAAGCCAGACTACCCAACGCCGCAAGGATCCGCACTGGAGCCTCAGCCAAAGGAGCCGAAGGCGAGGAACAAGGACGAGGGCGAGGGAAGTTTATACCGGGACGGGAAGAGGCCAGCAGCGGGCGCCCAATGGGTGAATGGAGGCGGCCAGGACATGGGCGTGGGCGTGTTCGTGAGGAACGAGGAACAGCTGGAGGAACGCAACTAGATCAACTAATTGAATTCGATGGAGCCGGTGAAGGCAGTCAAGTCGATGGACCCAGAGTGGGCACTGGCACTGGCCTGGCACCATGACGCCGGCCGGCTGGCTTGAATTTGCGCATGCCGATAGTGAGAGATTGGCTGACACCACTGACCGAAATAGATCGCTTGAGTCGGTCACTTCTGCCGGGGCTGAGCCGACCGATGAGTGAATGATGCAGGTCTCACTTGGCCGACCGGGTGAAGGTCGAAAGTACCTGGGCTTGGGCTTGGGCTGGCTTGGGCTTAGGAGTAGGTTTAGGGCTTACGGCGATAAGACAGTCTTTCAAGTGAACCAAGACAGTTAGACTAGGACACTAGGTGAGTCCTGACAGAGTTAGTTAGGTTAGTTGCATTGTGCCCAGACAGATCGACGGCGTCGATAATGCAAGAGCGCTAAAGAGACCAGAGCCAGCGCATTCATCCTCTTCCTGCCCTGGCTTTGTGAGACGCCTGTTCTATTTTGGATACGCCCGGGCTGGAGTGACTTTTTCTGCAGTTCCTCGCTTGTACCGGTGCTGTCCTAGACTTCGACAGAATCTAGAATCCCCTTCCACTTATTTCATCGAAACCCTGTCCGGCCCACCTTCTCCCTTTCAAAACCGCCATCCCCCCAAACACCCTCTATTTCCTATTCCGTCATCCACGTTCCCATGGAGTCCCTCAAGCACGCCCGCGAACGCACCACCCCAGCAGGGTCGCGCAGATGCAATCTCCGGCGGCGCTGGTGGGTTACCATCGGCGTCGCGGCGGCCATCGTGATCATCCTGGCCATTGTGCTGCCGTGCGCCCTGATCCTGCCGAACCGCGGAGGCGACAAAGGGAGGGCGTCCAGCGTCATCTTCCCGCTGTATATATACCCCGAGACGAACGCGACCTGGGGGCCGTTATACGATGCGTACGTTCCTCCTCCCTTCTTTTCAAATGGATACATCTACACCCCGCATTCCGCAACGCTCGCAGTTTCAAGTCATGCTGCTAAATAGCGACTTTGGATAGCATCGCCTCACACCCCGACTTATCCTTCCTCGTCGTGATCAACCCCTCCTCCGGCCCCGGGAACGGCAGCCTGCCCGACGAGTCCTACCAAACCGCGATACGACAACTCGATACATACTCGAATGTTCAGAAAGTCGGGTACGTGCGGACGAACTACGCGCAGCGCAATGTGAGCGAGGTGCTGGCCGACGTGGCGACGTATTCGGGGTGGAGGGACAATGCGACCGAGCTCGCGATGAGCGGGATTTTCTTCGACGAGAGCCCGCACCAGTATGCGGCGGACACAGTCACATACCTGGAGGAAATCAACGCCGCTGTGAAGAGTGCGAGCGGGCTGGATGGGGAGAAGACGGTGAGTGCCTGCCGATTGCAAAGAAAAGTTGGCGGAAAAAGCAAACAGGCGTGGGCTGGTCTGGCCAGATTGCAAACCGGATGGCGGGCGTTCTGCTGATCTTCTCCATCTCGGAGAAACCGTCGATTGAGCAAGATCAGTGGAGACAGACCCATACCGTAGCCATAGCCAACCAGCCCAGCCCAGTCCAGCCCTCTGCATGCATACGTTGAGCTGTTGGTCTGAGTCAAGCACCTTGCCACTGCCACTGCCAGCACCGCAGTCTTCCATGCCAACACCATTCGATGCACGGGATACTAACAACCTGTCCATAGATCATCCACAACCCCGGCGTCCTCCCGGCCAGCCAACTGCGCCTCAACACGACCGACATCACCGTCGTCTTCGAGCAGTCCTACACCCACTACGAGGACAGCCAAGAGGCCGAGCTGGACGCCGCGTCTTCCTCCGCAGACCGCGACAGCTGGGCGTACATCTTCCACAGCGTCCCGGCCATGAGCAACAGCACGCTCGACACGTTCGTGCACGGGATCAGCCACAAGGCGGCGTATCTGTATGCGACGACGCGGACGAGCCAGTACTACGAGCATTTTGACGGGCGGCTGGAGGAGTTTTGCGATGCGGTGCCGACCTAGTTTTGATGTGATTCATCGTTCATGACTGTCAACACTCAAACTCAACAGGCGTGGATCCTGCGGACGGAAGACGGGAGTTCCGTGTGGAGTCGATCCTGCTGTTTGTTCTGATGAGATTGGCCAGGTTCCTGTACCTTATCTTTAGTACTTGGTGTTTTCCTTCCCTTGGCCGTCAGCGCTAGAATCCGCCTAGTCCAGTAGTCCGGTCCGGCTCTGCCTTCTCTGTCGTGATACTGCCTGTTCTGCCTGTTACTGCCATACAGTCCTGTAGTGTACAGTAAGCGGCTGCTATAAATCGCGCCGGTTCAGCATTGCGTACAAGGTCGCACAGGAGCCGCCCGTCAATCGGACTCAGATCGTGCACGGAGACTTTACGACCAACCCATTGGCCCATCTGGATCAAAATGTCGTCGAATCTCCCCAAATCCGCCGTCGTCGTTCCGCTGTACATCTACCCCCTGTCCGCCGAGTCCTGGGCTCCTCTCTACGCAGCGTACCCCATCCAACCCAACCCAACCCAACAGTCCCATTCCAAACCCACCCCCACTAACCAGCCCATCGCCAGAATCGAAACAAACCCCTCCCTCACCTTCCTGGTCATCGTAAACCCCAACAGCGGCCCAGGAGCCCCAGACGCGCCCTCCCCCGACGCTTCCTACGCCTCGCAACTCCCCCGCCTCAACGCCTACCGCAATGTCCTTGCCATCGGCTACATCCGCATCGACTACTGCGCGAAACCGCTCCCCGAGGCTCTGGCCGAGATATCGCGGTACGCCAGCTGGTCCGAGCACTACGACACCACCGGCCTAGCGGTCCGCGGGATCTTCGTCGACGAGACGCCGAACCATTTTAGTCCCGAGCGACAGGACTATCTTGATGCGGTGGGCCGGTTTGTGAAGGCGTGCGAGGGGATATTGGGGGAGCGATTCGTGCGTCTACCTACCGTCCCAAGTAATCCAATTCCTATCGCACAATACACTGACTTATGCTGGTTTGTCTGGGAACTAGATAGCCCACAACCCAGGAACACCGCCCGACCCCCGCCTGTCCACATCCTCCGACCTGGTCTTCGTCTGCGAGGAGTCGTTTTCGCGCTTCCGATCGCCCGAGGTGCAGGACTGGCTCGCGGCGCATCCGTTTGAGCGCGGCCGCGCCGGGTACATGCTTAGCGGGGTGCCGGGCGCTGAGGTTGCAGCGGTCGTGGGCGAGTTGCGGAAGCGCGCGGCTTGGATCTTTGTCACGGATGTGGAGGTGGATTTTTATGAGCGGTTTGGGGGCGCTTGGGGGGGCTTTTTGGCGGCGTTGCGTGATTAGTCTAGGTAGGGTAGACTGGTCACTGAATATTGAGGACTGAGGTCAATGATTGCGTGATGGGTGGGATTGGGAATCATCGAGGATTCGAGGACAGAGGGGGCTCCGGGCTTCCGGGCCCGGCAGGGCTTCAGGCTCAGCTCGGACTCGGGGTTCGGCGTAGTCTAGGTACCTATCTAGGGGTACCGTTGTGACAGGTCCTTTGCTTGGAAATGGAGACAGTCGATGGCAGAGTACACGTGGCGCCCGTGGGAGATTGAGTGGATGGAGATTGCAGACGGAAGAGGCTAAGGCTTGGCTGCTGGGTTTATTTTAGCTGGTCGTTTAGTGTATCTCCAGAATGGTCTCGTCTCTCGATCGATTGATTAATTGATTAATTCTCGCAGTGCTGGGATGAAATCTTGCTTTGGCTGCCGAGCGTTTCGGGTTGAGCACTTCATGTCTGTCTAGACTAGCCCTAGCTCTAGCTCTACTCCAATTGAAGAATCTTGCTTGGATACGCTAGCAAGGTACCCCTGGCCGACAATGACATGCTGCGTCCAAGACTTCCAAGGCCTCCTTCAGTCGGCTGTGAGAGTGAGACACCAAGAGTGCCACTGTCAAGACATGACTCAAATCCCAGTCTTCCTCCAGCCCAAGCCAGATCTCGTATCCAAACAAAGACAACTCTCGTGTTCCTCCAGACTATCCATTCTCGTATTCGTCCAACTTCGCATCTCAATTCCGCGATCCGCGATAAGGTACAGAGTACACGCAATTCGACCTGGCGTCAAATCTACCTTATCTAGTGTACGTCACCTCGAGCGAAGGAATAAAGCTATAAAAGCCACAATATCCACCGCGATAACAAGCATTTCAGGTGCCGTGACGCACGCTTTAGGCCGCGATAGCGCGGATCCTGGCCATTTTTCCCTTTGTGAAGGGCAAGAATAGCCGACCGGATCTATACAAACTCAATGTATGGAGATAGGGTTTTGGGCTGATGGCCAAAGCAGAGGATGTCGGACTCAGTCGAGATCTAGAACCTGGCTGATATGACTGTTTAATTGGTTCATCGGGTTTTCCTGCCACGTTGGTCATTAGATGGACATAGTTCAGCCGCCGGCTGAATCCATGACAATGCAGGAGAACTACAGCTTGGTAGTGGAGCGCCCACCTAAAATTAGGGCTCGCCGGCTCGGAGTCGTCTGAGTCTCGTCGTGTCTCGCCGCTCGAGCCGCTCGTCACTCGTGTCTGGCATGTCATCGTGCATGCAGATAGGCAAGCCAGGCAGCAAGGTACTCGGGGCGCAGATACCAAGAACTGCCGAGCCGCATACCGGTTATCCTCCAGCAGACCGAAGATACGGCCTAAGCGTGGACGAACCCTGTCCATTCATTAAGCCACGATTGTAGCTGGGGTTCGTGACCAAGAGCCGAAGGACGAGGACACGAGGCTGCCGCTGGACTAGTGACTGTCTCTCGTTTTCAGACACGTCCGACTCAGTGTCATGCCATTGCTTTGAACTGCGATAAGGGATCTGGAATCTGGATGAGACATGCATGCTCGTCAGGCCGGACGCGGGCCATCCACTGAAAGATATTTGTCAAGAGGCGTTCGGCCATGCGGTTCCTCCGGCAGTGCGTGCCTGACAGTCCGCGCAGCACAGTGAATGCGCTACCTCCCCTAGCCCTGCAGAATGGCACAGCCTAGACTATGTACGCAGGGGTCAGGCACGGAGTGCATCGGTAGGACATGACTGCGCGGCCACTGAGCGCTGACCAGACTGTGCTAGTGAATGATGCAATGGAACCTTCACTGTCTGGCACCCTGCTTCCACGTTCCAGGACTTATCTCGCAGGCGGATAAGGAACCCGACCCCCCGGCGATAGCGGTGCTGTCTATAGCCCTCCCTTATTGCTCCCCGCTCCTTCGTAGGTGTTCGTCCGACCCAGCTTCCGTGAGATAGCCATGTCCTCCTCTCCAGCTCGCTCGCGCGGCTCTCCTGGGACCACGCCGGGAAGCAATTCTCCACGGTCTGAGTCCGGTCTGGTCCTTACGCCTGCAACGTCTGTCGAAGACCTTGTATCTCAGGGCTTGGGGTCTGGAAATGACGCCGACGAATATGTCCTGGTCACCGGCGGCCTCGGCTTCATCGGCAGCCATACATCGCTGGAACTGCTCAAGGCCGGGTACAACATCGTCATCGTCGATAATCTGAGCAACAGCTACAGAGAGGTCTTCGAGCGCATTCTCCTCGCTGCAAAGCTCCATTACGCCCAGCACATAGAAAAGAGCTGTCCCAGGGCCGAACTATGCTGCATCGACTACCGCGATGCCATTGGAATGAACCTCCTCCTCGACCGCCACACCATCCGCACATCCACATCTCGCACATCAAACATCACCGGCGTCATCCACTTCGCAGCCTACAAAGAAGTCGCCGACAGCATCAAGCACCCGCTGAAATACTACCAGAACAACGTGCAAGGCCTGATCGAGTTCCTGGCTCTCCTCGACGAGCACGCCATCCGCACATTCATCTTCTCCTCGTCCGCAAGCGTCTACGGCACACTCTCCGAGTCTGAATCCTCGGCAGCCGGCCTGCGCGAGGAAGACTGCGTCCATGAACGCACCACCTACTTCGACGCCACCGGCACCCAGCACAGCGAGCCAGGCTGCACGGGGATAACGAACCCGTACGGCCGGACGAAGTTCATGGCCGAGGCGATCCTGTCCGACGTCGCAAAGTCCGATCTGGCTTGGACCGCCGTCGCCCTGCGCTACTTCAACCCCATCGGGTGCGATGCGTCCGGTCTGCTCGGTGAGGATCCGCGGCAGTCCGCGTCGAATCTCTTCCCTGCGGCTGTTAAAGCTCTCACGGGGGAGACGCCGGACCTGTATATCTACGGCGATGACTGGAATACGGCTGACGGGAGTGCGATTCGCGACTTCATCCATGTTACGGATCTTGCGCGCGGGCATACGGCTGCGCTTGAGGCTGCGCGGGGCGGAATGGTCGGTGGGTGCTTCAGGACGTTTAATCTGGGGACTGGGACGGGGCATTCTGTGTACGAGGTTGTGCGGGAGCTTGAGGGTGTCAGTGGACGGTCTATCCCGGTTAGGGTTGTTGGGAGGAGGGATGGCGATGTGGGTGTTTGTGTTGCGGTGCCGGAGAGGGCGCAGAGGGAGTTGGGGTGGACGGCTCAGAGGGGGTTGAGGGAGGCTTGTGTTGATATGTGGGAGTATCTGAGGGGGAAGGACAGTATCTAATCTACTAGACATCGCCATAATCCATATAGAATGTTTGTTTAATCAAGTCCACTGCGTCTACTTGCCATCATTCGCACTCCCAGCCCAGTCCGAGACGTGACATATGCTGTCCCATATCCATATACACTGGTCCATATACTTACTCTGTGCCTTATTCTGTCAAGCCCATTCACCGAAGATCTCTGCCTGCAGTATCCGGCCCAAGTTATCTGAGCCTCGACTGTAGTCCCCAGGCGTCAGCTGCCCTTCAGGGACTTCCGTCGATATATGCAACCCCCGCGATACCGGGCAAGTGACCCCCCGGTATACCAAAGCAGAGAGTCGACGCTCAATGTAGTATCCCTATCCACTGTCCGCTATCTCTCCGGGTCGTACAACGCTGTGCCCTAGTCCGATTGAACATGCAGGCTGAAACGTCATCACGCCTCTAGTCAGCCAGCACACCCGACCACCCTCCGGCCCCTCTCGCCCGCAGAAGCAAACGGTATATCGCCAACCCAATCTTCCTTATCTCCATTCTTGCTCCTCTTATCCCCAGTCACTCGGTCTCAGACCCCCACCTCACGCATCACAGTCAGCACCGGCTGCATTGCAACGTGTTTCCCCTAAGGCGTACACGAACTGCATGGATCGGCTTCCCGATCGAGTCAGATCGCAGATCCATCTGGCACCCGTCGCCGATACGCTTACCATAGCTTAGCTAGCTTAGCTTATTGTTACACGGCCATTCCTCGGCCACCGGAGATTTCCAAGTTGCCCCTGTAAGACGCCGTAAGATATTCCTCCTTCGGGAGATGGGGAGCGGGCCAATTGCGAAGGGGCCCTGGGATCTACGACCTACGTACGCGGCGTCCGGCGATCCCGATGTGTTCTGCTGGGATGGGCGGGTGTGGCTGGTTGATCGAGATTCGGGCTGCTTGGGGGTGGACGTGGGGATGAGGTGGCAGTGGCGTTGAGGTTGGTTAGAGGGGATGGGGGACCGGGGAGGTGGTGGGTTCGGGGGATATTTTGAAACAGGACCTCGGACCCTGGACTGGTTGGGATGGGGTTGCAGGTAGGGATTGGTGTTGGAAAGATGGCGATGACGTGAGCAACTAGGTTCAGAAGCTGAGAATCAATTGAACTGTTCAGAAGAGCATAATGTTGTGATGGCTCTTTGCTAGGAACGGGAGTGAGCCTAGTACCTAGGTAGGTATTCTAAGGGGCTACCACAGTTGTCTGCATGTTCGCTGTGTAGAGTTGGCTTTGTCTACTGGTATGCCTGGTTCTGTAGTGGAGAGAGTGTAGATTGTTGTAGTTGAAGGTGCTTGGTCACGATGACGCTGTACATGTCACTCAATATATATACACACGACAGTCCGGAGCTTCCACACTAAGGTAACTTTGGGTTCTTAGGCTATCTTGCAGATGCCGGTAGGCAGTGGAGGAAAGGTTAGATCCGTTGAGTTTCGGGGAAGAGGTTGTTCAAGGGCGCAGCTTCCTTTTTGCTGGACAGTTCGTGGTGGGAAAGTGCAGGGGCATTCACTGTCTGCTCTGGGTGTAGTTGCAGGACAAAGGCGTACTGAATTCTCTTCTCAACAACTTCTGGGGTGGCGGCGCTCTTCGCGCCCTCACAAACCGTGTTTTCATGTACAGAGCTAATGCTTGGTCTGGCAAATTACCTATGGTGTTTACTCGGCTGGCTTTGATGGGATGGATCAGGTACATCGCTAAAGACCAAGGCCAATGGTTTACTAATGTTAACGATCCTGTAGGGAACGAACATTTGACAGGATGCAGACCTATGAGTTAGATCGCTTTCTAACTACCACCCCAGCGACAGTCTACCTTATAGAGACAGCCCAGCGAATCTCCATATCCACTATCAATGTTCCAGCCATCCGCAAACGGCTTGACTTCTGTGAACGTCTTTCAGAGCAACGTCGGAACTGTCCATCTGAATTGAGCCTTTAAACCGGACCGCTGACAATATGCCGTACCGGTTCCTTAGGAAAATGACTCGATGGAGAAAATCCTCTGATCAACATTGTGCATGCTGAGCAGAAACTTGCACCTCGGGTTCATATTACAGGAGCAATGATGCCCGTAAAAGCAGCCGCGGTCTCGACACCTGCCTCTGGCACGACAGGACTCCTGCCTCGCTTCATGCGCAAAGGCAAGTAATTCTCCCACCTGCATGGCCCCGTGCGTGAACGTGCACCGGCCCTCCTTGCACCCCTCCGGGAGCAGATGGTGCCTGTAGCAGTACCTGATTTTCCCATTCCGGGTCTTGCGGTTCCACATCTCCAGATCGTCGGAAATAGGATCTGGGAGTGAGATGTCGATTCGATGACCTGCCTTATTGACGGGAATCCCGTCTGCCTCCTCCCTTCTCACGATCCGGCGTAATTCCTCCTCCATGCGGTCAATTTCATCAGAAGCAGAATCTGTTCCGCTTTGCAGCCGAGCTGCCCAGCTTGCTTCAACCGGGCTCTGGGCACCCCTGGTGCCCCCGGCCATTGTGCTTTGAGTCGGCGCTGGCGGCTTGCCAAACGGTTTGGTCCGGAAGAGCGACTCCATCCTCGTTGAACGGAACCCCAGCCCATCGAACTCTCTGCCCACGTCGAAGGGGTAGAGAAGCGTCACCTTCTCGGTAACAGCACCCTGCTGATACTTTTCCAGCAGTCGAACGTACCCGTTATCATGGCAGGCCCCGAAGACCACATGACGGCAGGTGGGGTTCGTGATGAACTGCTTGAAGACACCTTTTCCCCAGTTAGCTTTAACGTCGTCATCAGACCAACTGCGGGTAGCTTGCGACTTACCCTTGATCTTCTCGTCAGCGCGGTCCTTGCCCGCCCCCACAAGAACAAAGTCGCAGGTGTCGAACGCTTGCGAGAAACCTTTCGCAAAGCCATTCAGCCACAGCAGGTTCTTGAGCAGCTTCATTTTCACCAGGAGCTGGGACAGCCCGTCGTAGTTGGCAAAGGCTTTGACGACGATGGGCAAGCCCGCCAGCTCCGGCTGCTCTTTTTTCAGATATTCCTGGACAGCGGTGCGGAGATCCAGAGCAGCCCTACGGCCGCCGTCAACATCCGCGTAGTACTTGTCTTTGAACTGCGACAGTCAGCTTACCATCGCCAGGCTTGACAGAGGGCCACTCACGATATACCCATCCGCATCCGCGTCGATGAGAACCAAGACAAACGAGTTGCGATTCTGCATTGAGTCAGCGCATCGCCACAAAAGAATATGTAACGCTCGAAGACTCACAATCAACCCTTTCAACTCCTCCAACTGACGCTTTGCGTCCACCGTCTCCTCCTGCGTTATGCGCGCCACGCGCCGCTCCCTCTCGAGATCCATCGCAAGAACCCGGTGTTCCGAGCTCTGCTTCGCGATTTCCTCAGAGAGCGCCTTCATTTTCTCCAAGCGCTCCTGCTCCTGCCCCATGAGGGCCGCGAATTGCTCGGCTAGGTCGGCGGCCATGTTGGCGCTTTTCCCGTCGGCGGTGCCGGCGTCTGCGTCTGAGCTCGTCTTCGAGCTGGATTAGGGCCTTGCCCAGGGTATGTCTCTCGAGCTCAGGAGGCTCGCTTTGCCATTGAGTGGAAGGTGCAAATTTGCTTTTGTTTGCTGTACCGGGTTTTTGCATGGGCTAGTCAGCCAGTGGAGTGGGTTGTTGCCATGACTGATCGATCATGCCTGTGTCCAATTCCATCAAGCACCAAATTGGTCTCGTAGGTATGAAGACTAGTTGCACCTGGGTGCACGAGGTTTTGTCAATAGTAATAAAGACATCATTGCCACACTGGCTGCTGGTTAACCCATCAGTTCAATCCCCTACTCCGTCTAGAAGCGATCTAGCGCTTAGTCATTGTTGTCTGCGTCGAGTCACCACAGCAACCAAGCACGTGATTCTCCCCCCTTCCCCAGATTCCGCACTCAGGCTCCTCCACAACAATGCCAGCTGCTTCATCGGGCTCCTCCACGTCCAGATTCTGACCCAATGCTCGACTCACTGGTCGCACGGCTAGGTCGGCCACTGTCTAGGCATATCGCCATCGATCAGGCAAAGATCCATCATCGAAAGTTTCTCAAACTGGACCTCGGGGTAACCCCGACCGTGATCGGCCTAACGTCAAAATACCCACTGAGAGGACAGCGACCTCGATAAACTCGGCTTTCTCTACCTGGAGTGTCTACGCGCCCGTGATGAACCTGATTCTCCCGAGATCGGCTCAGCCCCGACCCGGCTGAGTGAGGGGTAACCTACCACTCCTTATCAACTCCACCAGACCTCCTCGTGCCCATCCGTCCTCAACCCGTCCAACCCATCGAACCAAGCCATAACCGACCAAATGGCCCGAATCATCATCACCGGCGGCTCCGGCAAAGTCGGCCAAGCCGTCATCAAGCGCCTCCTCACCCGCAACCACACCCTCCTAAACCTCGACATCGCGCCTCTCCCGCCCTCGTTCTCCCAACGCGTGCACACCCTCCGCATCGACCTCACAGACGCCGGACAAGTCTACTCCGCCCTGACATCGCGCTTCACACCCTCCTGCCCCTTCGACCCCGCGAAAGAACCGCTAACCGAACGCCCCGACGCCGTCATCCACCTCGCCGGACACCCGCGCAACATGATCGTGCCGGACGTCGAGACCTACCGCGTGAACACAGTGGCAAGCTACAATGTCCTCGAAGCCTCCTGTCGACTAGGTATAAAGAAGATTCTGATCGCGAGCACGGTCTGCGTCTACGGACAGCCGTATGGGGAGGGCGATGTGCCGTTCCCTTCGTTTCCGGTTGACGAGGAGGTTGACACAAACCCGATGGATACGTATGCAATTTCGAAAGTGTGCGTTGAGAAGACGGCGAGGGGTCTTGCGAGGCGGTATAACCACCTCCGACATGCAGTGGACATCTACGTTTTTCGTCTTGCGGCTGTGATTGGTGAGGGTGAATACGAGGAGTGCTTTCTGGATTGGATTGCCGATCCGGCGAAGATGAAGGCTGTTGGGTGGAGTTATACGGACGCGAGGGATTTCGGGGAGATGTGTCATCTTGCGATTGAGAAGGACGGGCTTGGGTATCAGGTGTTCAATGCGACGAATGATGAGATTACGGCTCGCCTTTCAGACGATGAGACTGCCGAAGCATTCTTGAGGAAAAACGCGCCCGGGGTGCAGTTTACGAGGGAGATGGAGCGCAGGGAGGCACCGTTGACGAATCGGAAGGTCAAGGACTTGTTGGGGTTCAGGGAGGAGCATCCATGGTCGAAGTATTTCAACTATGATTCAGTATAGCTAGTCTACATAATGGACTACTTTGAAGTACTGCGACCTTGCAGCATCCACACCGATTCATAGCATTTGAACGTGAAGGATGCGGAAATCGAGATCAGCCTCGGACTAGTTCCCGGCGTCTTACTCCGTCTACCAAGGGCGATCACCAGGAATGCGGGGTTCTGGCTATTTTATTCAGGCTATTATCGAGGAACCGACGCCCGGATCCCAACCTGACCGCGTTCTTTGTGCTATACGTCAGTCTCCAAGGACAGGCGGGGTATGCAGCTTGTGATGGATTCTTACTAGACATGAACGGCTCAAGGACCTGTCTCAATTGCAATATCTGATATCCCTTACGATTTAACATCTAGCAATATGTGTCCTCAAAACATCACTGTCGAAAGTGACGCCCTTCAGCTCACAATCTACATCGACGAAGAAGGCGCAGCGTATCTTGACCAGGTCATTCCAGCCGGAAGCACTCCTCGACGCCCGGTATCCAAATACTTTGATACCCATCGCGCTCCCCTAGTGGAAGTACGACTCGCCGGCGAAGGGACGCAGAAGCACAAGTCCTCCAAGAGTCTGCTGGGAAGCTACATCGGGCCGCGACTGCACTACAAATACCACGATATTCGCGCTGATGGGGGGTGCAAGACCCTAGACGTGACGCTCTCAAGTCCCAAAGACAAGATCACCGTAATCTCTCACCTAGCCCTCTACAACTCAACACCTACCCTCCGAGCGTCCGCAACAATCCGCAACGATGGAAATGAGTCCGTAATCATCACCCAAATAACATCCCTCGTCCTCGGCGGCCTCACAACCGGCTCAGAAAAATGGTGGGATGGCTACACCCTCTCCGTGGCTACAAACTCCTGGTTCCGCGAGGCGCAATGGGTACAGCATTCACTGCCTGCCATCGGACTGGACGACTACGGCGTCTACGGTCGGCCCGAGAACCACTTCGCTTCGCTGGCTCACTATGCGATCTCAAATAGGGGTACATTCTCGACGGAGGGACATCTCCCCATGGGTCTTCTGGAGCGCTGTGATAGAGGCGAGACGTGGCTGTGGCAGGTTGAAAGTAACGGCTCGTGGCGGTGGGAGATCGGGGATTGGAGGGACGGGGGTTATCTTGCTGCCTCTGGGCCGATTGAGAGCGATCATGACTGGAGACAGATTCTAGAGCCAGGCGGGGAGTTCAAGACTGTTCCTGTGGCGCTTGTGCATGTGTTCGATGACTACGAGAGTGCGTTTGGGGCGTTGACGACATATCGAAGACTTATTCGACGGGTGCATGACGATAACAAGCACCTGCCCATTATATTCAACGACTACATGAACTGCCTCATGGGTGATCCGACAGAGGGGAAAATTCTAGCCCTCGTTGACCCAGTCGTGAAAGCGGGCGCCGAGTACTTCGTCATCGACTGCGGCTGGTACGCCGATGATGCCGGGTGGTGGGATGACGTTGGCGAGTGGGAGCCGTCGAAGAAGCGCTTTCCCAGCGGCTTCAGGAACCTCCTGTCCAAAATACGCGCGAAAGGCCTCATCCCGGGCCTCTGGATCGAGCCCGAGGTTATCGGCGTGCGGAGCGCCGTAGCCACTCAACTCCCAAACGAAGCGTTCTTCCAACGCAACGGCCACCGCGTCGTCGAGAAGGGCCGGTACCAGCTTGACTACCGACACCCGACCGTACGCGACCGCATGCATTCTATCATTCAGCGCCTGGTCACCCAGTACGGAGTCGGCTACTTCAAATTCGACTACAACATCGACGTCGTGCAGGGGACAGACATCGCGACTTCTTCTCCAGGCTCGGGACAGCTCGAGCACAACCGCGCATACCTCTCCTGGGTGAATGAGCTCTTCGACCGATACCCAAATCTCGTGATCGAGAACTGCTCCTCCGGCGCGCAACGCATGGACTACGCCATGCTCTCTACCCACCCGCTCCAAAGCACCAGCGACCAGCAAGACCCCGACAAATACGCCGCTATCTCCGCGGCATTGCCGAGCGCCGTTACGCCTGAGCAGGGCGCTGTCTGGGTCTATCCGCAGGCTGAGTGGGACGACGAGGTGAACGCGTTTACTGTGGTGAATGCGCTTCTAGCACGCGTCCATCTTAGCGGGAGGTTGGATTTGCTGAGCGAGGCGCAGTTTGCGATTATACGGGAGGGAATGGATGTGTACAGGGCTATCCGGGCGGATTTACCAAGCGCGATGCCGTTTTGGCCGCTTGGGTTGCCCGGATGGCATGATGATTGGGTGGCGCTGGGCATGAAGGTGAAGCGGGGCGAGAGGGTGTATGTGGCTGTTTGGAGGAGAGGGGGTGGGCATGGGATTGGTTTACCTGTGTCTGGACTCAGGGGGTGTGATGTTCGGGCTGAACTGCTGTATCCGAAGGCGTTTGCGGCTGGGACGGAGTGTGAGTGGGATGCGGTGGAAGGAGTGCTTAAGGTCAAGGTCCCTGCAACCCTGTGTGCACGCCTATTCTGCTTGACGGTTTTGTAAGACTGGCCTGATAGATTTTGATTGGCAAGATGTTCAGACACTGGCGACCAACGTCCATTGCCCAGGGCGTACCTGTTGCTCTTTGTTGTCGTTAACCATCCTAGATACCTCTACCTGGATTCTGATCGAACAATCTTTTCTTGTGTGCGTAATTCTTTATCCTGTCCAGAAGCCCAGATCGTAGAGGAAAGCAATGTAGAAAGGAGTATGTATCTAATCAATGTTGATAGTTGAATATTGCAAACATGATCGATTCACTGCCACTTCAATTTTTTTCTCTACAAAGCATGAAAGCCACAAAAGGAGAAGAATTCAGACAATAACAAAGAGTCTACAAAGCGACCCTGCAACGGATTCTGTTCAGATTGTCTTTCATCTCGTCCTCCGAACAACGAACAATAGTTGCCATAGACCAATCCCCCCGAATCAAATCATGTATGGGATCATGCAGAAAGGCATAAATAGAGCCTGTACCCCTCCTGTCATGTCCCCCTCCATTGCACCTCATAGGTATAAGGACTTGACTGGAAGATAACTTCCAAAGCTACAGTTCAGCATAGCCCCCAAGGCGTCCAGAAAAACACCACCTAGGTATAACCCAGCAAACCGCCAAAATGCCCGAGCACAAGAAAATCTCTATAACCCCATACGGCCCCCTGGGACCGAAAGTCACGCAGTCGGGCAAAACCACCACGATCGAGACCCCCGCTCGCCTGTATCCCAGAGCCGAGTTCCAGCCGTTCTCGACACCGGCCCGCGCAGACGCCACCCGCGCAGCCTGCCCCTGCCTCACCAGGACTGTCCCCGCCCCCCCAGATCTAACCGCGGACCGCCCAGCCCCCAAGCTCGACTGGAACCGCGTGAACGCAAACGTCAACGGCGACATTGAGCGCCGCTTGCACCCGCGGCCCACCGTTGCGTGGGCGTCAACGTACAACATCAGCGTTGGGGCGGTCCATTGCCCTGTTCATGTGCAGGGCAAGCAGGATCCGCAGTGGGTGCTTGTCGTGCACCCGTTTGATACGAACGAGCCCTGCGCGTGGCTGTTTCTCGGCCAGGCCAGTGTCAGGTGGCTTGGGATGGAGGTGTACAGGGCGAAGACGGGCTTGTTTGATTGTCGGGAGGCGAGGGGGTGCGGGCATGAGGAGTGTGAGTTGCTCTATCAGAAGAGGTACCTTGCTACTTTGTCTGGGGAGGAGATGCAGTTTATTGAGAAGCTTGTCTTTGAAAAGTGGTATCGCGTCCGCGATCACGGTGTGACGTCGCTTGCCTTTATTACGGAGGTTGTGGCGCAGTGTACCCGGGAGAGGGCGATGTTTGGGGAGGATGTCCGTGACATTATAATGGAGTTGGTGAAGAGGTTTGGGCGTGCGTTTGATGGGTAATGTGTTGGTATGTTTGTTTGCTTGATGGTACTTTACACTCTTTAGAGGAAATGGAAATTCTAAGTATTGCATTGATGAAATTTTGACTTTGTAGAATTTGTAGGATGTACCGGTAGGTTTCTTCCGGATAAAGTGATCCAATGCATCAGGTCATTGTATAGATGTAGTGAGAGGTTGCCCTGAGGAATGAACGTTTGATGAACGTAATTTGACTTTCCGAAAGTTCCCCATTGACAGCGTATTGCAGACTGCCCGAGTTGGATATAGTCCTGGAGATTACCATGGAATTTTCCTTGTGGCTCGAGTTCGTGGCACCAGCCAGGGTTTCTATGTGTAGCAGCCAACTCATGACTGTTCATCAAGAGTTGAGCACAGTAGTGAGAGCAAACGACACTCAAAGCCATCTACCCAGGTATCAATGCTGGGTGTTTACTCTTCACATTCTAAAGTCACAAGAGCCTTTATTCCACGCAGTCTTTCTCCTCGCAATGGGACATATTACCTTCACAAAGACGCCAGACCAAAGACCAAATAAAGGCTTTGTTTTTCTTTGATACCTATACGCATCCCTTTTATTTGTTCGTTGAATGAGAATATGCATCTTCAAAATACAGAGATGGGAGGCGAGGTATATATTGGACCCGACCCAACCTACCTCGCAACAAGAGCATCTACCTTGCACTCATTTTCCACACAGTGTGAAGCCGTTGCAATAGACCTACTGTGGTCCATAATTGCTATCCACCCATCTACCAACAAACTAACCACAGAAAACCGCCACCATGTCCCGCGTCCCCAACCTCACCAACCAAAGCGTGGTCTCCGCACACACAGACGACACCATGCTCACCCACCGAAGCTCCCTGCATCCCGAGAACGAGTTCCGGCCCGAGGTCGACTGGGAGTCCGTCTCGCTCGGACTTCCGCGCCTCTGCCGCTACGACCCACCAGACTACGACATCGGCATCGCGGCCGTCTGCGACCCCGAGGACGAGGACGAGCGAGACCCCGGCTGGATGCTCATCGTGCACGACCTGGACCAGAAGGAGTGCCGCTGGTATGCGCTCGGCGCGACGAAGAAGTGGTGGCAGATCGGGCGCCGGAATTTCCATGGCAAGTGTCTAGTCCGGGAGAGGACGGTATGGAAGCATAAGTTCTGCAATGCGTTGCGTGAGAAGAGGAGGTTGGGGACTATTTCTGCGAAAGGCTTAGAGGCTTTCGAGGAGGTCTTTGCGAAGATTAGGTATCAGGAGAGGAGGACTACGATTGAGTTTATACGCGAGTGTCTTGGGAGGTGTATAAGGGAGGAGTGCATCCTTGAGGCGTCTGTTTTGGGGTTGTTGGATGAGTTGGCGGGAGTATGATTGAGAGACATCGGGTTGGATGTTCTACGCTCTTTAAATATCTAGCCTAGATTATAAATGTCATTTGGTTTTTACTGCCAGGATTCTGCCTGCAGTCGGTTGTGCTTTTGAGATAGACAGTACGCGTAGCCTCATGACCATCAGTACCTGCTTTATAAAATCTTTTTTCTGCATCTGGCCGCGCACAAACGATGTACAAGGTACCTATGATTGAACTCCGATGCTATCCTATATGTACTAGTTACATCCAATAGCAGTCAACTGACAATGGCAACAATAGAGTCAATGTGCTCATAAATGCATGAAGATAGCCAACACCCCAAGTACAGAACCCGTTATAATATTTTCCGACTAGCTCTTTAGCCTTGTGAACTCTTTGCTTGGGTAAACCCAGGCCTTTGCCAGCGAGATGGTCAGTGCAATCTGTCACTGGAACAAAAGTGAATCTAGTGTTTTTCATAACGTGGCATTGAATCCAACAGAATATGTAATTCTCTTTTCTACGGCCTCCCAGTGAATGTGACCGACACTCCACTTCGGTCGTCCGCATCTATGGTTGAAGACGACTGGCTAATTTCTTTGACAGCACGTTTGACTGCAGCCAAAGAAGTTAAAGGGGTTGTACAGTAAAGCCAGAAAGAGACAATGCCCATGCCTGAAAGGGGATCCTTCTGAGGGCTTTGATTGACCCAGGGAAACCGATTGTGAAAGAAAGGCATCTTGAGGGTGTGACGTGAATGGCCAAGTAGAACAAAGCCCAGTGAAGACAAGCAATGCACTTTGAACAATGATGCATTCACCCACCATTTCAGCATTCATTGTCCTAGAACCAAAATAACAAGCTATAAGTAAGTCCCCTTCCCCCTGTCCTAGATTTCGAAGAACTTCTCAACCACCAAACTGTCAAACGCCAAACAGCATTCACAACCCAAAAGTCTACTGACAACTCAACTATACTCCTCATATCAGCAACAAAACTGTTATGCGTACCCACACCCAACCCACCATGTCAGCAGGCGGACCAAACGACTACACCCTCTGGATCGGCATAGCCAACCACAACCCCGACCTCGAACTCCAGCGCTACATCGTCATCCTTCACAAGAACAACGAGCAAGTCTGCCAATGTTTCAGCACATCCTACGTGTACAAAGGCCGTGCGAAAATCGGGATGTGGAAGCACGCAATCAGATCGTTTGACCCCCGCGCAGCAGACCACGCCCACTGCGACAAGCTGTACAACAAGCAGTTTGTCTGCCACGTCCCTGCGCAGGAATTCGAACGCCTTACATATTACTTCGATATTATGCCGCCGCGCGAGAGCCAGTTCTTTGTCTTCCGCTGGCTTTATCTGTGTGTTGATCACGGGTTGATTCGTGGGGACGATGTTGATCGGGTGAAGCCTGTTGGGCAGTTTGGGGAGGGGAGTACGAGGTGGATTGATGCTACTAAGTAGGGCTTGCTTTGCTTGTGGTGCCTGAGAGTTTAGGTGTTGCTTATACTTGGATGAGTTGACCATCTATTGGTTTTGAATATTCATATATGTTGTCCATTTCGTCTGTACTTTCATACACTCACGCCTACGTAGTAGAGCGTATCCCCTTTCGGAGATTGTTAAAAATAGTAGATGCCTGGTTCCGTCTCAGGTGACTTAAGGCAGATATAAATTTGATTACTTAGGGTGGTGATCTCGCATTTAATAGCGTCGTGGACCATTACTCCGTACAGTGGGTACCCAGTCAGCCGCTCAAGCCTGGAAGGCTAGTAACATATCAACCAAGATGAGGGCTATTACTTATGTCATATCAGATCCATATCTCCTCGTGTAAGCGTCTATGCGTTCAATATCGACATTGTTTGTTCCTTTATGTTGACGAGCACAGAGCTCCTAGCCCTATATGAGCAAATGAAGACTGTGGATTTGACTGTCACTTACGAGACATTATCTCTAGGCTTACCTCTGACCTTCTCCAGGTATTATGACGAGCTACCTATTCGCAGTTATCTATCGTATCGCAGAGAGCTGTTTAGACTTGCAAGATTTAAAGGGCTGGCCGAAATTTGCGATATATTTCGGGTCCCACTCCACTGCTAATAGAATATGGGCTTGGATACTTCACATCTTTAGCTACCTGATAGGCGCATACTGTAGTCAATATGAAACTAAAGCCTGAAAGACGCGCGAATAGTGCGCCATGGGGCGGCAAACTGCAGGGCAAGGCAGAGGCTGTACCCACCACGGAAACCAAGTTTCGAATTCTTGGCCCTCCACTTAGCGTGTGCTAGCTGTAAATTAAGCGTCTCTTACTTTAAAAAACGACCCAAGAAGGTGTAGGTATGTCTGAAATTCAGCCACGTTACATCTAGACTATTGGCTTGGCGGCACTTGGCCATGAGCCAAGAATTCGAAACTTGGCTTCCGTGGTGGGTACTATGCCCAGAGGCCACCCGCCCAACTACCTCACCATTTGCCTGCTGGTCAGGTGTTGATTCGATCCGGAGCGCCTCATGCAAGATATTTGAAAACGGTAGAGAATAATATTTTGGCGATTGTTGAAGTTGTGTCTGATCATTGTTGGGGGCGGGCGCTGCGAGCCCCAAGGATGAATATCCATCCCACCACACTGGCAGGTAGTTACTCTGCCTGCCTTTGTGGGCTCTTACTATATAGCAAGACAAAATGCCATTTTTTCAATGTTGGCCGGGTGGCCTAATGGTAAGGCGTCAGGTTTCGGTTCACCGGAACACCTGCATGTTGGAGCACCCCTTCAATCCCTGAAGATTGCGGGTTCGAGTCCCGTCTCGGTCATTCTTTTTATTAAATTCACTGTTTTTTTCTCCAGCCAAAACGAAAAGGGTTTCTACAAGCAGCATCAAACATTCTTCCTTGACTGCTGAGTCTTATAGAAGCCCATTGTTGTCTGAAAACTGATATTATTATTTCGGTTGAGATAGCAAGACCTGTGATTGGGGGGCGGTGCACAAACAATCAAACAGGACTAGCGGCCTTGGCATTATCCTGCCTTTAACCCCGTCTCGCCCCTGGACCAGTAGACTCATCATGCAGCCTCTCCGCTCCCCAGACTCTTCCACATTCAATGAGCGGTGTATAGACACTATTCTACACTATTAAGCCCTTATGCCTCGTGATCCCTTAGGATGAGCCACCTACTGCCCCTTCTCCACGGACAAATCAGTCTTTCTACGGCCCTAGACGACGACGACAATGTCCTCCAAGAGCTCTCCTATCCCAAACTGCGGCTTGAGTTCTATGTATACCTTTACCAGCACCGCACGGTAATTGAGTCGATCGTGGCCTATCACATGAATCTCAACAAACGACAAACCTGCCGTGTTGGGGAAGTCAAGGACTGGATTTCCGGGAGTTTCAACGTATGCATACCAGTTGACATTGACGGGCAGGATGGCAATGCATCGAAGCGGGTTCTCATTAGATTTCCTTTGCCCTACAAGGTAGGGGAAAGCCAACACCCTGGCAATGCAGACGAGAAGCTTCGCTGCGAGGCCGCGACTTTCATCTGGATTCAGCAGAACTGTCCGTCTGTCCCAATACCTCGATTATGGGGGTTCGCGTTTGCACAAGGCCCATGCGTGAGTGAGTCGCTGGTATGGATTGTCTATACTCCTAACAGCGGCCTAGTTCACTGCGATTGAGCACATTCCCTTCTTGGGCCGATTGAAATGGTATTTTCATCGTGTGGTATCTTCTGTATTTGGCTATCCGCCTCGATCACCTTACTTGCCTCGAAAGTGTTCATTTAGCCTAACATCCGGATATCTGCTCATGGATCATGTCGGAAGCACTGGAACTGCGATGCTTTCTGAATCTTGGGATAAGCTACGCCACGACCGAGCGCGCAGAACCAACCTTTTTCGCGGGCTGAGTCGGATTATCCTATCCTTCGCTCAGTTCCCCTTTGACCGCATCGGATCTCTAACATTGAACGATCAAGGCATCATCACACTCACTAATCGCCCTCTAACGCTTCGTCTCCATCATATAGAAAACGAGGCTGTCCCCACCGATATAGACAGGGATCTGACGTATTCAACAAGCGATAGCTATTTCATGGACTTGCTCTCCTGTCACGACAGCCGGTTGCGCCACGCTCCGAATTCAATACGGGATAAGGCCGATGGTGAAGCCCAGCTGTCAACTCTGACCATTATGCGAGCTCTGCTGCCACATTATTCCTGCCGCAATTACAGACGTGGACCGTTTATTATGACTTTAACAGATCTACATCAGAGTAATATCTTTGTCGACAGTGACTGGAACGTCAACGCACTTGTTGATCTGGAGTGGGCATGTTCCCAACCGGTCGAGATGCTGCATCCGCCCTACTGGCTTACTAGTCGTGGGGTGGACCAGCTATATAAAGGCGAGCATCTCGATGCCTTCAGCAAAGTCCATGCTGAATTCCTGGGTATATTTGAGGAGGAAGAACAAGCTTATTCTCAAGCTGGGAACAAAACCCTTGGTCTCACAAACATCATGCGGAGGGGCTGGGAAATCGGCAGCTTCTGGTACTTTCACGCCCTTGAAACACCCAAAGGTCTGTATAATATCTTCCTAGAGCACATACAACCGAGATTCGCGAAGCTGGATGATGCGGGGATGGTGCAGTTTGAACAGACCGTCTCGCCATATTGGGCACCGGATGTACAAGGTTTCCTTGACAACAAAATGAAGGATAAACGAATATATGAAGGTCGTCTTCGTGACGCCTTCGCGGCGGCCACCGAAGAAAACACTCAAGTCTGAGCCACCTCTTACGGATTGAAGCACGGAGTCGTCCTGTTGAGTGTCACACTTGTGCTCCCTGGCCCCCAGTCTGGCCGGCGCTTCCTTGACTCGCTGCTTTACCACTCGCACTGTCATGCTGGGCACGCCGAAGCGCTGCTTCCTTTCGGCGATCCTGTGCCCTTTGCCCAGATGATGACAACTGCTCCATGGTCTTCTGGTCACTCAAACCGATCGTGACAGCGTTGCGCGCCTCGCGCTGCGCTGCATCCTGCGCGGCTGGTCCGTCGGCCATCTCGTGCTCTACCTGATATAACAGTCTTCTGATTTGTGGCGCTTTCGTTATATGATGTTCTGGAATTTGGCTTTAGTGGGTTCTCTCGAAGAGCGAGTTTAGTATAATCAACGTGTATTTCTGTTGTACATCTCCTAATGTGGTCGACTACACAGGGAGATTTGGATAGAGAAGCAAAGCAAACTGCTTACCTGACAGTATGAGGGCAATATGACTAGAACCGAAGCTTCAGTGGGTCCGGTCAAGAATGGGCTGCCAAAGCGTCTGTTAAATACATCCCCATAGACCCAGACCAAGTTTTGCTAAGTCTCCATCTACCTAAGGGCGAGGCTCGGCCAAGACTGGGAGGAAGCATCGTGACGTGGCAGACTACCTAAATCAGACAGATGCAGCTACGTACTCCCGTCTGCACCCCGCCCTGTATAACAGCACCCGCAGGATAAGTTAGTTGGGTTTTATTTATCGTAGCCGTACGACCATTGATGGCTGGGCCATAGGTATCAGGCAAGAAGCCGGGCAGGGGAAAGCGCCTCTCAAGCCTACCTTCTAACAGGGGACGAGAGTCCTTAAAGCTCAAGGAGCCCGGCCCGCCAATAGAAGTGTTCAGGGGTATCAAAGCGGGCCGTAGGGTGCTGGTTCTTATATTTGTTACCTGGTGCACGCTAGGATGCGTTAGGCGCTTTTTGGAAACAAGCCACCCGTGGTTGTACGTTGCGTTTAGCTGCGTTGCTACATTACAAAATGAGTTGCCAAGGGCATGTTATCGCCAGCAATAGCTAAAGAGAAGGAAGAGATAGTACGGTGCCATAGTTCCACCCGAGGTTCGCGATAAAACATGTGCCTAGTTGGGAATTAAGTTGGGGCGCTTGAAACATCTTTGGCCATTCACATAAATAAATGCAGATATTACTACCATATCATTCCCTGCTTGCTGTATATATTGGCATACCATTAGCACATCCACGAAGTATAAACCATCAGGCATCCATCCGTACCGTTTCAGGTCTTGCTTCTACATAGACGTTATTTTACTTACCATTAACGGTGCACCGAACAGGGGACAAAATTGGAGTTATACTGTACTATGGTATGAGTAGTAAGGCTCTTTCTACGCTACTATCTAATGATGAGGAATCTCTATGCAAGATGATTCTCATCCCTGTCTCTGCGCTTACCTACCCCCAGATCACCGTCCACTTAGTGCTTCCTTCTACAACCTAAAAGGGCTGCTTTTGAGCGCGACAATGAGAAGTCATCGTAACTGTTGGCCATATTGGACAACTGTCTCAGGCATCAGATTGCGGCAGAATGGCCTTAGTTAATACATCCAGGACCTGGGGAACTCCGGACACGACGGAAAAGCACCGGATAATCTCGCAGCCCTGGCAGAGACATCACCCACCCCTCTTTTACATCCTCGGAGCAATCCGTTGGCGACAAGTGGATTGTAGCGTTGATTGGCATGCCGAGCAGGCCGGCCTGCATCCGAATCCTTCGATCTGGCAAATCCACCATTCGCAGCGCCTCAACACCGCATCCAAGGGATTTGAATTGTCCAATCATAACCATGCCCTCCATTAGCCGGTACTCTCATGGAATGCGCGCTATTTACCCCGTGGGGAATGAAGGGATCGACATCGTGCCATTGGATTAACAAAGAAAGCAGCCTTAGGAGGCGCATGACACCGCGGCGCCGTCGGACTTTACATACGGCTAAATTCGAAGCTTGGATGCAAAGCACGTCATGGTACAGGTCTATTTGCTACTTAATGGCCCTCGTACCCCAGGCTAGTTGGGGTAGTTTTCTTGCTCTAGCTGCCTTACCACGGGAAGCCAGCAATAATGGAGAAAACCAATGACTCCCCAGCATCCCTTCACGTCGAAGAACAATTCAGCGGCGATGTCGAAAAGACGAACGACGGCCAATGGCACACCAGCACCAAAGAAGCTCAAGCCGCCAACGCCGCCGAGCACTCCATGACCGTGCGACAAGCCCTACGCGCCTACCCCTGGGCCGTGATCTGGTCGCTCACCATCTCGATGTCCATCATCATGGAAGGCTACGATACGAATCTGATTGGCAATTTCTACGCGTATCCTGAGTTTAAGCGGCAATTCGGGCGGGAGTACGCACATGGGTACGAAGTCCCTGGCAAGTGGCAGTCTGCCCTCGGGGCGGGCGGGAACGCGGGTTGTATTATTGGAGCGTTTCTGAACGGATACTTTATTAAGCACTACGGGTTCAAGAGGGTGTTCATGGGTGCTTGTCTCTGCATGTGTGCGTTCATCTTTGTCAGTTTCTTTGGGAAGAGCGTTGGGGCGCAGGTTGCTGGGCAGGTTCTTTGTGGTGAGTCTCATCCATCCCAGTCATCAATCTTCAGTAAGGCAATGGCAATGGCAGCCAGTTCACCGGGCTGACAATGCAGGCATACCCTGGGGAATGTTCGCCACAATCGGCCCCGCCTACTCCTCCGAGCTCCTGCCCATGGCCCTACGCTCGTACCTAACGGCGTACACAAACATGTGCTTCGCGATCGGACAGTTCCTGTCAATGGGCGTGCTCCAAAGCCTCCTCAACCGGCCGGACGAATGGTCTTACCGCATTCCCTTCGCCGTACAATGGATCTGGCCGGCGCCGTTATTCGTCATCGCGATCTTCATGCCCGAGTCGCCGTGGTGGCTGGTCCGGCACGGGCAATACGGCGCCGCGGAGAAGACGGTACAAGGTCTTATGGCGGAGAGCGAGAGTGATAATGCGCGAAAGGTCGTGGCCATGATGATCCATACCAATGACATCGAGGCAGAGATCGAGGCGGGCAGCTCGTATCTCGATTGTCTTCGGGGCTCGAATCTGCGCCGGACGGAGATCGCCTGCGTTACGTTCGCCGGCCAGGTCCTTGCTGGTAGTCAGTTTGCGTACTCGGGGACGTACTTCTTCGAGCAGGCGGGGATGAGCCCGGATGATGCGTACAAGCTTGCGCTTGGTGGGACGGCGATTGCGTTCATTGGGACGATTCTTTCGTGGTTTTTGATGAAGGGGTTTGGCCGCCGCTCGATGTACCTCGGTGGTATAGGGATGATGTGCGTTTACCTGTTCATCATTGGGATCTTGGACCTGGTCCGGGACAGGAGTGGTGTGAAGTGGGCGCAGTCGTCGCTGTGCATCATCTGGTTGTTCACTTATTCCCTCACTGTTGGACCGCTGGGATGGTCCATTGCACCGGAGGTCTCATCGACCCGACTACGTTCGAAGACCATTGTGCTGGGGAGGAGTACGTACTACGTCGCTATCTTGGTGGCAAATGTCATTGAGCCGTATTTCATGAATCCGACGGCCTGGAACTGGCGAGGGAAGACGGGCTTCTTTTGGTTTGGCAGTGGCTTTCTAGTCCTCATCTGGGGCTTCTTCAGATTGACCGAGACGAAGGGAAGGACGTTCGAGGAGCTGGACATAATGTTTGCGGCGAAGGTGCCGACTAGGAGGTTCAAGAGGTACCATGTTGATGCTTATGCAGAGGATTTGAGTATCAAGGACCGGGCGAAGGAGAAGTAGAGGTTTGCTACGTACATGATCTTTACTCCTCGTAAGCAGTTATATTGTGGTCTTTCTTGGAAATTATTACTGAACATAGAAGAAGAAAGATGAATACAATTCTTGTATCAGCAAATGCATATATAAAAGCAACTTACACTTAAACGAACGATTAAACCAGGCTTTCGCCTATTTAACAGTGCTTATCCCACTCCATCCCGAAGAAACCCTCCCTACTAGACTCAAACGTAGTGCCCACATTATCGTCATTCAAAACTTCATCCTCCAAGTTACTCCCAGCCTCATCATCAGCAGGGACCTTCACATCCAGGAACCTCCACTGATACCCACCAACCCAACTAGCCATAAGAACATCCCTCGCAACACCATTCTCAATGAGCCCCAACCTCGCCAAATTCGCCACGAACATCGCCACAAACTTCTTATTCCACGTAAGATCAAGCTCATAGAAGATATCCTGGAACGTACCGTAATCCTCCGCCTGGATCGTGCCAAGGAGCAATGTATCTGCGAACTCCGAGCGCCTGAATACAAGGCGCTTGCTGCGCGTGCGTATGTAGTTTACGTTTGCGTCAGGGTTTGGCTTTGACCAAGGCAAGGGCCAGATTGAGCTGCCGCTTGGCTCGGAATCTTCGGGGTCAGGCTTCGACCAGTACCAGATTGCCTTTCTGGTTGCGGCGTCGACGAGCACGAGGACCCAGAGGCGGCCGAGGGGGGCGTATGGCTTGCTTATCCCGAGGTAGAGCTCGTAGGAGCAGGGGCAGTCGGGGTCGTGCATTGTTTGTACGCTTGAGAGGCTGGACTTACTGGGTGTCGAAGGTGTAGGGGTTGGGGGGCGGAGTGATAGGGGTGGGCAGGGGATGATGCTTGACATGATGGTGGTAATTGATGTGTAGATTAGTGTGATGATTGTGTTGATCATATCGTGTATAGAACGATGTGTGGATGGTGTTCAATATGGAAAGAGGTAGGGCAACGGACACGGGCATTGTATTTATAAGGGCACTGTACTTGCGCCCCTTTTCCATGCACAAAAGTTGTTGTGTTGAAAGATGCTGAGGTCGTTGTCTGCTTTGTATTTATTGTTGAAAGCCTATATCTCTTTTGAACGTTGCTTTGTGCTATGCTCCTCGTCAGACTTCATTGTACAGAGTGAAAGGGCTTCCAAGGTTGACTGAAAGGCCATGGGCAAAGCCGAGAGCAAAACTGCCTTGAAGGCTTTGTTAGGGCTTGCCGGGAACAAGGCCCAGCTTCCAGACCTGTTCTTGCCTGCCTAGCCAAGCAGAGATCTGGAGTAAATGCAGAGCTCAACGGTGAATAGAGAGCCCGACAGTGAATGGAAGGCTAGCTGTTCTAACATTCACCGTGCTCCAGAGCTCTAGACACCAACTCCAGAGCTTCATCTAATAATCTATATAGATCATGGAGAATACCTTCCCTTTCCCTTCTCCCAACAACCTACGAACCCCTCCAACTCACACCACTCACCATGGCGTCCCTCATTACGCTCCCTCCTGAATGCCTAATTGCGATACTCAAAAGCTGTGACACCCCATCCGAAGCTCTTACGTTTGCCTCCAGCTGCAAGCACCTGCAGGAAGTCTTCGACGAAAACAGACTTTCTATCCTTGGAAACATAGCACAGCGCCAAACCCCTGCGTTCGAGGACGCTCTGATGACCATCCGCGCAACGAGAATCGTTCTTGAGCATTTCAATCACGGCGAGCTCCCACCGAATCCTTTTCCCCTTGACACCTTGACCCTAAAAGCCCGACGACCCACCGCGGAGGATCTACGCGACCTGCGCCAGTGGCAGCACCTGGTCAAATGCATCGAAGACATCGTCCTGAACAAGTTCGAATGGGGCCGAGAGTGCGATGCAACTATCAGACACGATCCTGCAACATGGTCCATCTGGCAGGAGAACTTCCACCGCGCAATCTACCGGTTCTTCCTAATGGGCGCCGTCCTGTGTGGTGCATACCAAGACCCTCTGTCACCGGCAGGTAAGCACGGCAGCCCCCCATCGTCCTTCAACTACTACGGCGACCGGATGGAGGACGCAAGCCACTTTGGCCCCCTACTCAGGCCGTGGGAAATGGCCCATTTCCTCAAATACCCCGTCTTCAACTTCGAGGCCCACCACAAGCACGAGCCCATCTACGGACCCCTGGCAGAGCTAATGAAGAACCAAACCGAGCTCCGCGCACGCGATCTAGCCCAAGACCCCGCTGATGTCCTGCTGAAGGAGATGGTAGATTGTCTAGCCTTCTCCGTAGCCCTCCTCAACCCGACCTTCGAAGATGCGCTGTGGCGGCTCCAACCGCTTGACTACGAGGCAGGACAGGATTTCTCACACATAACAGTCATCCCACTCGGCCACTTCTACCCAGAGATCATTCAGATGCCGAACAACTCGCGAGACGCACACAATACCCTGCTGCTGCATGGCCCTGTCGAGCACGAGGACAGCATAGCCGGAGCCCCTGCGTGGCACGAATCGGCTCCATACATGCGATCCATCCTCTATACCATGCACTCGTATTCCGAGCAGCCGAATCACTGGGCCGAGGGACCTGGGAGTGAGCTGTACCCGACTCCTCCGCCACCAATCCAGATATTCCAATACATGCTCCGCAAGTATTTGGGCTGTCGGTTTGCGGGCGAGGCGTTTGACGATGATTTGGACAGGGAGGATGTCAGCTACATCCATCTGAAGACTAATCCGTTCGTCAGCGAGGTCTTCCTGCATCGTTGGCCAGATGCTGGAGATTTGGACGTCAAGGGCCTTTTTGCTAACGATACTGCTGATTATGAGGATCACATCGTTCATAATCATGAGGTGGTGGTCTTAGCGTGGGAGTACTAGGTCACCGGTGATTCCTTGGTGCCGGACTGCTTGTTTTATCTTTCAAACATCTTTTCATGCTATTTCACATTATTTCATATCATGTCATGTCATTCCATGTTATTTCACTTCCATAAGGCTAAATTGAAGGATCAAATAGGACAGATGTTAGGTCTATTGAAAACTACCCAAAATGCTTAGTACCATAGTAGACAGCTAGATAGCAAAGTATCTGGTCAATGCTGGTGATGACATCAAATGAGAAGAACCACGTTCCTCTCACCGTACATCGCATCTATCCATACCTATCCCCGTATTGTTTGCCCCAACTCGGCGCAAGAATACCATAGGTTCCATACTGCAAAGGAGTTCCTGCTGCTCAGGGTGCCCAGATCTCTATGCTGCCAAACAATCTACATAAATCCAAGGACGTAGCTCTCCTTAATCCAAGAAACAACTTATATTGCACCCCTGCTGTACGTACACGCACACTTCGCTCCATTCCTGCCTGGTGGAATGCTCTACCTAAGGCCTCCTTCCCGCCCTAAACTCCTGCATAATCGCCCTCATCCTCCCCTGCTTAATGCGCAGTTGAAGTCGACGTCTGGGCAGTCGGCGACGCTGAGGTAGATCCTGCGGGGGAGCATGGCTGATTATAGTTATTGTGGTAGATGTATGTAGAGTGCGTTTGAATTAAGTGAAACCTAAACTCCAGGAAAATGGAGTGGTAGCTATTAGGGAAAGGGTTTAGATTGGCCATGTCTTTTTATACCCATCCTGCACCGTATTTGCTTTGTCCAGTGCATTTCTTTACTGCATATCGATGATTGTTGCACTCAAATGTTTCTTTCATGCAAGCGCTAAATGCTCGTCCAGAAGCGTTTGCGTTTTAAAACAAGAGAACAAGTCCAGAGACCTGACAAGGAAGATAGAAAGTAATGTTTGTCAGAGTCAACAAAGCCAGGTTGAAGAGGACTGTAATAACAATAATAATAATAATAAATGGCTAAAGTTTGCCCTCAAATAAATCATTCCGAGTTGCCTCAGGGTCACTAATATCGAAAGTCCACCAAGCAGGCCCGTACTAGGTAGCTTGGTAATCTATTATCACACCTTTCAACACTTCCCCAACTCAGCCACGTCTTTCATTTGGCGAACGGGGAAGATTCGGGATTAGCAGCTATTCTTAGCACTTCTCCCGACCAACTTAAGAATCCAAGCTTCGTCACAAAAGGTGGCGGGAGCTTGTGCTGCCGGTGACCGAATCTTCCTCAAGCAGTCTTGATGCATAAACACCATGCATTTAGGCAGTATAATAATCCCTAGCCTTCCACTGGTCATTATTTAAAATAAAGGAGGAACCTGCAAGACCCAACGTTTTAACAACTCGGGTTCGGGCTCGTACTCGTACCTTTCGCCTGCTCGGAGATCTCGGATGGCCGCAACCGGACAAGCGTACGAGTACGAGATGTGGGGATTGACATAGCCACTTATACAATGAGGCGAGTAGTAAAGAATCAGATTCTATTGGCACATTTGTAGAGTTGTGGAGAGCACTCGGTTTGATAATGGAGGTTACCTAGATGATCTGCAGCAGGGGCGTCATGGTGGCTTGAATTATTCTTGCCGAGACACGGGTGGAATGGAGATGGATAGGTATAAATGGCCGCTCTGCCGCCAAAAGGATCACTAGGCCTCTATGATTATCACACCAAAACTCAACATGAAGCTCGCGACCTCCGTAATGACCGTCCTCGGTCTCGCCTCCGCCAGTCCCCATTACGGGGCTGGCGATATCTCCCACTGGATCCCTCCCAGTGCAAGCGATTGTACGCAAGCAAACACCGTGTCAAATAGCGGTATTCCTTGATAACTGCGTCTAATACCTGCTGCACAGACCGAGGCCCCTGCCCGATGATGAACACGCTCGCAAACCACAACTTCCTCCCCCACGACGGGCGCAACATCACGCGCGACAAAGTCATCGACGGCCTAGGAAAGGCACTGAACTTCAATGCCACACTCGCCTCGCTGATGTTCGACATGGCCATCGTTGTTAATCCCGAGCCTAATGCGACGTGGTTTACTTTGGACCAGTTGAACCAGCATAACATCCTCGAGCATGACGCTAGCCTTAGGTATGTTTACCTAGCTGATCCAGGGGATATAGTCAAGAACTTCGCTAACTGATGGTCTTTTACAGTCGAACGGACGCCTTCTTCGGCAACAGCCACATCTTCAACGCCTCCATATTCGCCGAGACAACATCCTACTGGACGAATGACACCCTGACGCCCGCCATGCTGGCGAACAGCAAGCTCGCGCGGCAGATTACCTCGCGCGCATTTAATCCAACATACACGTTCACCGCATCCACAGAACAGTTCAGCCTCGGCGAGGTTGCAGCGCCTATTGTCGCCTTCGGGAGCTTTGATAACGGGACCGTGAGCAGGGAGTTGGTGGAGTACTTCTTCCGACACGAGCGGTTCCCAACCGAGCTGGGCTGGAGGACGCGTGATGAGGTCGTGCAGTTGATGGATGTGATGAAGATCTCTAGCATGATTGGGAGCGAGACGGACTTGCTTACGGGGGAGGAGAGTTCGGCGGGGAAGGCGAAGAGGGCGGATATGGTTAGGAGGGGGGATTTGCATGCGGGGTTTAAGTGGTGATATTGTGATTACTGTGGTAGCATGGTTGGAGGTTCGCCATAGTCCAGAGCGATCTACAAGCATTAAAACCAAGGGAGTCCTCTAATTTCGTGATTTCTTGGACGTATTTGGAGAATACCATGACTGGCGATATGAAGCCCTAGGTAAAAGCATCCATCGCCCTCTCCGCAACCTCCCTCCACTTCCCAACTTTATCCCCCGCCTGACCCCTCGGACAAACCTCCACAATAGCCCTAATATGGTTAACAGCCGTCTGCATCTGCTCTTGCTTATCATTCAACGTCATCTCCTCAAGTAGATGGCCCGCGCCCTTCTCTAGGCAAATCTTCTCAAACAACCCTTCCATCCGCGATTGCTCCGCCTTATCCTCCGGTGCCCATTTCATATTCCACAGGAACGCGCGTGGCGGATTCCACCGCGGTGCTGGCACAACCCCGCTAAATTCCCAGTCTAGTACGGCGGTGATGGGACAGCCGGGTTGGGAGGGGGCGCACATGATGTTTGCGAAGTGCAGATCTTTGTGGGCGAGGACGTAGGTGACATGGTTCAGGTCGGAGGTGTTCTCTTCTTTTTGGAGCTGTGTGATGAAGGCGCGGATACGAGGTATCATGTCTCTATACGTCTCGAGTGAGGGATGGACTTCGATCGCGTGGATGTACCGCTCCAGACACCCAATGGTGTAGTCGACATAGCGGGAGAATCCGTCCGGGGAAATGGGGTTGAGCGTCTCCAGCGTCTCTTTGGTTGGAAGTTCAGATTCAAACCAGTACTTCTGCAGGTCAGGCATCTGCCAGAAGTTCTCATCAATCGGTGGCCCACGCGTGACTTTTCCTTCGCTTAGCTTAAGACCGCCCACATACCCCTCATCCCAAGGCTTCGCATGCAGCTGGATGAGATAGTCCGTTAACTGTCGGACAAGCGACGTCTTTTCCTCATCGGACAATTTGTCGTAGATCTGGTCGACACTGACGCCCGGCGCCATCTCCAGGAGCGTGAACTCATGCCCAATGGGGTTCTCTTCTGAGTTGTCGAAGCGTAGCACTGCGGGGACGGGGATCGTCGTGTTTCGGCGCACCCAGGTCATGACTCCGACTTCGTTGCGGGTTTTGATATCCGGCAGTTGGCGGCCGGAGACGCGCAGGACGAGGGTGATTGTGCCATTGGGATTTGAGCGTGCGGTGATGTTGGATGAGGGTGGGAAGGTGATGAGGTAGATGGTGTGGAAGGCTGCTCGGACTTGAAGTGGTTTGATGGATGTGGGGGTTGGTAGATCGAGCGAAGTGATCAATGTTCTTATTGTCTCAGTACTGAGAGATGGGGGGAGGTATGTGGCTTGGGTGCCCATAATCAGATTTCGGTAGAATGGTTCACGGTTACCACTTCTTGGAGGTGGAAGCAATTATATATAGCAGAGAGGGAGGCTTCATTCTGGATCAACGTGACATCGGATCTGAAGGCTTATCATGTCTTAGCCTGAACTGTCAAGCGTTGGAGATAATCAAGAATGAGCCATCATGACTCATTGTTGGAGAGCCTCTAGTCAGCTAAAGATACACCACTAGGCTTACCAGCTAACCGTCTATCATGTCTTTAGGATGGTCCAATTTGGCTAATAAGTCCATCTGTTGACAAACAGGGACGCAAGCGAAGGAAACAATATCTAGATATGCCTAATTCTACAGCAGTTGCAAACTCGCCCTGAGAAAACGTGTCGGAAAAGCTGTCTGATTTCAGAATGCCGGTTTGGAACCCGTGGACACTGAATATTCTAATAGACTCCAGCTCTAGATTCCTACATATGCCCCCTTCATCAAAACATCCCAAATCGAAATCCAAACCGCCGCATTCCATCCTACTCAAGATGAACCTCACGCCCACTTCCCAATCAAGCACATAATCCCCGCCCCAAGCAACACACAAAACACCATATAGACCAACTGCGCCCTCTTCTTCGTCCTCTGCGGATCGAACAGAAAGTCTCGTGCCAGCAACTCCACAAGCGCAGAATAAATCAACACCCCCGCCGAAACCGCATTGAAGACACCCTGGATAATCAAGCTCTCCTTGCTCTTGGGATTATAGCTTGTCCTAAGGCCCAGGCCAATCGCAATGGAGATGGGCGTTGTAAGACCGTACAACAAGCACAGTATATACGAGAGTGATCGTTTGTGCTTTGGAAAGGGGATCGCGGACAGTCTGGCGCCGATCCCCAGGCCCTCGAAGGACTGGTGGAAGACGAGGACGGGATAAAGGGTCGCGAATTCGGAGCCCGTCACGCCTAGATTCAGGCCGATTATGACGGAGTGGAAGATGATGCCGAATTCGAGGATTAGGAATGCGGCGATTTGCTGCGAGAAGGCGCGTGAGGCTGTCTGGGAGTTCGAGTCTGATGACGGGGTGGTAGAGTGTTGGGCGGGTTCTTTGGAAGCTTGCTCGAGCTCGGTTGTGTGAGCTGCGTCGGTCCGTGGAGCTTGCGTGATGAAGGCCGTGGTGGCAGTCTCATCGCGCTCGATGCCGTACTTCCTCTCGACGTACACCTCAGCCGCGAGATCAAGCAGGAAGATCCCCACCACGGCGGCAAGCACAATCGCCGCACACCACGAGTACTCGCCCCAGTACCCCGACACCCCGACGCAGGTCTTCGGCCCGATGCGCTTGTAGGCTGGATCGAGGAGGTGGATGAATGCTGTGGCTAGGATAACGCCTGTTCCGAAGTACCGCGCGAAGATGTACACGCTGTGTGGGATTTTCCAGCTGGGAAGGCTCTTGGAAACGACGGGGAAGAAAGTGAATGCGGTGGAGACGAAGAGGATGACAAAGATGGAGGAGATGCGGGCTCCGAGGTGCCCGTTGTAGTCATTGTCGGAGATGGCGTAGTAGCAGAGCACATCTGCCTGGCTGGCTGTGTGGAGGTTGACCTCGGAGGCGTTGAAGGTGGCCATGTTTCACTGAATTTAAGGGCTCAGAGGCAGACTGGCGAGAGCTGCTGTTTAACAAAGATCATAATCCTTGCTTGGTGCCCCTAATATACGGCCACCATGGGGACCTTGGTGTCTCCATGGTGCTTCAACGCTTAACATTTGAGCATATTCCACGACATGTGGGCATAGTGGAGGCGACGGGTATAGCAAGACAACCTGACTGGTGTACTATCATGCCTGTTAACAGGAACAGTGGGCCTCAAAATCTTGGTGCCTGCTCAAGCTTCTTCAGTGGGGATGTCCAGCCCTATAAGGCTGAGCCGTCAACCAGTCACGATCACCACATAGGGATGCAGGCGTTGTCGAGGCCGGTAAAGGTGGGCCTCTGCATATATTCCAAGCTTTGGAGAACTCCCAAGGTCCCCAGCGGATACTCCGGCGGAAACTCTCAGCTTCAGGCCACTGGATGTCCATCCGTAAGGGATCGGGAAGCGTGATACCGCTCGGATGAACAGATGGAAACGGAGGGATCAGAACGCATATCAGGGACTCGATGTTTTCGCCAGAAGATGCAATTTTGCTTCGCCAGCTGTCCTAAACTAGGACAAAAGTTCGCGGTCATTATCTATATGTGGAAATGATTTAAGTTGGCATGCTCGAGCCTTGGTCGGTTTCCTTGTGGTGTAGCTATTGAACGGGCTTCGCTCGGGAGCATTAGGGCAGTTTCCAGGTTGAAAACGGGGTGGAAGATAACACTGGAATCACTGCAATTGTAATCTTCCATTGAGCTACAGGCATCTTGTGCCTCGTGGTATTTGTCTCCTTTTACGAGGAGGCACAGGGTCAATATCTTCCGGGGTTGTGGAAGTAAAAAAGCCCATTTGTCTGTTTATGGAAACAGATACCTCCTATCTAATGGGACTATTCTCCGATAATGCCCCCCGCCCATTCAGTGGCTGTTTCACATTCCGACACTACATCCCCACCATGTTTAGATGTCTTCTCGAGTGTTGTGTTGGTTGATCTAACCGCGCGCCAGGTTTCTTCGGTGATTCCAGAGAACGCGAGGATATATGTCGGGCCACTTGACCAAGCATGCACGAGAAGCGGCTGGCCAGATGCCCGCCATGCGCCTCGGAAACATACACGAGGCAACCATACAACGGACCAGTACGTTCATGAGCCAGCAACTTTAGAATTAGTGACAAATCATGGTAGTCGCGGTACATCACGCGCAGCAATCCATGGATGAAGCCATCCGGGGGGATAACCTCAACATGATGTCATCTTTACCACATCGTAAGATCAGTTTACGTCGGTCTATATATAGAGGAACAGCCTCGTTTCTCAACTCTTCCATCAAATATATTCTTACACTACAACACCGCGTCATCAACAACCAACCCACATCATGGTACGACGCCCACTGCATATCTAGCTTACCTCCCTATGGATGGGATCTAACCACAGCGCCCAGGAACCCGAGCGAACAAGCACCCCCCTCTACCAAAAAGGCAAGAAGAATCGCCTCTCAATGTCCCTGGTACGTAGTTGGCAGAGGAAGTATACCCGCAGGACAATATACTCACCTATCCCCCAGGACACGGAGTCCACCGAGATGATCTCCAAAGAAGAAGCCATCCGCATCTGCAAGGAGCACGGCATATCGGAGCAGGATGCACGAGCGGAGTTCGAGAAAATAGATATCGATAATGATGATGAGATGCCGCGGAATAGTTCGTGCCCTTACACCCCCGTACCATATAGTTGACCGAGCTAACGGAGTGGATGATTTTAGTAACGAGCAAGATTGTTGACAATTTGTCCAACAAGCTGAAATAAGTACAAGACGCAGCTGTGATTGGGTGCTCCTTATTCAGGATGACTTTTATTGATCCAAGGTTGTCGGAGAGCGCTTTTGTATGTTATTGCAGATTCATGAATATATGTCATCTCCCGGTTGAGGGATTCGTTCCAGAGATCGTCACTGTGAGGCCGCCCCAGCTTGAAGAATGGCCAGTCTATATTTGTAGACCTATTCCACGCCGTCGCAAGGCACGGCCAAGCCTATTGTGTTATACGCACAATAGGATATTCGGATACTAGGCAGGTATGGGGATGATGCGATTTATAAGGAACGCTCCCTCATCTGTACGTCGCACAAGGTACCATCTATATCTGTGTTTGCAAATGCTTCTTGGGTACATGAAACGGCGCAGAGATCGGCTGTTGAGAGTAGATGCCGTTGGATTGACAGGGAGGAGGGGGTGGTGGCTGAAACCTTCGGCGTGGAAGCCGATAGATAGAAGCTCGAGCAAGAAATTGATCCGTGATTGGAAGGGCTATCCTAGTAATGCTGCTCCTGCGAACCGAATCAAGGAGTTTCAAGCTCTGGAGTTGCTTGTCTCCAACTGTCACCATATCCTGGGCCCCGCGACTCCAAAATCTATCCCCGTGCGCAAATATACGCACCGTAACAGCCCTAACGACCCTGCTTAGCAATGGGATGGTATCAAGACACCAACAACCCAGAGCTAGCCGTCGAAGACGCGTGGTATGGCTTGTAATTAAATGGAAGTAGGACACAAAGTCCCGCTCAGGGTACTGTAACGGCTCAGCCGCACGGGGTCGCCGGCGGCGTCAGCCCTAGACAACCTACTAGACTATCAACGTGAGATCGCGTCGCGGAGATCGCTGTCTATTCGATCCTCCATCTAAATTGTTCGCGAAGCGCAATTAAACGCAGCTGGTGAATCACCCAGTTGGCGGCTTCATGCCTTTCTCCATGGGGTGCTATGCGGCGACCTTCCCAGCCGTTCTTTTATAGATGGCCATGACATGCCGAGGGAGCTACATAGACATCAATCCTAAATAGCTTTTCCGTCTGAACCACTCTCCTCTGCCCATTAGGTTTTCGTCATGCGTTGAACTCCGTACACGATGAGCTGGTGTCATCTTTCAGAGCGCCGCTGGGAGCGCCCCATCGACGGCATAGATGGATACTTTGTTCTTGCTGGGTAGATGTCAGCCAATGCTTGCGATGGCAGAAAGCACTACACCATGTTTGCACGGGCCCAGGTTGGATTCAAAATCTCGCAAGCCGACGTGCAGCCGGCCCTCAAGCAGGCATGGAAGCAACTGCGACACGAGCAGCGGTGCATTCAGTGCGGGTGGGAAGTTGCTCTATATACAAGGGTTCCATTCCATGAGGAGCAGGCAAGGCTCTGTAGTGATACCATCCTAAAAAACTTTTAAGGAGTGGCTTCGATGAGAGATGCTGAGGTAGGTATAGGCATAGCTACTTGACGATCCAGACAGAAATTGGATTGACAGCTACATAATTGAAGTTAACCCACAAACAAGAATGTCATGTTCCTCTACACATCCCCAATAACCGTCCCCGCCGCCCCATAGCTCTGCTGATACCGGGCAACAAGATGCTCCTTGACCCTGATCGGGCCATAATGCGGCTTACCCCCAGGCTCAACGCAAGTGGGCAAACACTCAACAACCGTATCAAGCGCGCCATCATTGAAAAACGCACACGAGTACCGGTCCTTCCCGCTCAGAGGAGAGACTACCCGGTGCATTGTTGACTTGTACCGGTCGTTCGTCCACCGCTGCATCAGGTCACCGATGTTGCAGACATATGCGCCGGGGATCGGTGGGACGTGGTGCCAGGTGTTGCTTGCTTTGTGGAGGACTTCGAGACCGCCGACTATAAGATGTTAGAAATCCAACCTGAGGGCCGCAACTGCGTTGTACTTACCATCGTCTTGTAGTAGTAGAGTCAGCGCACCGAAGTCCGTATGGGCGCCTACTCCGCGCGTTCGCCCTGCGGCGTCGGGAGGTGTAGGTGGGTAATGGTGCGCGCGACAGAGGCACAGTCCTAGCAAATGCCTGTAAGCGCAAGCTCCTTAAGTCTTTAACATAAGGTCCGTGGGTTACGAAAGACCATACCATCGGGATCAGCCGCAAAATAATCAAAATAGCCCTCCTCCAACCCCAAACTCAGCGCAATAAGCCGGAACATGCTTCTCGACAACCCATGCACCGCATCAAAGTACGCCATATACGCCCTCTGGAACTCAGGCAACACAGCCGGATCCGGCCACTGATTCGGCCCCTGTAGAAATCCACCGAGCGGTCTCTCACGTCGGACAGAGAACCCCTCCTTCTGATCTGGCCCCGCTTTCTCATCGAGTTCATCGAGTTTCTGGCCTCCGATGCGCTCGTACCCGCGATGACATGGCGAATGAGCCTGTGAGACCCTCTCCTTCTCGTCGAGCGGTAGAGAGAAGAATTTCGCGATCTGCGTGAGGAAGGCCTCTTGGATAGAGGGCGGGACGTTGTGCCCCGTTATCTGCAGGAAGCCTTGCTCTTCGCAGGCGGAGCGGATCTCCAAGACGGCTTTTGCTTTTGAAGTTGCATCGCCGGCGAGGTACCCGCTGATGTCGATGATGGGGATGCGAACTGTTGGTTTGGATGCCATTGTCGATGTTCAGGCGGGAAATTGGCCTCGGCGAGTTGAAGACCTCAGAAAGACGCAGTTACAACGCGGGGTAAAGGTGGAGTTGATGAATGGTGCCCAGCTGCTTATCTCTCTGGCCTCGTGACGAGGGGGATTCTTCCATTGTGCTGGGCTGGTCCTGATACGGTAGGAGTCCGGTTGGGAAGGACGCCCGTACTGACTACCGCTGGTTCTTCCGGTTATTCTCTACCACGATTCTCAACAAGAAACGCCAATGATGCTCAATATCAATGCTGGTCTATTACCATAGTCTCCCGGACCAGAACTGGAGCCTTCTACCGCATGGCGTCTTGCCGGCGTCGATGCTACGCTGCTGCATGCGCACCAGATAGTAGTACGAATTAATGGCGGGTGTAAATGGACATACCTGCAGAAAGCTTGCAACAGCATATGTCTTGTGAATCAGATCATGTAGAGCGAACCGGACACCTGCAATCGCGGCCCATCCTTATCAAACCCAGTCTCACACAGATACCCGTGCTATCTATAAATGCGTGTTGGAAATATTAGTCTATCGGCCCAGGTGAGAGCAGTATGGTACGCCGTGCACGTGTCTGATAATCGCTATTTGCACCAACTATCCTCTGTTGCGGGGCCCGAGGCGCCTAAGAGGGTTCAGGTGATGGCGGATATGTATTCGAATGCGATGCTGAGCTTGGTCTACGACGAGCAGCCTTGGGAGACGTACGGTGAGGCAGGTCAGATTAGAATCTTTGACGGGGCGCGAACGGGACTTGAGGAGGCGAGAAAACCAGAGAGGTGGACAAGGGTTACCCCCAGCCCTGAAAGGAGAGTGCAGTTTGCGGAAGCGTTGCAGACGCCTTTATTCGTTGGCTTTGGAGTTGTAAGCGCGTATCTACCCATGGGGTGTGGGTTGGTGTATGCACCAAGACAGCTGGTGTAGGCGTATTGAAGAACATCGTGATACTCAATTTGATTTCTCTATGTATCTTCAAATTCTGTGGAACCTATTGCGATGAATCAAGGCATTGCAAAACAATACTAAGTAACAATAACAGGTCAACAAAAACAAGTACATATAGAAAGATCCGCCAAATCTGATACAAGCACCAGGGTCCCGTTCATGATCGAAAGCCTGGTAATAGGGAGACAGATAGGTAACAAACAGGGTGTCCCTTTCACACTTTGGATCAGGCGAAGATGTGTTCGGGCAAAATGGTTGCTGAGGTTTTAAACATTGCGGTATCAACAATGTATCTGTATCATGATAGGCTATGGCGAGCTTGTTAGAGGTTTCTCGAGCATCGGAAATCGGTCCTACCTTACAAGATAGATGGCGCTGCAGGCCCTGCCATCCAGGCTCGTCCTCAAACACTCAATAAGTGAGGAGGGGACTCCCAGTGACCGAGTTCCATCCCAGGATAATGGTCAAGGATGTCAGACTTGCGTACTAACGCGACAGCCTTTTTCCGAGACTCAGAGGCCTTGCAGGAGAACATGATGTGAGGCACCGCCTTGCCGGGAGTTTTGCCAATCATATAGACGTCGTAAACAAGGGTACTCGAGGAAGGTACGCGTAGACATTCGTCATTCAGGGTCTCTTGGATGCTCGTGCTGATGTTGACAAAGGCTTCTCGGGCAGGTCCTTGCGCCTCCCAGTAGTTGACCTTGTCCTTGGTCGTGCCGCAAAATGTACCGATGGAGAGCTCTGGGTTAGGCCAGGTTTCCTTGTTTCTGTGCAGCGCAGAAAGCGTGTTTCTCAGTCGGGAGGCACTCATTCTGTCGTGGTAGAAATTTCCAAGGTTGGAATAGTCAGTGATGTAGAAAAGAGGAAGGAGTGATTTGGTGATCAAAATGTTGAGAATGCAATGGGGGGTTTTATAGAAATTAATACAGGGCACGACAGGCTGAGAATGCATCTTGTCTAGCCGCCGGCATTTGGCACGGGGGTGTGAAACTGCATGTCTGAGGATGTATGATAATCCAATAAGAATTTTGTCGGCATGTATTAGCCTGGGAAGGCGCTTAGCAGGCGCGTTCATGCACGCCGATTGCTGTCCTTTGTTTGGTCAAGCAGTACTTCAAACCAAGTTCTGTGACCTTGGAATGATGCCGCTCGATCGTCCTATCCTTAGGTCCAGTCCGTTTGATCAGGCAGAGGTTGTCAGCTTTTTGAGTCTTAAACCTTGTTGTTGGGACATCTTCGGCCATACTTCAATATTATACTTGAATTCACACAAGCCCTATCTGCCAATCATGACCATGGTATGCTTGTGAATGTTGTTGTCAATATCCCAAATGGGCGTTCCAGTAGTCAAGCTGAGGAGAGCTCGTCAGGAGACACAGTTATTCAGCTCTTGGTGCATATAATGATCTCCCTCCTAGCCTTGGTCATATGCTCGACGCTGAGGATTTAGAGCGTTGTTCTTCCTCGAATGGTCTGCCAGAGGAAACTCTGCCGACGCTCTCCCTCCTTTTTCCGCAAGGCATGGCGTTTGGGTTCGTCCGGGTCCTAGGCTGGTGGGTCGGTAGGTGCTCTCACTGAGAAGTATTGCAAAGGTGATATTATGCGGTACCCGTCGCGAGTAAATGTTCTCGTGTGATGTTCCTGAAGAAGCCTCGCAGAATAATGATCAATGCAGGTGTAGGTGGTGATGATGCGGATCCATCCGAGCCCCTGCGGGGAGAATCTGCCTACCGATGGGCAGGTGGAAGGCGCAGCCCAAGGAAGGTGCGAGTGCCTGTGCACCAGCGTCGTGCTCATTGACCAGTCGCGTTTCTTGACTAGCCGCCACGTCAGACTGGATTATTAGTTTCGCCAGCGGCTGGTTTTTGGAGTAGCGAGGCTGAAATCCAGCCTTGTGTAGTAGGTCTCTAGCCACTATCGGTCGAGACGGCGCGTGTACGGAGTAACAAGGCTGACTTTACTTTTGTTGACCATCGTCAAGAAGGGCATCCAACTCAGCCTTCTGTAGATAGGCGCCAGTATTTTGTCGCGAGCAAGGATTTCATTTTATCATCCAGTCTTCCAAAGCGCGGCGACCGCAAAGCTGGGCCTCTATATCGCGAGATGGTCATACTTTCTGTCCTATATTTATCGCTTTCAACGCTCGCTCTCGCACAGAACAATACATCCGACGTTGAGCGGGTAGGTTGGGCGTCGTCACCGGATACGAGGAGCACCTCCGAGATTCTCTTCGGTTGTTTCAGCATCTTTCTGGTGTGCTCGTGGAAATGCGTTCATCTCAACCTGCCATCAGTGGAGGAAAGTGAAGCAGGCTGGCACACAACCTTAGCCGGATGGTTACCGTACTGGCCGACCAAGCCGGCTAGAAGACTCATCTTTCGAAAAGTGAAGTGGATGCTCGCCATCGCTCTGGCTCCTGAGGTCGGCGTTGCGCTCGCTGCACGCGAGTTTCTCAGAGCACGCAAGTTGCAGCGGTTCATCAATCTCCCGACCTTTACTCTGAGTCATGGCTTCTTCGCGTACATGGGAGGCTTCGTGATAGCAATTCCTGACGCCGCAGGACAGTCGCTGGCGAACAGGGCAAAGCCCAGTATGAAGAACTATTATCTGTCCGCCAGAGGGCTCGGTAAGCTTTCTCTGCCGGCCTATCTTCGGAAATATCCTAACTGATCCCAGAGGCGTTGTTGAAACTTGGGATCTTCGAGCCATCGAACGGGTGGTTTCCGACAGTCACCGAGGCAGATATCCAAGACAGGTCAAAATCGGACCCCTTTACCAAGGCCTTCGCGGTCGTACAGTGCGGCTGGTTGGTCATTCAGAGTATCGCCCGCGCAGCTCAGAGTCTTCCACTCACCGAATTGGAACTCGCGACACTTGCGTTTATTCCCTGCGCATTCGTCATGTATGCGTTTTGGTGGTACAAGCCTTTTGATGCTCAACGACCTATTACCCTCGTCTGTTTGAACAACCATCAAGCCTACCAGGCGCGGTTAATGATTCATTGCAGGGAGAAGGACGCAGAGTGTTACGCCGGCATGGGCCTCGAGTGGGGGGACGTGGGCGACAGCGACGCAACCGATATAATGCTCCATCGTCAACAAGAGCAGTCCCGCTTCACTGAACTGGACTACGACTTGGCTCGTGAGATCCTGGTACCGGGCTGGGAATACGGCGGTGCAAGAGAGAAGCAGGACGATCCGGTGGTGGTCATTTTCTATATCGCTGCTGCAACCTTCTCCGCCATTCATACTGTTGCATGGACGTGGGAATTTTCATCCGACACCAGCAGGACGCTGTGGAGAGTCTTTAGCTTGATGGCGGTCTGCTCGCTGTTGTTGAACGCATTCTCCTGGGCTCTGGGTGCAGCAGGTGAAGAATGTGCCGATTGTGCGGACTGGGGGTGCAATTGCTGTGGCCACGATGTCTCTTCTTGGAACACCCCCTTCCTTACCATGGTCGGGGTGATTGCGTATGGAGTCGCTCGCGTGGGCCTGATTGCGCTGACATTTTCCTGCTTTTCGTCGATGCCGGCGGATGTATATAAAGCGGTGGACTGGAGGATCCCCCATTTCTCGTGATGATCCGGTGGAGGATCGGCTACCGTCGGCAGGCAGCAGGGAAAGATATAAGCGACGTCATCTGACTCTCTTCCACGGTTCCCTCTGACTTCCCCCAAACACATCACAGCAATGGAGACCACCACCACCACCCTCGCCGAATACCTCTTCAAGCGCCTGCACCAGCTCGGTGTCGATTCCATCTTTGGACTCCCCGGCGATTACAATCTCCAGCTGCTCGATTATGTCGCCCCCTCGCGTTTGCACTGGATCGGGAGCTGCAACGAGCTGAATGCGGGGTACGCCGCCGACGGCTACTCCAGAGTCAAGGGTATCTCTCTCGCTTTTCTCTCTACCTTCTCAACTAACTTCTCCTGCCAATAGGAATCGGAGCCCTCGTTACGACCTTCGGAGTCGGTGAACTCTCCGCCGTCAACGCCATCGCCGGAGCCTACGCCGAACGAGCCCCCGTTGTCCACATTGTCGGCACTCCCGTCCGCCAGTCCCAGGAGTCGCGCGCCCTCATCCACCACACCTTCAACGATGGCGAATACGAGCGCTTCGATCGGATGCAGGAACACATCACCGTCGCCCAAGCCATCCTGACCGACCATCGCTCCGCCCCCGCCGAGATCGATCGCGTCCTGCAGCAATGCCTCCTCCACAGCCGGCCGGTCCGGATCGCCATTCCCCTGGACATGGTGTCGCTGCGCGTTCCAAAGCTGGCTCTTCACCACAGACTTGCCCTTCCTCTCCCGTGCCGACAGCCGCATGCCGAGGATAAGGCGATGAAGGCTATTCTCGATCGGATGTACAGCGCGAAGAAACCGGTGATAATCGTGGATGGAGAAGTGCGGTCGGCGAAGATCGTGGACGAAGTCGATCACATCGTCAAGTCAACCAGGTGGCCGACGCTTACATCGGGCTTCGGCAAAAGCTTGATCGATGAGAATCTGCCGAACGCCTACGGAGTCTTCACCCCGGAGCACAAGGAGTTTGTGGATTCGAGCGATCTGGTACTGTGCTTCGGCCCTCATTTCTCCAACACCAACTCCTTCCTCTACCAGACGCTCCCTCGCGAAGATAATACCATCTACATCCATCCTACGTCGGTCCAAATCGGCAGCGAAATCATCCGCGACCTCCCGGCAAACTACTTCCTCCCCCAGCTAATCGGCCACCTGGAGATGGAAAAGCTCACGAGTTACGACCCCCAGCTCACCCATCCCAAATCCATCGCACCCCCAGACGTCAAAGACACGGATCTCGTCTCCCAAGCCGGCGGCTTCTGGCACCGAATGTCCACCTTCTTCCGCGAAGGCGACATCATCCTCGCCGAAACCGGCACCGCAGCCTACGGCGCCAACCAGTTCCGCCTCCCCCCGAAAACCAGCCTCTTCAAAGCCGTCACCTGGCTCTCAATCGGCTACATGCTCCCCGCAACCCTCGGCGCCAGTCAAGCGCAGCACGACCTGATCGCCCGCTCCGAGTACCACGATCTCCTCGAAGCGCGCTCAATCCTCTTCATCGGCGACGGCAGCTTCCAGCTAACAGCGCAGGAGCTGGCAACAATCATCCACCGCAAGCTCAACGTGATCATCTTCCTCATCAACAACGACGGATATACCATCGAGCGCGCGATTCACGGTCGGAACCAGCGTTACAACGATATCACGTCGTGGCGGTACCTCAAGGGGCCGGAGTTCTTTGGCGCCCCGACGGAGGGAGAGTATGCGGCGCATACGTGGGAGGTCCGGACGTGGGGCGATCTTGATAAGGCGCTTACGGATGAGCGCATGGTCAAGGGGAAGGGCGTGCGCATGGTGGAGGTTTTCATGGAGAGGCTGGATGTTCCGCCGCCGCTGGATCGCACTTTGGCGATGCAGCTTGCGCGGGAGAAGGAGGGGCAGTAGAGCTCGATATGATTGAGATTGCGACCCGGGGTTCTGAGCGTAATTGGACTAGCTAGTGTGCGAGCGTCCACAATGTACGTGCTATCCTACACCCAAGCAAGAATTATATGCAAATGGATACCAAGTCTAACTAGTGAATGAGTAACAATAATGATGCCCGAAGGTAAAACCGAGCAAGGAACGAATGTCCCAGCCGGAGATTCAAGGAGGCCATACCTAGCGACCAGCAGCTGCGAGTGGGAATGTCCGATTGCTGTCTACCTGCATGTCAACAAACTTCAGGACCCGGATGCCATCATGCTCAGTTACACAGTCTGAAAGCGTCGCCCGAGATTTAAGATCGATCAATCAACCCACCCGCTCCTAGAACCTTTTGCTCTTCCGCAACCTCTTGCTCCTTCGCGCCGGGGGCTCCGCGCCAGTCCGTGAAACCCGTTTCCGCTGGGTATCTTCGGCTACAGACTGTCCGCGCTGGGCTGGTGACCTTGTCTTCCGCTGCAGTTGTTTTGCCTGCGTTGGCAACACTTTCAGGCGTACTGGATCGCGAGGGGGCATCGAAAGACCAGCGACCGCATTGGGAAACAGGCCCAAGTGGCCGGCATTGGTCGCTGCGTTGAATATATGCCTGTTCATCGGGACATCAAGGCACGGGATCCTGTATTTGAGGCTGTAGGGATCGCATAAGTTCTGGGCCTTGTCTGGGGTCGACCCATTGTCGCTGTCCTGGCTGCCATCACTTGAAGACTCATCATCATCACCTGAATCCTCCTGGCTCTCGGTCATCACAGAGTCAGTTCCGGGGCCATCAGACGACTCCGCCCCGTTGGCCAGGACATCGCGAATCGCCCTCCTCATATTGCCGGGCTCGTACTGGCCGTCGCTATCAACATAGCTGCTACCCATCCTGTCCTTCAGCCATGGCTCCAGCGGCATCTCATGGGTCCAAACGAGGCCCGGCAGCGTCCCCCACTCTGGATTCCAGATCCGGTGTGTTTCCCACATATCTCGGACCATCCGGTAAACATCGGTGTTTATATCAGGGGGAGGCGCGGTGTTGGCCCATATCATGCGTCGGTGCAATTCGCTCGCCAGAGCCAGCTGGTGCATGAACTGAAAGAATGGCCGAGATGCATCCGTCGTTCCCTGGCCGCATGGGCGCCGGCGCCCGTCGTCTCTGTCTGTGGACTTGGGCTTCTCGTGTTTCCACGCCCCAAGCGGTCCGCCAGTCGAACTCCACTCGTCCTCCCATATTCCTTGCTGAAGCCACTGGTCCTTCACGGCTTCCTGGTCGGATTTCCCCTCGACATTGTACAACAGGCGCCAAATCGGGTCGGTCGTCTGCGCGTCGAATTGATCGCGCGGTCGGGAGGCATTGTGGATGCGGATCAGCTTTGATCTTCGAGCAATGCAATATGCCCGCTGCCAGTCCTCGTCGTCCGCAGGCGAGCCTTGTAGTGTTGAGCCTGGCGGAGGGGTTGTCGGCGGGGTGCAGTTGAGACGGCTCCTGGCCGCCTCGAGCGCGTACGGGTCTGCGGCCCAGGCTGAAAGCTTTACGTCCACAATGTGCACATCGAGTGCGGGGGGGCGCGCTAGACGCTGGTAAATGGGGTAGGTCAGGCTGTATGTGCTCGCGGCAGACATGTTTACCCGATATCTGGGGGCCTACCAATTGTCAAAAGTCGATTGAAACAGCAAAGGGAAGGGTCAACTCGCAGAGGATGCATGTGGGCAGTATTATAGCCAAACTCGCAGCCTTGTCTCGCAGGTGGCGCTTTTCATCCTTCTTTGTTGATTGCGAGCGATAATTATGGAAATGGCCGCCGAACAATGACTCTCTGGCTGGGGCTGGGATTTCTAGGATAGTGCTGGTCCCTTGCTCCTTTGGTCCGCCGAGCAGCCTTTGTCTTATGTGACGATTGGGAGACTGTTCCGTTTCGGCGGGAACATCGGTCTCTTTCCCAAAGCGGAGGATGTCTAGGGTGCCCTCAGCAGGCCAGACTCCCGAGCAACGAGCAGCGGGGTCTGCGCCTGATGTTGTCTCAACACAGCCCAGCTGTAATCAAACTTGTCTCTCCTCCTTTCCAGGCTCCAACTCTCTCCTCCTCTTCCATCTTCCCTCCGCCACGCTTTCTCACCACCCTGGCGTTGTCCTTTCTCCTCCCGGCCTACACCATCGTGCATTTCTCCTTCGAAGCGACCATCGAGCGAGCCCAAACCCGAATCCGCGCTTTCCCACGGCCAAACTTGTCGCTACTTGCCCCGAATACCGTTGCAGCCGCCACCGATACCCTGCCCGTATCACGAAGGAGCTTGCGCCCGATCAGCACAACTCTTCGGACCCAGGTGGGTAGCCGTTATCACGCTGTCGGAATGGGGGGGACCAGCACATCGGCTGAGATCTTCAAGGCCGTGGATGTGGACAATGCGCGGTTCCTGGCTGTTCGGATTGCGGCAAGGAGGAATAACGGGTTCAGCCGCCACGCGCTGGAAGTCGCAGCGGCGATGGTCGACACACTTTGCGAATTGAACCATGTAGGTGATCTCATACAGCTGCTGCCCGCTCGACTGACCTCTGAGCAATAGGACCACATCGTCAGCGTGGTTGGGCTCGACCATGTTCAAGGCCCGAGCGGCGCGGAAGTCAGGCTGCTGAGTGAGCTCGGCCAAACCAACGTGCAGCTTCTTGTCCAACAGATGTCGGTGGATGATGTCCGAAAGCGCGTTGCACTCCCTTTGCTCCGTGACATGCTGCAGGCGTTGGATTACCTGGCAGCCAAGTCCATCGTCCACCGAGACGTGACGCCCCCGAGCATTGAGTGCCTGTGCCACCCGACCACCGGTGAGCTGACTTTCAGGCTCAGTGACTTCCGCATGCACGTGTCCTGCGAATTATATCGGATGCAGTTATTCTCGGCTCCAGAATACTTCCGAGGTGCCTCCGCTTCAACAGCATCAGATGTTTGGTCGCTGTTTGTGACTTTGCTGTGGGCCATCAACGCCGATAACATTAGGTCACTAGGCGATGATGGGGTGATAGTGTTCATTCAGACCGTGCTCCAAATCAGTCGGGCAAGCCAATGGGCCGGTGCTTTCCGTGAAATGCGCAGGGAGGACCCGACCGAACGCGCATCTGCCGCCCAGATGCTGGTGAAGCTTTTTGGAGGCCAAGGCGTCAGCACCCCGCTGGGTGTGATTCCTCCGCTTGCTTCAACCTCCTAGGGGTATTAGGAAGTCAGGAACTGCTGTGAGGAAGTGGCCATCGATGTTGCAAGTTTCCTTAGTCTATAGCTTGCGCTCTTGCCGTTCTCATTATCTCATTTGTCTCAGTCATTCTTGTTGCGAGCGTCACGTTTGAGGGCCATCTATATCTATGCTTCGTTGCTCTCCATTCTTGGTCACAAAGACATGTGGCCAACTGCATCCCCTGAAGCGCGTTACCCTTCGCCTTAATTTGCTCTCATCTTACATCTGTTTTGCCTTTCCAGCTCTCCGCTCGTCATAGGCTGCATAATGGACGAGGCATGGTCTCGTTTGTCCCAAGCCACAATTGTAACCACGTCCCGTACCTCTGGTAGCAAGGCCCAAGGGCCGCTTGATAAACATGTCACCTGCCGAAGTGTATTGACACCTCGTCCCACTGCCCGGTCGGCATGGGAGCTTGGGTGGTACCTGACATATCTCATCGACGAGGACGGATGCGCATGCCCGTGTATGACTAGAACAAGTAGATGCAGGCGGCTGTCGGTCTTTTCCCCCCGGCCGTCGCATTCCATTTCCTGATTAGGCCAGGGAATGCGTTTGGATCAGCGCACTGCCCTACTCTGCCGCAAGACTGCCGCCACCTGGTTCAGTTGAGATGTTGGTGAAGCTCTTTGACGGCAAGGTAATGTCTACGGGTGCCGACTGAGACTGGTTTCTTTGATCTTCTCGCTTCGTTAGAGTCCCTACCCATGTATCATGACGCAAAAGAGCCGTGCAAAGTGCTCTCTTCAAGCCCCTACCGTAGTATATTCGTATCACATATGTTCAAACAAGATCGGTTTCGTGCGGCTTGACGTGTAACCTTTGTACAATAGCTGGCGGGTGGACAAGTTACGTGGACAGTTTGGGCTCCCTTTGTCCGGATGGGACGCTGTTGAGCGGCTGAGCCAAGCGAAACAATGGCTGCAGGATGCCTATTTCAAGAACATGGATAGAGAGCCAAGTAGCGATTGATTTCTTTCTAGAGATCCATCTGCTACTACAAATACCTGAAACCCCGGACCCCAGTTTCACATTCAGTATCTTCTTTTTGGCCCCTGGCAGCACCTAAGTACTCTCGAATGAATACCCCCCGAACTCCCGACGTTGTGACTTGGCCATAGCAGTCACCGAGGGCCGAACAACTTAAGCAGCATCTGTGCCGCTATGGCCCGTCTGCCTGGATCTTCAGCAACCATTCCCTGAAGCGCGCTCCAGTCCGAGCTTCCAGTCCCGTTCTTGATACAGTCGGACTTGGGTGAACGGGCAGACCGAGGCATACTTCAGGCGCCAAATACTGAGGAGTGCCCCCGGTCAGCCTGGGGCCGCCGTGAGTGATGGGAAATGATGATCCAAAGTCGCAGAGGGCAGAGGAGAACGGGAACCTATCGGTGCCCAAACGATCACGACGGTAGAGGATATTGTCCGGCTTTATGTCTCCATGAAGTATGTCTCGATCATACAAATAGTCCAAGGCGCTGAGGGCGTCCTGGAGGATATGCTCCGCGGTCTGTGCCACGTCCTCTGCCGGCAGACTTGCACGCAAGCTTTAAACTGTTCCGTCCATCCATGGCATCGCTATCCGCAGTTCCATACCATCTGGAATCTCCTGTTTCTCGAACCTGATGAATTGGATGATATTAGGCTGGTGGTATTGGGTCAGCTCTGTACAGTGGAAGGGGAGCAGACCTACGTGTTTTAGCTGTGAGAGGATCTCGACCCCATGCTTTGCAGATCCGTACTATATGCTTGGTAAAGTCTATGGCCAAGGGCTCAAGGTTTGTTGGAAGGCGCTTCCTGAGCCTGAGTTCTGGGGCGGGAGCCTGCTCTGGATTTCCTTGGTCGTCTGCTCGATTGTATAATGCCATACCACTTCGAACTGGTACTTGTTGCTAAAGCTACCGCCAAAGCCGATCACTTCATTCATACCCTGCATGAGGGCCCTTTGGAAGGGATAGATGGCGTACGGTCTGCCCGCCGGATCGTCAATAATCTGAGTGTTATGGCGTCAAGGCGTATCCCGCAGGATACTGCCAATGGTCAAAACACGTTGGCCATGTGAAGTTAATAAGAATGCAAAGTTCCGGGTGTCTGCAACGACCTTCTCCGCTTCGGGGTTCCTTGGGCGCAGTGAGAAAAGCGCCGCTGAGCGCGCAGAGGGGAATGCCATGTCGGATACGGGGAAGGACTTCTGGGATAACGCAGAGTTCTGAGGCAGCGAACACCGTCTTGCGTAGAGCATTGAAACAGCAATAAACAGTGGCTTGCGCAGAGGAAACATGGGTCCGGTACCTATTTGCGGCGTTTGTCGGGCTGGTCATTGTGCCCACGCAACAAAGACGATGCGGCGACTACTGGACCAGAACGATGAAGCAGACTCCAACGTCCCTCTGGCCAAACGCAACCGTGACCCCTCCCGTCCATACAACCAATTCATGTATCAACTCGAGACGCAGCGCAGGCGCTACGACGACCTCGACTCACCAGACAGGCCTGAATCCACCGCACCCGGCGTAAACACCAGAGCGTACAAGCAAGTACGCAACCAGTGGGAAGAGAGCGAACAGTGGAACCCCAAATGGGGGGTCCTGCCCGGGCCAAGCTGGAACCATGAGATTCCCTTCGACGAGTGGCTGTCGGACAAGTTCAAAGAACAGGACGAGAAGGACCGGATAAATCGGGAATATGCCTTGAAACAGTCGGCCAGCCTGCGGACTTTTCAGCAGCGGGAGCTCGATGCCCACAAGGACGGGTTCCGGCAGAACCCTCAGGAAAGTGCAGGGGGCGCTGCCGATGCCCCCAGCCGCCTCGCCGGCGTATATCCGGATCCCCTCCCGCTGCCTGAGAGCGCTGGGTACAAGGCGACAGTCCCCATCCCCGCGGGATCCAAATACAGGGGTTGGGGCATCTTTGGCGGTAAACCCACCGTCGACGGTGACCAGGATTCAGGTACCTCGAGCGCATCGTCCCCAAGCAGCAATTCGGGAAGCGCCGTCTCGGCCGGATCCGAGTATGCGGACACGTCCCCTAGCACTGACTGCAAGGTGGACAACACCGGCCCGGAGCCGCTGGAGCGGACTGTGCCAGCGAAGCGAGGCCATCCGGATGGTAGTGAGTCTGGATCTCCGCCGGTCAGAAGGAGCGCGCGGTTACGGAACCAGAATCGCCAATTGAACAGCAAGAACGCTTGATTCAGTGACAAGAGCGAGATGCGTTGGCCCCGTGCTACCATAGTGAACCACATGCGCCTCTACTGCCCATTTCCTGAACGACGGAGGGTCGAGAGCTCTGATATTGAATCCCCCCTTATTATTAGTTGAAGTCGTTTCGTATGTCTGTACCTGATTGATTCCAATTTTCATACTACAATACCAAGATCCATCACTTATTCTCGGTATTGTCTCTCCTAGAGCTTTCAAACTAACAGACTCATCGGTATGCTCAAGGCCGAAACTTCAGCCACTTATATACCGACCAAACCGATCATAGGCGAATGGGACTATTTGTTAAGCTCAAAGTACACTAGAACGAATAATGGCGGCAAAAGACTGGCTTTACGGACTTCCATTAACAAGTATATCAACGCTAGTAAGAACCAATACTGAAGTCAGACAGCATGGTGGTTGATTAGCCTGAGGATCTACAGGTGCACGCTACTGAGTATTCTGATTCTGGCTCCAGGTATTGCAGCTGAAGTATCCGATCTCAGTTTCTGGAATGCTTCACCCTGCGCATCTCCAGCATTACTTCCAAAGCAGCGAGTGGTTGCAGAGCAGTTGGCCACGGATCTCCAGTACTCAAAATAGTCACAGAATGGATACTTTTGATAAAGCAAAACAAGCAGTAGCACAGTATAACAACAATGGCAAGTCATGAACAGAGAGGAAGGCAATCCCATCACGTCAACAAATCCATCACCTCCAAGAGCAGACTCTTATGCGGCTTGACCGGACTCACCGGCAGGCCCATCAACTCCGCAACCGCCATCTGCGCGCTCTGCACACTATACTCGATCTCCAGCGTCGTGCTGGCCGGAATCTCCACGAACTGCCCCACGCACGCAATGTTCGTCGTCCACTTGGGTATAACCGCCGGTCGGTCCCCACGGCCGCGCGTAAGCAGCGGCGCCATGCCCAGCGGCATCCCACAGGGGACCGTCCTCGCCGTGGCCAGAATGCTCGCGGCGGCCGCGGCCTCGATGGAGTCGTCGTCGCAACCCTTGCAGCAGCCAAGGTGGCACAGGACTTCCTTGAGGATCTCCTCGCCCGTGCACTGCCACATCTCCTTCTTGACAAAGTTGCCTTCCACGCCCGGGTTCGTGGCGTACCCCAGCATCACGGTGGTGTTGGCAGCCTGGGCCGAGAAAACGGGCTGTTGCGGGACGGTGATCACGACGCCCCAGTTTGTCTCGCACATGTTGAGGAATGCGCCTGTGCCTGCTTTCTCGCGCGTGAGGTTCTCGTATAGCTGGGCGAAGCCGGGGTCCGCGAACGTCGTCGTGAAGGTCTCGACCGCGGACTCTTGGATCCGGGGGAGGAAGTTGGCCGGGTTGCCGAAGCGCGATGAGCGCTCTGCCAGCTTGCGCCAGAGCTTCCATTCCCCGTCCATTAGGTTCTCCCAGTTCGGTTGCAGGCCCGCGGGGGGACTGGAGTTTGTGCCCATTGCTGCGCCGGCGGCGGTCGAGCCGAGGGTTACGATGATGATGTCGACTGGGTCGAGCGTGATGAGTTGCTGGGCGCCTTCTTCGGTCTCGACTTCGATCTGGGAAACGGTTGTTGGTCCGCTTTCGGGGTAGGCCTTGAGATCTGTGACCTTCTGGTGGAAGCGGAAGTCGACGCCTTCCTGCTTGAGGAAGGCTGTCAGGGGCTCGATGACCGACTCGACGATGTTGTAGGTGAAGTTCGCCCGTCCCAGCTCCTTGATCTGGTTGAGCGAGCGGAGATTGCCCAGGTGGTTGCGGAGATGGCGCTGGAACTCGACTGCGCTGTGCCAGGGGTGGAGTCGGAAGCTATTGAGAGGTGTTTGTTAGAAAGAGAATGATGGAGGTGAGGAAGGCCTTACACCGTAGACCAGAACATCCAAAAGTCCGTTTTGAAAAAGTCCTCGTCAAAGATCTCCTTGATGCTGGTGTTGTCGATCGAACTCTCGTTCTCCAGCATGAACCCAATCAGCATCATCCGCTGCTGGAACCCCAGATGCACGCCCGTCTGGTGAGACGCCTCCGGTCCAGATTCACCAGCGGTCACAAACTGTGCCAGCGGACCAGGCGGGTGTCTGCCGGATGGCCCTTCAGCAGCGCGAGCAGTGCTGGGAGAGAAAAGCCTCTCGACGTAGCTCCCAGCACTGGCTTCGAAGGAGGTCATATAGCCGCCGGCATAGGTTCCTTTCTTGGAGGTGGGCTCCTCTGTCGACTCGTGCAGGGTGTCCAAGACGGACTTGCTTGCGTCGGCGGCGCTGGGGATCAGACTCAGGAGCTTCTTGACAGAGGCGCCGTGGAAGTGCTGCACGCAACCGGGCGGGAGGAAGTAGCCGCCGTCTTCAGTGCCCCTGCCCTGGATACGCATCCCGCCGCCGGTGCCTTCGTGGGTGTCCAGGATGTGGATGTTGGAGCCGGGCACCTTGGCCTCCTTGATTAGATGGAGCGCTGCGGTGAGCGAGGCAATGCCGCTGCCGACAAGCCATGCTTGGAAGTAGTTGGGGTCACGCGAGAAGCCGTGCATCTTCTGCATTGAAACGATCGTAGCAGGGATTTCAAGTAGGGATTCAGAATTCCTGAGGTGGTTGACTTGAGAGCTCAGGATACGTCAGCACTCATCCTGCTTTTCCTCCTTTATATCTGTCATCTTGTGGTGTGTATGGAACATAAGCCACGATGCTCGTATGGCAGCCACTACTAAGCCGAAGGTGTACTGCCTGTGGCCAGATCGCATTGATGCTGGATGGCGTGATGCCTGTCCAGATGGTTGAGCATTCGAGACCGGGGTAGCTGCAAGGAAATCCGACTGGACCACTATCGAGGCCACACATGGCACTACTCGCGTCCAAATCGCGTTGTAGCTAATGAGACTAACCCCCAGTGCTCGATCTACACGCTCGCCTGCGATAGGTGGGCTGGGAGATCGTAAGACGCTGGTTGTGGCAAAGATTCAGCCACCGATTCGTCGATGTTGATTCCCCGCATCCGACTTTGGTGCGCCATGTGATGGTCGGAGGATGGAATTCGGATTATTGATCCTGTACAACGGTCTGCTGTCCAATCTTGACTCAATCTCATAATCCTGACCATGATAATCCATACTGAGGCAACGTTCGGCCGAAGAGTTGGCAGAACGCCGACGTGGCACTTCACGACCGCATTGTATCGATCTACCAATATCCCTGCCCATAGTTCTAACCACGGGTCTTTTACCCAGCCAGTGATCAAGACTTTGTTAGATCGTCTTGCGTATCTCCTTTTGCAACCATGCAAGGTATCTGGCAGACATATACGTATGTAGCTAAGCTAGAGTCTCCCGAAGATCCAGGACTCATGTAGCTGGACTTTGAACCCGACTAGATCGGTCTACTAGACTGTTCAACAACCTGACAAGCACCAAAACCTATTCAGGTCTGGACCAGTCATTCCCGGGGAAGTTATCATATGTAGGCATACTGAGCTCCAAAAGCATGCGACAGCTGATGTGCTTCGCAAACACGAGGAGCTATTGCCACCGGCCCAGACGCCATTCTCGCATATTAAAGCCAATCTTGATTTGAAGGCCAAGACGACAGGCATATGTATGCACGAATCCTTCTCATTGCAGGGTTAGACTTACCCGAGTGGGCCTACATTCACATTGATCGAGCAATGACAGGCCAAATTCCACAGATATCACCAGAAGACAAATAAGATTATGCATTTCGGCGAAGAACCAAGCTGCAAATTGCATTATGGAAATCCACGCCTCATTAGATGCACAACAGGCCCAACATCGCAACTGCAACCCAAAGGACGACTGCTATGCAATACAGATAGGGCACAGGGATCCAGAACCCAAACCATCCTCAGCCCAAAGTCTCTCACTTATTCCTCAAATCATGATAATTGATCTCCTTCAACAACGCAGTCGCCCCGACCGCATCCGCAACCAGATGGACAACCTCATGCTTCTTGTCGCCGAGTAGCTGCTTCCCAAGACTATACGCCGCAACCAACTCCTCCGCCAGGCGCCGATTATGTCCATGCTCATCGTCCCGCGACGAACTCGATGATCGAGAGCGAGAAGACGAGGTCGACGCCCTTCCCTGTCTGCTCCGCTGCTCTCCAGCTGCATGGTGCTCGTGCTCGTGCTCCGAGGTGGTGGTCGTGACGGCGAGGGTATCGGACCGCTGCTGAGTGGCGGACTGGTGCACATGGGTGTCGGAATGGCGATGGGCTGCGGAACGGGTATGAGAATCCCGCTCGTGCTTGTCGAACAGGCGGCGGTACGTAGCGAGACTGCCGTCGTCTCTGCGGAGCATCTCCAGGGCGCCGATGGCCACCGCCGCGCCGACGCCGGCTTTGAGGAGATGCGGGGCGACCGCTTCGTCTTCGTCCTCGAAGCTCTTGACGAGTTGGTTTGCGGCGTAGACGGCCCCGCCTGCTGCGACGGCTGTTGTGGCGTGGGCTTTGAAGTTGTGGAGGGAGGGGTCGGACATGATTTCTTCGTTCGAGTGTGAGAGTGAGAGGGGCTCGTTGATGGTGCAGATATCTTGACGATATTGACTGTCTTGTGTGGGTTCACAGCCAATTTGGCCTGCTGCGGGCTTTTATATTCTTGTGTATGATCGGAGCATGGTGGCGCGGATATCTCCAGCTGGCTTGTTTCCTGCCAGCCAGCTGAACGATTTTGCAAGGTTATTGCAGCTGGAGGCCAGCTTATGAGAGTAGGAGCTGGGAATCTGCCCATTGCGGGCATTGTCCATTGGTTGGGGTTGTCTCCCATCTGCTGGGTGCACAGCTCAGGTTACCCATGATCAAGGATAGTTCGAGTGCGTCTGAAATTCCTCCAATATTACCCGCTTTGCTTGTTGCACAGATGCGGGATCAGACAAGGCCTGCATGGCCACAGTCTAGACCTCCCCTTCCCCGTCATCTCTTGCCCTTCGGGCTTGGTTAGCTTCTACCCCGGCCTCTCCTTCTTTGAATCAAAGGGGTGATTATATAGTGCTTCTCGAAACAGGTGTCAGCACTTCTACTTACTTCTACTTTGAAACAAAGTAGCATCCCCTAACCCCAAGCGTCGAGAACACTGAAATAGATCATGGAAAAGATTTATACACCTTCCCAAGCTAAACATCAAACCATAGTCACAGAACAACCACCCACAATCCTCACAGCCATCCTCACACCCACAGCACTCGTCGCAGCAGTCTTTCTCCGCAGCATCTCGGCCGGGAGCCGGATGGCTGTCCGTGGCGGCAGCATATGCCAACGAACGTGCTCATAGGCCCGACTTTCTCGCTCGTGATACCCTGGTTTCTGGCCTGGCACCATTTCGTGTGTGTCGGAATACCGGACTGCACCGGCATGGCGGCGAGGTAATTCCGGTTCGTAGGAATCTTGGCCGTGGGAAATAACACCCATTTTGGTGGTGTTGTTGCGTGGGCATTTTCTGGAGTGTTGGGTGGTAAGGTTGGTACATGTAGCAGAAATGGATGGCAGGGCGAGGAGACCTCGTTGGCGGCGTAAATATTTTCACTAGGTGTTGTTTCTCGGGGGTTAGTAATTCTACGATGCATGTGCGCTTGGAACATCAGTTCTAGAGTGTTTATATCACTTTTGAATGGAGGCTTGCATTGGACCTCTGCCTGGGAAGTGTATGGGACTGTTCATGTTGCACTGGGGACTTGCTAGACCTTGTGCATTAAGGACTTAAGACACCCAGACTAGCATCAGGTGGGTAAGATGTAGATTGCAATGTCCCACTTCTTTCGAGACGTTTTTCATTTAACCTCGATCCGTTAGGGTTCATCAAAAGCAACTCTTAACAAGGAAGCCAGGTTACATGGGACATGCCCGGCATGCTCGAGTCACACCCCACACTATTTCAGCGCAAGAGACTCAACGTACACCGGACTCCCGTCAAGCTCAGGTTCCGAGGCAGATGTGGGAGGTGTATGAACCGTCCTTGACTCATGTCCGAGACTGTTACCGTCATCGGGCGAGGAAGACTCGATACTCGGAACTGGAGACGGAGATGGAATCTCCACATCCACATGCTCGAGCGAGTCCCCTTCATGTCCCTGTTTTGTTTCTTCCCCTGTCTGCTTGTCACCTGCCAGCTTGATGTTCGGAATCATCTCCGCGGGTATGCCTACCAGCGCATCCTCAACCAAGTCGAGCACAGATGCACCGGATAAGATGCGTATAATGGAGACATCAACGCCCAGCTGTTTGCTGAACCAGTTCCGCGTCTCGACTGCAACGAGCGAGTCCATACCGAGCTCGTTGAGGGGGAGATTGAGACTAGTCTCTACCTTCGCTGCGTCGAGGCGAAGGAAGAATGCCAGGCGAGATGAGAAGCATTCTACAACACCAAACCATTTAGCCACTTAAACAGAGTCAGAAATCACGGACAGGAAATATACCTCTAATGATACTCCGCGCCTGTTCTGCACTCGTCGCCTCCATCAGCCGATCCCTAACAGACACAACAGCCTGCTTCATACCCATATCACCCCCCTCCCCCTGCAACCCTGGAGCCTCAACAAACCGCCCAAACCGCGGATCCGCCCCCCAAACAACACGGTCCCTCAGATCCAGCGCATCCATCTGAGCGTCAAGCCTAACCCCCCTCAACCCGCTCACAATCTCCGCCCCAACCCCCGAATCAGCCGGACTCCCACGCACCGCCTCAGCAAAGTGCTCCAGGAAATCCTGCACCGAGAGCGGGAATACACCGGACGCCTGCAACGCCTTCGGCCGTAGAAGTCTATTCCCCCCATGGCGCGCGATATGTCCAGCACCCAGAATCGGCCCGATGTGCATGACGGACGCTGCAAGACCGGCCTTCCTGCGCTGCGCGACCAGCCCGGCCATGAATGCGTTCGCTGCGGCGTAGGCTGTCTGCCCCGCGTTCCCGACGATGTAGCTGAGTGAGGAGAGGAGGATGAAGAAGTCGAGTGGGTGGGATGCGTCGAAGAGGGCGTGCAGGTTCTGGGACCCGGACACTTTGGGCCCTGTTACGGATTCAAGAGTGGACAGGGTTGTGTTGGCGAATGTGCTGTCTTGTAGAACCATTGCGGCGTTGACGACGCCTGCGATGGGCGGGATGGTGGGGGTGTTTTGGAGGGATGTGTAGAGGGTTGTGAGGGAGGGGGTGTCTGTTATGTCCGTGGCGACGATTTTGAGGGTTATCACACCTAGGGTTTGCATCTCGTCCAGCCATTTCTGGGTTATGTGGGTGCTTGGGTTGCGGCTGGCTAGGATGAGGTGTTTTGCGCCGTGCTGCATGAACCATTCTGCGAGGGTTTGGCCTAGATCTCCGGTTAGGCCTACCAGGAGGTATGTCTTGTCCGGGGAGAACGTGAGGCTATCGGATGTGGGTGCTATGTTGACAGGCACTGTGACGTCTGCTGTCCAGTCGATGAGTGTGAATGGATCAGTTGCGTCGGAGGATGTGAGATGCGGGATCTGGCGGAGGGGGCAGGTGAGCTCGTCCGCGTAATCGCGGAGACCCTCGGATGCGGGTGTATTCAATGCCTCTGCAACTAGGTCATGCAAAGGGGTATTGTAGGGTGAAATGATGGTGGAAGACGATCCCGTGGAGAATAGGGTATCTGGTGTGTATACCTTGCTGGACACCGGGAGGACAGATGCCAGTCGCCTGTGCAGTTCATCTCTGCGATGGTATGCAGGTGACATATCCAGAAACACTGAAATATTTGCTGGTAGCTTGGCTCTCAGTGTGCTCCTGTGCTCCAAGGGGTGGACAGCAACCGATGCAGTGTCCTCATTTGCCGGCGGTTTACTTGTAACAGTATAGACCGACACTCCACACCCACCAGCATGACGGCGTAGAACGCTGAACAATCCGGGGTCAATGCCTCGTGCCAGTATCGTCTGTCCAGGCGTAACATTACAGCATAGGGTATGAGACAGTAACTCCCAAGCAACCCGGAGGATCAGTGTACCAGAAGCTGCGTACTCCATGACCGGCACAAGATGCTGCATCGGTACCTCAACAAGTGAGCCATTCGAGGATGATAGAGCAAAGACAGTTTCCTCTGTATCCGTGCGTGTACCAATAAGCGGAAACAGACACCGTCCGTCCGCAAGCTTGACGGCGCAGAGAAGAGAGTACAGCACTCGCACAATCACAGAACCTCGAGCTGCACCCCCAGATGCTGGGATATCTGGCTCTTTTACCAGCTTGAACCCGACTGACTTCTCCACATACCGGACAGACACCCTCTCCTGAGCCAGATCAACATGATCCTGGATGCGGCGATGCCTAGAGTTATACGCACGATTCCGCGCCACGTCCTCAGAAAGCCGCGGGATAAGAAAACGTCCATCCTTGGTAAGTCGGTATTCAGGCTCCGTCGTCCACAACATGTCGTCAAGCGCACCCTCCTGTTCCCAGAGCTGAGTCCCACGCAAGCGCAAGAGCATCTCTGCCAGCCGCCGAGCATCAACGACCGCACCGTCTTCAACATCAAGGATCTGCAGCCGGAGGTCCTTCCGCTCGTTCCGCACAGAACGCGCCATCCCGATTGTCGTGTTGGCATGGGGCTCGGAGCCCGTACACCCGCGTGTCACCCAGAGGACGTTGTGGTCGTTGCTCCAGAGGGTCTTCAGTGCATCCAGTTTGGCAGTACTCATGTCTTGGAACATTGGACGCTCCAGCTCTGACAGGACGAGGATTGTGCTTGGAATATCTGTCAAGGTATTGACTTCCTCCAACGTCTCGATAGCCGTAATCCCACAGAAGAACTGCCCAAGCATGAACTGGACGTCGCTGGCAAGCTTAGCTGTTTCCAGCGTCCGTCCTCCGATTATTAGAAGTTCACCTAAGCGCTTTGCTGCTCGTGCATTGACCCTGGCGAACAGTGGTTGACGGAGGATGGAGACGCGCCGGTCAACTGCCTGTGTGAGGAAGACGGAGAACGGGCACACGAGCTCCCCGTTTGGGGATGAGGTGAGTATTGTGTCAACCCCGGAATACCCTGTCTTTTGCAGCAGGGAGTGCCACTGGGCGGGTGAGACTGGCGATGCAAACTTTGCCAGGCCGCCCATTAAGAACCTCATGCGTGTTGACGCCTGGTTAGTGGGTTCGATAAGTACCAAATACCCTCCTGGTTTGAGGAGGGAGTATATACGGTGCAAGGCTTCCGATACATCAGATGTGCTATGGGTGAGGTTCGTCGCGAGGACGAGATCGTACGAGTGTTCGGTGTAGCCCTGAGTCGCGAGATTCGTCGACAGATCCAGTGGTTTTGCGAGCACGTTTCTCGCCGAGGTTAAGGCGGTGCTCTGTTCCTGGGTTGGTGTCGAAGTGTATGTGTATGTATAGGACGTGTAGTCTGAACCGAGTCCATCGAGGATGGTTCTGGCGGTCCCTGACGTACCCCCTGTTCCCAGTATCGTTGGTAATTGAGCTCCGCTACACAAAGCATAAATGAGATGAAGACTCACCAAGGCTTATAATATCCATTCGTGGATACCGATGCACTATCTGCTTCACAAGACCAACAGCCCAGGCATAGGCCTTTGTCCACCCAAGTCCTTCAGCATACCATTCGTTCAGCACGTCTTCGCTGGCTTTAGGATCCAGGGCACCCACGTCCCCTTTGATGAATGAAGAGCAAGTCTCTCCGACCCTCTTGATAAGCCTCAAGTCAACGTCTGCAGGGTATCTCGCAAAAAGGCGTTGTATATCGTCCTCGGTGTCGTCTTCCCACTCAGGCTTGCCCTTCACTCGCTCGCCAGCCACGCCCGAAACCAGCTCACCCGCCCAGTCTATTAGGTGCTGGTGATGCAAGGCCGCACTCTGCTTGTCCAACCCCGAGTCTTTCAGCTCCGTCCAGAGCCTCCTGCTATAGAAGTGCACTGCCCGTTCACACACAAACGCACGCTCGGTTCCGTCTGCAGTTGGTTCCACGGTACAAACTAAGTCTGGTCGTGTATCTGGGTCTGCGAGTGCCCAGATCTCCTCGGAGAAGATATTGCGGTCGTCGGCGGCACTCGCCTCCGTCAACGGAACTGTTTTCACGGCCTCGATCTGGATAACGCCATGGCCAGCAGTGGTGTACACACTCACATCTCCTCCATTTTGTTCCTCCGAGCCCATGGGAACAGCCGCATCAAAGACCAATTCATCCCGCTCAGTCTCTCCATCACCGAAATAGTACGGATTAATCCGAACCGCCCCAATCCCCGTCGGCACACGCAACCCCCTCAGCCCCCCATCGCCAGGGTAACTGATGGCGGCAGGCAAAGCCTGGAACGCGGCGTCCAGCAACGCAGGATGCACCAGCGTATCGTGCGGCGGATCTGGCAGCGCGATGACGCCGGAGGAGTAGCCCATTTTACGACGGAGACTCGTTATGCGCTTGAAGGGGCCGCTGTACCCGTACCCGATTTCGGAGAGGGTGGCGTAGTAGTCGTCTACGTTTAGCGGGAGCATGTTCGGGAGGCCTTCCACGTTATCTGTCGGACGGTCTGGGAGGGTTTTGGATGACGGGGGGCCGAGACGTACGCAGACTGAGCCCCTGCATACTAGACTCAGGGTGTCTGCGTCCTTGGTGGCGGGTGAGTGCAGGGTCCAGCGGGCAGTTAGGGTTTCCTCTTCCTCCTCTTCCTCCGCTTTCTCAGGGCGTGTGCGTGTGCGTGTGCGTATCCGCGCCCGTGTCCGTTCAATGTTCGTCAAAGTCAAAATAACCTCGACGCTGCTACTCTCATCCTCAAACGAGATAGCTCGACGGATATCCAAGTCAAGTATCTCAACCAGCTTCACCTGACCCCGTTCCTCCTCCCCCCTGACCATAAGCACCGCCGCCTCAACCGCCATGACCGCATACCCCGCCGCAGGAAACACCATACCCCCCTGTACACGATGGTCCAACAACCACGGGATCTCCTTGGGGATGAGGAAATTCCGCCACTTCACTTCTGAATCCGTAACATCGCCGTACGGCACACCGAGCAGGCTATGCACGGGCCCGCGTCTGTTCCGCCGCGCGCGCTCCCAGCGCGAGGAGTACCAGTATGTCTTGGTGTGGTCCCAGGGGTATGTGGGCAGATCGCGGATGAAGGATGGCGGGGCGTTGGGGAAGAATGTCCGGTCGTAGGTGGCGAAGGTGACGGTGCCTGCGTTGTGAGCGCAGTGCGTCCAGATTGTGCCCAGGGCGTCGGCGAATGCGACGAGGCCGTTTCTTTCCCGGGCGAGGACGCCGGTGTACGGGATCTTAGTCTCGCTTTTGGCGGTTTCTTGGATCGTCTGCTGGACGGAGGACTGGAGGGCTGGGTGTGGGCCGACTTCGAGGACTAGATCGAAGGAGCCATCTGGCGCTGTGACTGCAGCTGACACCGCATCGGCAAAGAGGACTGGGCTCGTCATGTTGGTTACCCAGTACTCGCCGGACAGCTTGTCCGAGTCAGTTGCCGACATGATATCGCCGGGCTGGACACTCGAAAGCCACGCCGGGGAGTCCGCCTCAGGCGATAGTGGCCGGATATCGCACGAGTGTAATGCTTCGAGGTAGGGCTGGGCGCAGGGCAGCATATGGTGCGAGTGATATGCCGTGTCGACCTTCAACAACCGTGCAAATATATTCTCTTGCTCTAGCTTCGCCTTCACCTCGTTGACAGCATCCACATCGCCCGAGATAGCAGTATTCGTAGAGGAATTACACGCGGCTATTCCAATACGCCCGCGGAACCTCGGTGCATCGCATATCTCGCGGGCTCCATCCGGCGACAAGCCACATGCAAGCATTGTGCCCTTCTGGCCATCCCTTCCACTAGCCAGATTTGCACAGCGGCCTCGGTAATAAGCTATCCGAATGGCATCAGCAGCCGTGACAAAGCCAGCCGCGTAAGCAGCGGCAATCTCCCCAGACGAGTGGCCAACAACGGCATGAAACCTCACCCCAGCACTCCGCAGCATATCAACAAGTAGAATCTGGATCGCCGTGCAGAGGGGCTGTGAGAGGGCTGCTTCAGCAACCTGACTTGTCGCAGGGGCCTTCATGAGCTCGTCCTCGATTGTCCAGGAGGGGCGGTCTTGCTCACGCGGGAGGGTTGTGAGAGACTTGTCGAGGGCGCGCACGATCTCACGGGCTTTAGGAGAAGCATGCAGGACTGATTGGGCCATTCCTGCCCATTGGGCGCCTTGGCCTGTGAAGATCCCTAGGATTCGTGGACCGGCGGCACGTTTCGGAGGTCTGCTGCTGACGAGATCGGGGGTTTTCGGTGCGCGTGCTTGGAAGTTCTTCAATTTTTGCACGAGATCGACCTTGTCAAGGGCTGATATTGACGTTCGTGTGCCGAGTAGGGATTTATGATATTGCAGTGTATAAGCGATACTGCGCAGGTCGAGTTCTGCTTCTGATTCTGCGGATTGGACCTCCAGATACTCGGCGAACCTTTGCACCATTGATATCAGGCTTCGCTCTGACTGTGCAGAGAAGACAAATGGTGTCGTTAACGTGGGAGCCTGTGTATGATTATGATTCCTGGGAGGGACACTTGGTTCCCTTGTATCCTGGTAGCTTTCCAGAATAACGTGCCCATTACTTCCACCAAACCCTACGCATAGTAAGCACGCATGCCACGCTGTATGAAACCAGGACACTCACCAAACGCATTCACGCTCGCCCGCCTGGGCCCACCCTCAGCAAGAACAGGCCACGGCTTCAACTCCGTCGGTACACTTAGGTACTTCGCAAACGGCTCCACAGCCGGACTCAACCTCTCAAACAGCAGATTCGGCGGAATAACCCCATACTTCACAGCCAGCGCGGCCTTCAATATCCCCGCAATCCCCGCAGTCGCCTCCGTATGCCCGATCACCGTCTTCACAGACCCAATATGCATCACCTCCTCACCTACCCCTTCCATCTCCCCCCCAAAGAAAGCAGCACACACAGCCTCCGCCTCCCTCGGATCCCCCACCGCCGTCCCCGTCCCATGCGCCTCAAAATACTGCGGCCGATCCTCCCTCCGATCCACACGCAGCCCAGCACGCGCATACGTCCTCCGAATCAGCTCCGCCTGCGCCTGGCTGCTCGGCGCCGTAATTCGCCGCGTATACCCGTCGTGGTTCGCGCCCGTCTCGCGGATGATAGCGTCAATGGCATCCCCGTCTGCAATAGCTGCACTGAGCGGTTTCAGTATCAGGGACGCGACGCCCTCGCCGCGGCTGTACCCGTCCGCGCGGGCGTCCCACATCCGACTGCGTCCCGAGGACGAGATCATGCCCAGGCTGCTGAGGACGATGTAGTTGTCTGTGCGGCAGTAGGTGATTAGCAATGAAGAACGAAGGAGGTGGGTGTTGTGGGTGGTGGGTGTGGTGGGTGCACGCACGCGGACTCAGATACAAACTCGCCCCCGCCGCAACAGCAACCCTCGCCTCCCCGCTGCGCAGGCTCTGCACGGCTAAATGCACGGCCATCATGCTCGAGCTGCATGCCGTGTCGATACTCATGCTTGGGCCCCGCCAGTCGAAGAACCAGCTTATCCGGTTCGCGTGGATACTCCGCGACACGCCGGTGCCTGCGTACGCGGGGATACAGTCGACATCGTCCTGGATGAGATCGGCGTAATCTGTATTCATGAGCCCGATGTACACGGCTGTATCGGAGCCGCGGAGACCCTCCATTGTGAGACCCGCATTCTCTAAGCCCTCGTACACGGTCTCGAGCAGCAGGCGCTGCTGCGGGTCCATGGCCTCTGCGTCGGCGGGCTTGATGTTGAAGAAGGTGGCGTCGAAGGCGGATATGTCTGTGTCTGAGAGGAAGTGGCTGTATTTGGTTTTGATGGTGCCGTGGTGAGGGACGCCAGTGGGGGTGTGGTAGCCGCGCCAGTTGAAGCGGGAGCGTGGGATTTCGGAGAGCGTGTCGAGCGCCCCTGGGTTCGTGAGGAGGGACCAGAGGGAGGAGGGGGTGTTGGAGGCGGCTGGGAAGCGGCATCCCGCGCCGATGATGGCGATAGGTTCGTTTGCGGAGGGCATGGTGGGTTTGGTAGGTAGCATTACTGTAGGCATATCATGCCTGGTGTACAGAGGGGGGCGGGCATGAGGGCATGCGGTCCATATATCCGTCAGCTGTCAGCTCTCAGCTCTCAGCTCTCTACCTACGTACGCTTGTACTCGTGCCTCGCTGATGGGCAGCCTGACAATGCGGGGGCCGTGGGCCGTAAGCCTCCCTGCAGCCCGTGTCCCGTTGCCATATCGTGCATATACTAAGATAGTGTCCGCTAGGCTCCGCGCCATGACAGATGCGGGTGAGATGAGGGCGAAAGCCGTCACATCCTCAACTTGAGTCTTGGGTTCTTCAGCGGCAATGAATGCGCGGGCCATCACCCGATTCAATTCAGCTCTTTTGTCTGCCCTTGCCAAGCAACTCTATATTGAATGGGCACTAGACTGGATGGTGGTAGATCCATCCGAATGACGGGTCCACGGGTAGATTGCTGCTCGTGGGTCGCACAGAATCCCTTTGTTCGTTTTCTTCAGAGCTCGACTTGCCCTTTACCGGCAGAAGAATGCCGAGTCCGGGGCTGGGCTGTAGGCAGCCTATCCCCCCACATCCTGAGGCGGCAGTACAAATAGTGTCAGACCAGTGATTTTAGGATTTGGAATACGATGGCAGTTGCCTTTGTTATAGTGTACAAGGCCAAGAGGTGTCGTTTTGTTGTTTGCCTTGGCCCAAGCAAGCACCATATAACCTCTTGAACCTCTTGAACTCACTCGCCCTTCATTTTTTTTATCCCGCAACGCCGTAAGAAAGATACCATCGCGGAAGTTCATGTATGGTGAAGTTCTGTTCCAGGCCGCCTCATCACACCGAGGAGACGTCAGCCCGGGCACCGATCACGGACTCACGAGTCCAGCTATGGTAGTTCGCGCATTGGATTGGCTGCTGAGCCAGGCAAAGCAAGTCATATCACGACTACTGCACCCTGAGCCTCCGGCACAAGCCTAGGCGCGGGGGCTGGCCCCGAATCGAGAAGAGGTCCGATGAGTTGGGTGCCTAGATAAGCTGCAGGGGTGGGTCTGGGGCCGATTCAGCTGCGGATTCAGACGACGGAACGAATGGCATGCTTTGTTTCTTACCAATGTTTGTGGATCTGGTAGGTAAGCCCGATGACGATTAAACATGAACTCTGGTTCATTTGGCCTCCACCTATCAGAAGGACGTGCAGAGGCCGCCCCGAGAGCCGTGCTATGCATCGTTGCTGATGGTCGAATAAGAACCATATGACTCAATCGTTCCTAGATCTCACCAATGGCCTTCCGCCCTATAGATGCTGTGTTCCTTGCTAGCGGTCATTTGCTTACGCAAGTCTGACAGAATCTCCGCCAATAGCATGGCCCGTAGATAGTTGATATAATACTCCGTAGTCAGGTAGGACTCGGAGTAAATAGTGAACCTTATGGAGTTTTCGCTCTGTCAGCGGCTGTCGCTCGGTCCATGACCTCGGCACAAATGATATTACGCTGAGGAAGTTGTTGTTGGTGGACTGTGTCTTAGTCTGCTGGCTACGGTATAATTCCAATGCTGGTTATAAGCCCAAGGCAAGTGTGCTCTGATGTGCAGTAGCGTAAGTGAATATAATGCGGCGCTTAGGTCAGATACCTACATACACCACCATGGTATGTAGGTAGTCACAATGCCGAGGCCGCTGAGGCATAACTGAAATGCTTTAGGCGCCCAGGCGCTTTTCTCAGAGAGAACTGCTTATCCTGGTTGGTTGGAGACTTCTGTTCAGCCTGTCGCTGCGAGCACTTGCACTTGCATATGCCGACAGCTGGGCGCTGGGCACGGCCCGTGCAGGCTGCACGTTGCTGCGCCTGGGCGCGTTGGACATTTGCCGTATCGGGCATGACGGGGAGGCTCCGAGACTTGGTGAGGGTAGGTCGACCTGGATAAATCGTCTAGTGACGCGGGTGATACCACATAGCTAGCTGAGCTGCTGTCCACTACCGACGGGTGGCACGCTCATGAAGATTGAGCGCATAGCCAAGTGGTGCGTACAAAGAGTGTAATCCTGAACAGGACATGCTCCTAAGCCCGGTTGTTCAGTAAGCTTACCTGCATATGTCTCTCAGTTTACCGACCGAATGACCATAGCAGGATCTTCCCACTCCGTACAAACGGACCTCGGGACCTTTATCCCCTCACACACTCTGCACCCTATCCCTCTGCTTCTCAATGGACTCCTCAGTCTTTGCAGCTGATTCAAATCTGCGGCAAGGAGGGACGGACACTTAAGACCGTCATGCCTCCTCAACTAACACCATCTTAAGAATACGTTCCGTCGCTTATAACAATGGAGCTACTCAATACGCTACATTAAAAGGATGACACATGTTACCACCAATATCCTTCCCGCAAAAGAGTAAGCGACGCCTGCCTCGACGAGTGAACTGGGACGCACTGTGCAAATACGCTTCATTCAAAAACTCAGACTCGCCGTGCAGGCTGCCGGACCAGAGTGCAATTGGCGGAGTGCATCTTGTCCGCTTACTTACCTTCGGAGACACCCAGTGGATCGCTAGAGTCCAACTTGAACCGTCAACCCCAGCAACAACAAGCCTTCTCAGCGCTGATATTAATGTAATGGAGGTTGTTCGAGCTCGAACAAACATCCGCGTTCCCGAAATTTATCGATACGAGCCCAGCAACGAGAATAGCGTTGATGCCGCGTTTTTTCTCATGGAGATTTTGCCCGGTTCGTCTGCGATGGATGCGAGTGGAGGCTATGAAGTTCATTAGGGACAGATCCCCCTTGCAGGTGAAAAGAGAGAGGCCTTCTTTAAGAAGGTCGCGAGTATACAGGTATGATTCATCATTCATGTACCATGTCTTTATGCTTAATTTGCCTTCCTGGAGGTCCAGCTATCCCCAGTCCGGCTTCCCAAAATCGGTTCCCTCATCCGGCGAGACGATAAATCCTTCGACGTCGGACCCCTTCCAGTGCTCGGAGGCCCATTCTCAACAGCGACGGAATTCTACCTGGCATGGGCAAAACACGCAAGATTCCCTACCAACGACAAGGAGATTCGAAAATCCATGCAATCCGGGCCAGGAGACGAGACTCTAAGCTCAATACACAACTTCCCACGCAGCGTACGAGACCTAGCCGGCAAGAGATCAGCATGCGATACCGGGCCTTTCCCACTGTATCATCCAGATTTCCACCACAGCAACATCATCGTCGACGACTCTTTCGCGGTCCTTGGTGTCATCGACTGGGAAGGCGGCTGTGCTGTACCCTGGGGGTTAGTCGAGCCGCCTTTATTTCTTAGTACCGTGCCGCGCCATGGACAGCCCGGATAATTACGACGCAGGCGGGAAGCACCGCGATCCCGATGCCATAAGACGCTTGAGTGAACGGGTCCAGTATGCTCGGTTTGTCCAGGAGATGGAAAGCGAGCTGGGGGTGGACGAGAGGTTATCCCGGCTGATGGACTCCGAGATCCAGGGCCTTGCGCAAGCGATGAAAGTGTATCATGACCCAGGGAAGTTGGGGTTCTACTGTGATGTCCGAAGGCCATTTCGCAAATAGGTATGGCAGACGACCAACGCATTCCGGCTTCGAGTTGTGTTTTGCTGGACTCAGGAGACTGGGGAACGAGAGCAACAAAGACTCCGAATCTTCCTGTCAAAATGGATCTACGGTCAAAACTGATCTGCTGATATCTACACCACAGTTGACTGGTCCAGTAAAAGAGAAAGCTAACTGCACAACAAGGGAGCAAAAAGCAAAAGCAATTCCGACACGGGGAATCGAACCCCGAGCTGGTGTGTGAGAGACACCGATGTTGACCATTACACCATATCGGATATTGGACAGGGTTTTGTTAAAAGGTTGCGTTGATAAAAAGAAAAGTTTTTTTTTTCAAGCAGGGGTGGATATAGCTAATCACGTGATATGGCCTCAGGGTTGTTACGTAACTGGCGAGCACGTGACACAGCGACGAATAATACAAAGGACTTGGAGAAACGCTCATAGAAGGGCTTTGTGCTGTGGAAGAGGTTCTGTTTGGGCTAGAGGTATGCTGCAGGTCTGTCGCCCTTCTACTACGGCGATGTGGAACGGAGAGATATCGATAGGTAAGGGAGGCTGGCCGCCTTGGGTTGCGGTCGGGTTAATCATCCATTATTGTTCCCAAACGGTGCCACAGCTACAAGGCTTTGAGATGGAGATAGAGTTCAGCGTCGTCATGCGCTATGCTGTTGACAACAAGACACAAGGACTTGCAATGGATGGGTTGGCGTGGTCGATATCTGGCAGGCCTGTCGAGGGCTGGGGGCTAGGTACATTACCATAGTATGCACCAATCCGGCCATCTCAGCCACGGGACGATTATACGTAGTATCGATGTGGATCGCAGTAGAGAAGTGGCAATAAAAGGATTCTCATACTAGAGTACTTCAGAATAAGGTACTTCGAAATCAGGCACAATTACTCCAGCCCAAGCCCGCGCTCATGCGCCATTTTGGCATCAGCCCTAAGTCACCCATCCCATCCCTCCCATGCTACTGAAGCCACCGATCCGTCAAATACCCCGTCGCAAACGCATAAACCGCCTTGTGCAGGATATCAACCACCTGCTCATTAACCGGCCACGTCCTACACTCGCATTAGCCCGGCTCCTGTCGAATCTAAGCCCTCACTGCAGGTGCAGGTGTGAGGCACAAGAAACCCACCAAGGCAAAGCCCCGACCCCCACCCAATTCTCCAGCGTCTGATCAATAGCCAACCTGACCGAAACGAACATGAAATCCGCAAACGGGCCGCGAATTCCTCCAGCGCTCATGAACGCCCGAACAACCGCCGCGACCGCGCCCTGTCCGTAGTGCATCGCCATGTTCCAGCGGAACATGCCGTCTTTCTCGGGATTCGAGACGGAGAGGAGGCGCGCGAGCGTGTAGCCTGGGACGTAGGAGCTTGGACGGCCGGTGAAGAATTGCTCGATTTTTTCGCCGGCTGTCATGCTACCCTACCTGGTTAGTGGGGCGTGGATGGGAAGAGATGGCGGGGGACGTACGCTGCGACACCGAGGAGGCCTGCGCCGATGCCGTAGAGGACGCAGGTACCCGCGGAGAAAGGGCGGGATGGTTGCGAGGGGATAGTGGTGCGGCGGGACATGGTTGTTTGTTCTGGTTGTGGGACTGTATGGCGATACTTGCACCTATGGTGTTGGAATAGACGTGTTCGCAGTTCGAAACGCATCTTCTAGAGGTGAGGGGTTTGCATGGCGTATGCATGACGCAGATCGAGGTTTGGCTGGACCATGGGACGGATCTCTATGCCATGCGGGAATCTTAAGCGTGTCAGATATCGTTCCATGGCTCGAGCTGTTGATGCATCCATGCTGCCGGGAGGTTTACTGGGTAGATAGATGAAAGCACAAGTATCAATCATATGGATCCATTACACCTAGACAAGACCATTAAAAGGTTCAATTTACCCTATTATATCCATCCCTTCGTCCAACGCCATTACAACCCTCCCACAAAAACAAGCCTGAATCAGCAACCCTACCTACCTAGCTAGGTGTCTAGGCCCTCACCTCCGCCCCCCACCCCCCATACAAATCCGCATTCGCCCCCTTGACAAGATCCGCACACTTCTCCCCAACCATATAAACACTATTCTGAATCCGACAGTCCGGAATAACAGGCATAACACTCGCATCCGCAACCCTCAGCCCCTTAATCCCATGAACCTTCAGATCCTCCCCCACAACGCCCTGCGCAATACCCCTCCCTAGTCTCGCAGTCCCACACGGATGAAACGCCGTCTGGCACCGATCCAGCACAGCGCGCTTCATCTGCTCGTCATCATCAAGCGGCATTTCCCACGGATACTCAGCCACAACGAGGTCCTTGAACCCGTCGACCTTGGTCAGCATGTCGTAGCTAAACCTGATCCCCTCGCGCATCGCAATGATGTCCAGGTCATCCGCGAAGAAATTCAGGTTGATGGCTGGCTGGGTCAGCGGGTTGCCGTCGATGAGCGTTACCTCTCCGGGCGGGGAAATCGGCCGCACGAGGTCCACGACCACGGTGAGGTAGTTGCCCTTCTTGGGGACCGGGTAGTGCCACTGGAAGGCTGTGCCGAACATGCACACGAAGTCGAGCTCGAAGTGTGGCTGGCCCGCCGGGCTGAAGGGGTCTTTTCCGCCGAAGTCTTGCTTGGCTTTGCGGTAGGCCTCGTCTTTCTCCAGGTAGGTGTCGACGCGCGGGAAGCCGACGAGTTCGAGCAGGCCTGAGGAGACGGGGCCGGTGTGCGACTTTTCGTATGTTTGCACCGCGGCCTTGTTGGCCTCTGATCCCTTGCGCAGGAGGAAGTCGTCCATCCCGTAGCCGTCTTTCACCTGCAGTACGAAGGGGACGCCTGGGTGGTCGATGAGGTTCTGCCCGACGTGCGGGGAGTCGATCAGGGTGGTGATGCCGTGGCGAGAGAGCTGCTCGGCTGGTCCGATCCCGCTGAGCATGAGGAGTTTGGGAGTCTCAAAGACGCCCTGCGAGAGGATGACCTCGCGGGTGGCGTAGAAGGCCTGTTCGGTGCCATCGGGCAAGATAACCTCGACACCCCTGCAAGTCTTCTCATCATCGATGATCAGCTTCTTGCTGCGCACGCCCGCAAAAATCGTAACATTCGGCTTGTCCTTCACAAACAGCCAGCTCCCCGATCGCTGCCCCTTATAAATGGAATCAACACAGTGCGTGAGTCCCAGCATCTCCCCGTCATACACATTCTCCTCCACACGCTCGCCCATATTCTTCCACGCCTCCGTAATCGCGTCCCGGAAATGCTGCATCCCATCCAACAGTTCAGCGTGGCTAATATGAATCGGCCCCTCGCCGGGCCCAATCTTCTTCAGGTCCTCCGGGTAGATTCCAAGATCATCATGGTACGTCGCGCTCTTCCGCAGATACGGCAGGAGGTTCTCCCACGTCCACTCGGGACCCCCATACTCACCCCACATGTCGAAGGTGGCCTTGCACCCCGGCAGCCAGGTGAAGTAGTTGAGCGCGGAGCTGCCGCCGAGGACCTTGCCGCGGGTGTTGGGCTTCTCGATGCGCTCGTAGTCGTCGCGGCGGACGAGGGTGGTCTTGTACGCCCAGTCGTGGGCGCTGCCGCGGAGGTCCATTGCGGAGCTGGGGGTTGTGATTTGGGGGATGGACTGCGGGTTTTCGACGCCGGCTTCGATGATTAGGATGCGGACGGACGGATTGGTTGCGAGACGGCCGGCGACGGTGTTGCCGGCTGTGCCGCCGCCGATGATGATGAAGTCGTAGCTGTTTTTGGTGGTGGTGGGAGCCATTGTTGAGGCTTTGGCGTGGTGGTTTGACTTGGTTTGATGTGCTGGAAGGTGTAGATGGGTGTGAGTGCGATGTTCTGTGGGCAGTGGGTTCACGATGGGCGACAGGGCCCTTTATACACTGCCCATCCCTGCCTTAATGTTGCTTGTTATCATCATAGGGCCAGCGCTCCATGCGTGCTGGGGTGAGGGGTGATTTGGAGATACCCTAGGTAGTCAGCTTCAGATCAGAATGCGGTCGTGCTCGAAATCGCCCTGATCACTGTATGGATAGAATGCCCCGCACGAGGTGTCGTCGTCTCGGATGCCGGCGTCACAGTCTACCTGCCGTATCTGCCCTGTCCATAAACCGCATCCAATCGGTCTGTTCACAGCTGAAACAGGGCAAATGTGGCGTTGGCCGAGCCACGGCCGACCGATCTCCGGCTTACATCGGTATGACAGCAGATGCACGGTCCGTTTTCTTTGTTCTTGCGGAGGTCAATGCCCTGTAGACGTCACATCCGTCCTTGCCCGGTTGTTTGCTGCCTGCCCTGCCCTGCCCTGCCATCGCCGAGTGACGCCGAGTGGTCCACAGCGGGCTGTTGACTCCACAAACGTGCCCTGTCAAAAGCTTGTCATACCTGAGTCAAAGTATGTCACGTCAGAGTCAGACTAGATCCGGGCGTGCCGGGCGTCGTCGATCGCGGTTGGATCGATTGGGTGCAGATAGGGAGTTCCAGTCCGAGGGTTCCGAGTTTCTTCCTCCAATGGACGCTGAGGACGTGTAGTTGTCTGGGTTCCCCTCACGAGTAAGCATTATGGATCAGTAAGCCATTAGGTATGGATTATTTGTGGCTTTTCCAGGAATGGAGATATGTCTTACCTATGTCCGGTCTCGTGCGGGGATTATGCGAGAATGTGTCTAGAGCATCCCCTCATTAGGGCAGTACAGTACCTGGAACTTGTTAGCGTGAGGGACATCTACTTCGCAGCGACGTCATTCGCCCAGCCTGCTGCTTATTTTAGGCCCTTGGTCGCCTTATCGGCCCGAGAGGGCCCAGGTCCCCTAGGACTCGGAGGATCATTTTTTGGGATACAGTTCGGTGCATATTGCCTCTCGTCTTGACCACAATGAGACCTTGAAGGTATTGCTAAAAGCCCAGCCAGATCTGGGCGTGAAAGATAATTACCGCGGAGGGACCGCCCTACGCTACGCGGCTTCTAGGGCAAAGCGCGAGACAGTCAAGCTGCTGGTCGACGCGGGTGCAGATATTGAAGCAGTAGACAAGGAAGGTTTAACCCCCCTTCTGTCAGCTTTGAGCTGGGGGAATACCGGCAAACCCGAACCACGGTAAACTTGGCGATGAATATCCTTGGTGGCAGTTGAAGCCTATACTATATTGTGCGCGTTTCGGCCTTGCCGAAGAAACTAAATTGCTTCTCAAGCACAATGTCAACTTGAGCTGTTTGTATAAAGGGGTTTCCGCCTTATATCTTGCGATCCAGGAGGGCCACGTGGAGGTTGCTCGCCTGCTGCTGGAAAATGGCGCCGAACCGAATGAAAACCCGAAAGACTACGATCTACTCCTATTGAGAGCTATTTCCATCCCGGATGCGGCAAAGACCCTGACGCTTACGAAGCTGCTTTTGGAATACGGCGCTCGGATCGAGGAAGAAAATGGTTGTTCGTCTTTCAGAGCCACAGCACTGTCACGAGCTGCTGGAACTCCGAACACAAACCTTGTCAACTTCCTGGTTGAAAAGGGGGCAGACCCCAACCACTGCGCGGAGAATTCGGAGAGTCCTCTTTTCACCGCTTGTTGGACTGCCCAGGCTGCGAATGTGCGGCACCTTATCCAGGCAGGAGCCGATGTCAACGAAGATGGGAAGCCTCTCGAGATATGGGCTCCTATACATGCCTGCTACAATGCGCCGGAAATCCTGCAAATCTTGCTTGAGAACGGAGCAAATCCTGACCGTGTATTTAAGCGAGTAAAAGACGCCCCAGAAAGTTGTCTGCATCTGGCCGTCTTGTACGAGCAACCGGAAACATTAAAGGTGTTGCTCAAGCATCGCCCCAGGATAAATCTTGAGCTCAAAGCACCCTGTCCTTCATCTAACGAGGACGATGATTTTACGGCTATGTGTCTTGCGTGTTATGTCGGAAACGCCGGCATAGTCCGGCAATTGCTTGAGGCTGGCGCAAACCGAAATCAAACGACGAAGCTCGGCAAACGGCCCTTGGATATCTGTGTTGAGGTAGGGTCGGCGGCCGCGGCGAAGGTGTTGCTGGAATGCCGGGTTCCCATCAACTATACCGACGACGACGGTAATACGGTCCTGCATCGAATAACTTGGTCAACCCGAGTCTCTCTGGTCAAACTGCTGGTGAATGCAGGTGTTGACTCTCGTGTACCTAACGACAGGGGCGTGACACCACTTCGGCAAGCGATGGAGACGGAAAACACCGCTGTAGCAAAATACCTGATCTCGAAGGACCCCAATCCCAAGGTCTTTCTTGATGGGGCGCGGACTCTCGTCCACCTCGCCTGTAGAAATCAGGATCTGGAAACTCTGAAAGCTTTGGTTGATAGTGGAGTGAACCTCGGAAGCATTGATTCAATGCCTGACAGCACTGGTCTCGTAGTCACGGCGCTCGGACAATGGCGGACGGCAAGTCAGCCTATGTTGGAGTATCTCGTTGAAACTGGTGGTGTCAACATTCATGGTGGCGGTGGTTATCTCGACTACCCAAGTCTCAATGCCTGCGTGTATCGGCACGTCGCCCAACTGAAATACTTGCTCGAACTCGGCGCCAACCCGAACGTCGAAGACTCGAATGGGCGCCGGGCTCTCCACCTCGCATCGGTCCATCCTGGCCCAGAGCTCCTTGACATTCTGTTGTCTGCCGATCTACAAACTCACAAAAATGGGAATCCGCTGAGAGACCAGATGGGGAGGACTCCCATACACTTCGCGGCTTCCAGCGGGGACTGGGATGGTTTTACGCGTGTGAGCCGGCTTTACGACACTAATCAACTGACCGAGCCAGACGCCGATGGCTGGACACCTTTATTCTGGGCATTGATGCGTCGGGAGGCTAGTGCTCGTGTAGTTCAGCATCTCATCGACCACGGAGCCGACATCTGGGCTCGCGTCAAGGCCGGCAAGTCGGAATGGTCTCCGCTCAAGCGGGCTAGGTGGACGGGTGTGTCTGAGGACGTATTGGCCCACTTGGCACCAAGGTCATCGACAGATATCAAAGGGGAGAGATCTTGGGACGAACAATTTCATATTTCCAGGAAGGCTCGAGACATGAACAGATGCTGTGATGGCTGCGTATTGGTGAGATATTTTCAATATTTCTCTCCATAGCTTCCTGGCTACTTTTCGACACCAAAGCTAACCGCATATTGCTGAATTGGTGTAGGATATTCACGGCATCAACTATGCGTGCCACGACTGTTACGACTATGATCTCTGCTTCCGATGTTATGCTTCCCGGCGACGATTTCATTTGTCTCATGACTTTGATGACTGGGTTCAAACTGGCCCTGAATTTGAAGATGGGGAGACGGGAGATGCTGATGGAAGTCCACAATTGAGATTGAGTTCGTCGGAGGGGGACTTGGACGGGGACCATGAGACAACGCACAGTGCTGATGATGCAGATGACAATGATACGGATGGTGATGAAGACGAGGACGGTGAAGAGGATGATCTTGATGATGCGGACGACATTGACGACGACGACGACGACGAGTAGGCGGGTTTTTGGAAGCAGGGTTTAGCTTCACCGGGCCCTTTGGCCTCGTGGCAAAGTTTTATTTTACCAGTAACCCAAAATAAAAACAAACTACAGGGCCATATCGTACGATAGATTACATCTCCGCGTTTCCACCTTGCCCGTAGTCTGGGAGTCTTTGGTTGCTTTCGAGATATCTATATCTCCTTAGCACTTTGTAAGGGGAAGGTCCAGCATTATAGGAGGTCCTTCGCTCTAAGTACTCTTCATAGATGAGAATTACAGAGAATCATCTCTATGCAGCCTCTAAAGATCTTTCGTATACAGACAATTGCTGGGTATGCCCTGGAATACTAAGCAATGCTAAGCATCGGGGTGCGCTTATCATTGGCCAATCATAGGTCGGCACCGTAAGTCCGGTATCGCCGACCCCGGACTCTCCGGATCCCAAATTTCCTCAGAGCGATTCCCATCGCCGCATCTCACTCTTCTCCTCCGCAGCCATGAACCGCCGGACAAGGAAGGCGGCTTACCAACTGGCCGTCTTCATCATCATCCTCACCCTCCTCATCTACGTCAACCAACCCCCCAGCTCAACACGAACCTTCGCCTGGTCCACCGTCCGCTACCGCACAACCGCCCGTTCCCTCCCCGCCGCCCACGGCGTCTGCCCCGGCCTCGCAAAATCCAAGAAACCAGCCCTCGTCGTCTCGCACGTCCAATCCGACGGCGACACATCATGGCTCACAGACTCCGACCTCGCGAAAAAATACCACCTCTGCATCTACGACGTTGACGGCTCCTCCCCCTCCTCTTCCTCCTCCGTCCTCCGCACCCCCTCCAACCGCGCCCACGAAGCAATGGCCTACCTCACCTTCCTAATCGACAACTACGACGCCATCCCCGCCCCCGGCGCGGTCTTCATCCACGGCAACCGCTGGTCCTGGCACAACGACGCCCCGGACTACGACAACGCCTACCTCCTCGCCGAACTCAATGTCGAACGAGCCCTCGAGCCCGCCGGATACCATAACCTCCGCTGCGACTGGAGCGTCTCTACATGTTTGCCTGATATGCCGCCCCAGGGGTCCATGCAGATGGCCCTGCAGAGCAAGATCGACCCGTGGGATGCGCGCGCTGCGTCGGATGCGGCGCTCCCGGGGGCGCTGGCTGCCATCTTTGGGCGTAGGGATCCGGCGGAGTTGGTCATGCTGAGTCGCCATGAGGCGGTGAGGGCCCAGTGCTGTGCGCAGTTTGTTGTTTCGAAAGAGAGGATACGCAGTCATAGCCGTGAGGAGTATGTTGCGCTGAGGCAGTGGTTGCTGGATGGGGCGGATGCGGGTACCGGTGCGGCACTGAATTCGGGTTCGGGCTCGAGGGTTGTGCGTGGTCATGGGCTTGCGCCGAAGGATGATCGTGTTGCTGGGAGGATTATCAGTTATATCTGGCATATATTGTTCCTGGATGTTACGGGTGCTGCTGGGAGGTGGGGTGGGAGTGGCGGTGAGGGTTCGGCGGGAATGGAGCTTGATGTTCTCAATCGCGCTGCTTGTCCGAGTGCGCAGGACTGCTACTGTCGGCTTTATGGCCGGTGTGATCTGCAGTGCAGGTCGCCTGGGAGCTGCGTTGGCCAATATAGTATACCGCCGGGCTATCAGGTTCCGGGGCATGGGCCGAAGGATGAAGCTTGATCTTGATAATAGATGGGTTGTGTAATATAGTAAGGGTCTGTTATGATGGCGCTTGGCTGGATAGATTTGTATATAGGATTTGCAGCAGCACTTACATACTGGATAGGTAAGCAAATATAGTTCCCCGCCCGTGACGATATTTCCTAGGATAGGTTCCGCATAAACAGCAATGCTGCGATCTCGTGGCTTCCTCTCCTTCTCACCAACAACTGCTAACCATAACTGATGCTGGATATCAGAATTGGAAGCCACGGGTACGGTGACGATATCCTTTCCTCCTCCAACCACTTTCCCACCACAACGCTCCGAAGTTCGTGCAGCGCGCGAGACTAGCGAAAGCAATATCGACCGCCAATGACTCTATGTACTATATTCAGCCCGAGAGGAGTGGCGGAACCGGATCATCGCTGCTTGGCCGCAGTCGCGCTTCCCGACGTTGTCCAAAGTCCTGCGCCGGTTTCGCCAGGGATCGGTATCTGCAAACTCGAATGACTGCTGGGCATCCGGGAGGCGGTACTCTAGGCATTTCGATGACTTATGCGCTCAGTCGGATATTGAAGTCTCGCTTCGCTGCTGTCAAGTTGAATGGCTGGGCATATGGGGGTAACTGCAACTTCAGCCCGTGGCTTCGTTGTGTTGTGGATGTTGATTCAAATCGCAGGGGAAGTTGGATATGAGCACAGTAAAGTATGCGGGTTGTCCAGGTAGGAGGACCTGGAGCCGTTTGTTTTGTTTGGCAGGGTGGTGGGTGGACTATGGTCAGTGATGCTCATTCACTCTTCTTCGGCTTTCAATGGAGTAACACCTCCCACCTCCCTTCTCCTTCCACTTTGTCTCCCACTTCCTCTTTCACTTCCACTCTCACTTCCTTTCCTAATTTTTCTGCACTTTTCTTCTCCATTTCCTCCCCTCTTCAGTCATTCCGATAAAAACCCATCTCGTCCATCGTTTCGCTGTTACCAATCCACCTCCGTCGCCGGATATGTCCTCTACCAACACAACCCAGACCTGCGCGCTCTGCAGCAAAGAGGCAACTCTTCGCTGCTCTGGCTGCGGCGACAGCCCAGAGTACCGCCTTGGTGATGCGCTCGACACCTTCTACTGCAGCCGCGCGTGCCAGAGAGAGCATCGTCCGACCCACAAGTCTCGCTGTAAAGCCAAAGGACTTCGAGTGAAGCTTGGTCGCGCGGTGATCATGCTAAGGCTCGGAATGTTGACTTACCGAGAGATCTTTTACGACCTCAACCTGACAAAAGTCGAGTCCCGGGATGACGTTTTGTTTCTCCATCACAAAGAACCGAAACCAGGAGCCTCGTTCAAGTTTCGCCCGTTTCCAAATCACCTTGTAACCAACTGGGTCATACAGCACGCTGTGCTGTGCCATAATCAGTCCATTGCGGCTATAGCTTTGCTGGGACGCCTGGCAAGAAAGCTTTTCCCAGGTACGTGGCTCGTAAAAGCATGAGTATACACCCAACTAATCCGCCTTCTTTGTCGTTGTAGATGCAGGTGTTCCCTGCACCCTCGAAACCTTGGACCTCCACTTAGGCAACTTCGGCGTTTGCACAAGAACTGTTCCCGGGCCCGAGCATACCAACATCATTCACACTGTGATCAAAGTGACGCTCAGCTTCCCGCCCAACATCGCTACGGAGCCAGAGGCCTGGGTCATCGATCCTGCAGGGTGCCAGTACGGAACCCCCATTCTCGCTCCTTACGAGGAGTATATCGCCGCACACAAGTGCCGTATCTTGAACGGACCAAGCGCATACACCGCGACCGAGACAACGGACGTTGATGATTTCCAATCCTTGCTTGAACTGTCACCCCACTCTGAGATACTGAATGAAATGCAAAACTGGGACTCTCAACGTTGGCTCCTGGAACGCAGGGCTCGCATGAAATTCGCGGCATGGGTGGATGAAGGTTCGGGTTACCATGTATGGAAGCGAGCCTTGGATGGCACGTCCCACGAATGGTTGGAAAAGCTCAGAGCTTCCAAGTCGGTCATCAGACGGTTCCTACTCACCAGGTAGTTTGCTATAATACGTTCCTTGGAGTTTGGGCTTCATAGTAAATTTCTAGGTCTCTTATAGTCAAGATACAAATAGCTATAAATGAGGTGGCCCAGGCAGCAGCGGGCGTCAGGCAGAAGCGGGCTCCCGCTACCGTAAGCCTCTCCGAGCTGCACCCACTTTCTATCCTCCTACGCCAATTCCTCGCAAGTCGCAATGGGAGCTCAAGGCCTTGAAATAGTGCGCTTTCGCGGGCGTTACTACGTTTACTACCACCACATGGACAGCTACTACGAGCGTCTGGGGGCCCGGATTGTTGACAGAATCCCCATCGACCCCAAGGGATACCAAGGTACGCCGCAATGATTGATCTGTGCCTGATGTTATACTAATAACTGATAGACTGGCTGAAGTCCATGCGTGCCGAATATGCAGCTAAAGAACACGCCCTTGAACGCCATGTCTATGAGATGCGCGATGGCGTCAAGCCCGACTATTCGCTGTTCGACGAGCTCGAGGAACTTCCCTCCGAGTTGCCGAAATTTCCCACAGCTATCGACCCCGACTTCTTTTACATCATCAACCTCGACCGTGAAGTCCTCACCATGGACTACAGCGTACACTGGAAGCTTGGGAATATCCCCCGCCAGGACGACCTATGGCTCCGCGCTATTGTGGACAGCATCTTTTGGAAGTGGCCCACCATTTCCCTCGATATCTGCCCGGAAGAGCATATGGCCTCGCCGGCTTTGGCGCTTCCTGAGAAACATAAGGGGATTAGGTACAGCTATCGCGTTGTAACGCCGAAGACAAATCTTGCAGACGCGCGGAAGGTATTCCTCACCAATGTCATGGCTACCACGCCCGTCCAATACGAGGACGCGATTATCAACTTTGGGATGGAGTGGAGCCCGGACTCGTTCCCCTTTCGCGAGCTGGTGTTTGCTCTCGTCTCGATTGCGTCTGGGCACGCCAGCTTCCATTCTTTCCCGCCTCACCTGTGTAACCCTCAGCATTGCGCATCATTGAACTGCACATACAACCACTTGCCCAAGTCGCCTGGATGGCTTGACAAAGAGTGGGCCGGCGATGCAGCGCCATTGCGGGAATTCGGCTCCATGGCCCATAGACCAGGCGACCCTCCAGGGGCATCGCCCACGGAGACAATGTATTGGGTTGAGGATGTGCTTGTTAGCCTTGTACTGGTGGTGGATGGAAAGGCCATTACGAACGCCGGTACCTGGGGCATTGGGCAGGGAAGGACAAATTTCCAGCTTGTTATTCTGTCGCTTTTCGACGTCTCCTTTGCGGAGGTTTCCTTTGGTGATGGTGGTGGCGAACCTCTTGTCAAGGTCACCAAGCCCGTTTATCTCTCACCCCTGCGCGCAGATCATTGCTTAAGCACACATCCGCGCATGCGGCCGGAGCTAAAGCCAGGGATGAAGTATCAGCGCCCTGCGTTCCTTACAGACAGAGGGCGCCCAGGGACAAGACGCAGACTCCAAAGGCGGTTCCCGGGGCTCGCGGCGCTCGTCAACTTCTTCGACGCTGCTGCAAAACGCCGCGCAGCATCCAAGTCACCAGGTATCCTCCCGCCGGAGCTATACAGTATGATTCTGGATTTTACCGACTATGGAACCTGGAAGGCCTGCTCGATGGTGTCAACGGCCTTTCGTTCTCTGTGCCTCCGCAAGTACAGGCTTGACGACCGCATGAGGATCGCAGCAGGGCCTTTTGTTAGGCTGCAGGAGATCAATGGGCACCGGCATCGTCTGCTATCCTTTGACTTTGAAAATATACTTACGGGTGAGGTCCTTCCAATGATACAGGATGTTCTTCGTCATGGGACGAACGAGTACAACTGGATGCCTGTTATTGGCGGCGACCGGAGAGTACTTATGTCGGACGTCGTCATGCAGTACGAACTGGCGGAGGATATGCCAGTCGAGGCTGAGGTTGATGGTGAACAGTAGCTGACAGTTGGCATTGGTCTTGGACAGCGGCAACTTTGATCGCCCAGTTCGCCTTGGTAGCAAGCTGGCTCGGATTACCAATAGCACGGGGGGGAAACACATTTTTTTCAGATCTGATGAGCATAACAGCTCTCGGCGCTCTTTGTCTTTTCTTTACTTCTTTTCCATGGGCGCGCTACGTACGATGGAGGGAGACATAGCACAACGTCTGGTCCATTTTCCCGTTCCTGCTCTTGAACCCAAATAAACTTGATCTCGAACAGGCAGATCTCGCCTCTAATCACTGGAGATGCTTGCGCATTACCTATCCATGCGACTTCATGTGTATGGATCTGACATAGCGTTGCCAACTCTCTTTTATCTGGATCCTTGATTTTCGCCCGAGTCTCACGCCGAGCCAGAAGCTCGCAAGTATCTAAAACAACCTTGGGACATTTCCAAGTCTTGCTTCTCAAAATAGGAATCTTGTAGCATCACACTCATCGGTTTCCTCGAAAGCTTCAGAGACATCAGGCTGCCAAATATGCTGATTAGCGAGGTTTTGCTCTGCAACGAGGCCTACCGTGTGTCGCTAAAGTACATCCTTAATATTGCCTGGTACTTCGTGTTTGTTTTAAGTTGTTTGTTAATGGACACAAGTCTGTATCCATCCCGCCGTTGGCTGATCCCGGAATATAGTTGCGCCAGGTTAGATCTAGTATATTAACTCTAGTTATATAAAGCGCTTTATAATATATACTTTATTAAAATAAAATAAAAATATATATTAATTTTTAAGTTATATTAATAAAGTAAATATATAGTGTAAAGTAATTATATTATATTTATAATAAATATATATAATTATTATTATAAATTACTAAATAAATATAATTTAATAATAGTAAATACAGGTTTACTAGGTTATATATTTATAAATAAAGTTTATATTTAAGTTAATTTATAGCTGCCTATTAAACCTATTATTAAAATTATTTATATTACTAAGGTTGTAATATATTTTAAAAATTATATAATAAAAATTATAAATATAAATTATAGGTAATTTTATATATTATATATAATATAAATTAATATTAACATGGTATAATTATTATTAATAATATATAGTTACCTAAAATTTATATATTACAAAGGTAGCGCTTAATAAGTTAATTTAATAATTTTAATTTAGTATTATTTATTATTTAGGCTAATTATATAAGCTATAAAATATTATTATAAAATTAAAATAAATATAAATATAGGTGGAAATATTAATTTAATACTAATATTAATATTAATATTTAATACTAATAAAAATTTCAAATATTAAAGGCCCGTACGCTGCTGTTTAAGTTAATTTTAGCTTATTAAATTAATATTAAGTTAGGAGCTATTAATATAATTACTAAAAAAATCCTGTGTTATTAATAAAGACTTACTAAAATTACTATACTATAGGTAGTTAATTAAAATTACTATTTATTATTATATATTATATATTAAATTTTAAGCGCCATAAAATACTATTTTTAAATATAAACTTGTATTTAAAAAAAATATTTTGCGTAATATTAATAAAAGGTAAGTTAATATATTATTAAATTATTATTATATTACCCTGTACTAAGTTTACATGTTTTTAGTTAATATATAAAAAATTTATAAAAGTAATAATAAATTTATAAATATATAAGTAATTAAGCCTTAGTAAAATTAACTTTTTATATAATTTAAGTATATTTTAGTGCCTTAGGACATTTTTATATATTTTATAAAATATTTTTTTTTAATTATAATATATATTTAAAAGCTAGCAAAAATTAATAAGATTATAATAAGTAAAATAACTAAGGTTATAAAAATATTAATTAGTATAATAAAACTATTTACTATTTATATAAACTTACCTTATAAAGTAGTTTTATAATTTTAATAAGTTAATATTATAAAAGGTTAGTTAGCGTGGTAAAACTATTTATTATTTATTTAAACTTACCTTGTAAAGCAGTCCTATAACCTTAATAAATAAAAATAAGTTTAATTATAATAATTTACCTTATTAAAATAACAAGTGCCGTGACCTGGTATTTAATTTAAAAAATAAAATAAAAATAACCTATTAAATATTAGGATAGCATTAGGTATATATATTTAAATAAAAAAATAAGTTAGTAATACCTTTTATAAGTAATAAATATATAAAAGCTTACTAAAATAAATTATATTACATGGTTAACTTACTATTTTAATTAAAAGTATTAGTAAAAGTAGGTATAACATACCTAACACACTAAAATTAAATTATAAAACACCTGGAAACCTACTATATTAATATAGGCAAGTTAGTAATTATTATATAAGTTTATAAACTAGTAAAGCGCACTGCTATTTACTATACCTAAATTAAATTTTTATTATTATTTATTTTTTATATTATTATCCGCTGGGCAGCATTTTTAGTATTATTTATATTATTTTTAGTATTACCTTTAGTATTATTAATACCTAGGTAATATTAATATTATTCTTAGTATTATTTTATTTACTAGCTAGTATTTTCTAGGTTAGTATTATTTATATTACCCTTGGTATTACCCTCGGCATTATTATTAGTATTATTATTAATATTATTATTAATATTATTTTTAGCAATATTTATTTATTATTTATAGCTTAATTAGTATTTTTAAAGTGTTTGCGAAGTAGTTATTAAGCATTAAGTTTTTTAGGGCTTTTAATTTATTATTATAATTTACTTTTTTTATTTTTTATTATATTATTACTATATTATAAAATAAAAAAATAACCTTAGGCTATTTAGCTTGTTTTTTAATATTATAAAAAAATTAAAAACATGTCTGGGGGTGTTTATTTATATTCTTGCTTAAATTAAACTATATAATATTTATATAAATAAAGTAATACTATAAAAAATAAAAACTTAAGTTTTTATAGTAAAAGTTTATTAACTTACCTATTTTTTTAATACTTTGTTTACTGTTTAAATAAAATTAACTTAACTTTTAATTTTTAAATAGGTTAAAATATTTATTACCATTACGGGGATCTTAAAAATAATTAATTATTATTAAATACTAAAATATAAGCTAGGTCTAAACTAAATACTCTTAAAAATAAGTAAATAAAAAATTTAAAATCCTAGTTAAAAATATTATAAAAACTAATATTATAACAAGAAATTAAGGCCTAAATAAAGCCTGGTAAAAAAAAAGAATATACCTAGTAATACTTAGTAATATATATTAATACCTACTTAAAAGTTTTAGTTATTAAAATATATCTAGTAATAATACGCTAAGGTATTTTTAAGTATTAAAAAAAATAACTATAAATAGTTATAAATAAACATAGGTATAACTAAAAAATTTTTTAAAATTATACTTAAAGTTAATAAGTGTAATTAGGCCGTAAGCAAGACAAGGGTAAATAAAAAAAAATAACTTTAATTACTATAAAAAAAGGTATATAATTTATATTAGCTTTAGGGTTAGCAAGGTTTTTTTTAAAGGTATAAAATTTTATATAGGCTTGCCACTTAATTTTATATACTTTTAAAATTTAAAAAAAAAAATAAGGGGGTACCCTTACTCTCCGCCTTGCTAGCTAAATTTTATATATTTTATTATACTTAAATTTATAGATTTAATTAAGCTTTTTTTCACGGGGCTTAAACCTAAAAAGTTAGTATAATAAGTTTAATTTTTATAATATATAAGGGCAAAGTTTAATAAACTACCTAAGCTACCTTAGCTAGTATAAATAAAATTACCTATAATTATTATATATATTTATTTTATAATATATTATCCCCCGGCTATTAAATTAAGTTTAATCTATTTATATTAAAATATATTAATAATTATTATATTTATATTTATGTCCTAAGTTACCACTATATTTCTAGCTAAAAAAACTTTATATTTTAATTATAGTATATTATTATAATATTAGTAATATTATTTATAGGTAATAAGCTATTTAAGGTTAATTAAAGTAGCACTGCTAGTAATATATTTAAAATTAAAATTAAATAATAAAATATTATTTTAATAAACTAAAGGCCAACCATAATCTTTTTTTTAATTTTTTATATATAAAATAAATTTAAAATAGTATTACGCGGGATATATTAATATAAAATTACTAGTATAAAACGCACGAATACTTGCTATTTTTTATTTATAAGTTAATAAGTAAAAAATAATTTAATTTATTTTATAAAAGCTTTTTAGTACGTAATAATACTGCTTTATTAAAATATATATTACTTGCCCCTAAAAATATTAAAAATAAATTAATAAATATACTTAAAGTAAATAATATTACGTAAGAGTAAAAGTCCACGACTAAAAATAATATTAAAAGATAAAAGTAAAATAAAAAAAAATAAAATAAAGTTAATTATTACTTACTGCGTGCTTATAGTAACCCGCCTGTATTATTAAATATTATTTAATATTTTTATAAAGGGTAAAAATCCATATTTAGCATAATATATTAAGTAAATATTATTAATAAATTAATAAAGTTTTAAGGCCTAGTAAAGCTACTTTAAAATACTTATTTAAGCCTGCACCTTACTATTAGGTAAAGTAAATAATAATAAAATATTTTTATAAAAAAGTAAATTTAATAATAACACCAGGCTAAAGTACCCCAAGCCTTCTTTTTTATTATTTTTATTTTTTTTAATAGCCTAAAACCAAGTAATTATATTATTTTAAAAATTATTAAATAATACTGCGCGAGATTTTAAAGTTTTAAAATTAAAATATTATTATTTTTTATTATATTATTAAAAAAAAGTTACATAAATATAAAAAGGTATTTATTAAAAAGTAAATCTTATTTAAGTTCGTGGTAATTTATATAATAAACTTAATTTTTAAATACCTTAAAAATAATAAATTATTAGTCTTTATTTTTAATACACGTAAAAATAACATTTAGTTAGGTAATTTAAAATACTTATACGTAAAATAAGTAAAAAAAGT